TGTCTGCGGGGTTCACAGGTGACACAATATAGGCCTATATGGTGTGGTCTTTGTCTGCGGGGTTCACAGGTGACACGATATAGGCCTATATGGTGTGGTCTTTGTCTGCGGGGTTCACAGGTGACACAATATAGGCCTATATGGTGTGGTCTTTGTCTGCGGGGTTCACAGGTGACACAATATAGGCCTATATGGTGTGGTCTTTGTCTGCGGGGTTCACAGGTGACACGATATAGGGCTATATGGTGTGGCCTTTGTCTGCGGGGTTCACAGGCGACACGATATAGGCCTATATGGTGTGGTCTTTGTCTGCGGGGTTCACAGGCGACACGATATAGGCCTATATGGTGTGGTCTTTGTCTGCGGGGTTCACAGGCGACACGATATAGGCCTATATGGTGTGGTCTTTGTCTGCGGGGTTCACAGGTGACACGATATAGGGCTATATGGTGTGGTCTTTGTCTGCGGGGTTCACAGGAGACACGATATAGGCCTATATGGTGTGGTCTTTGTCTGCGGGGTTCACAGGAGACACGATATAGGCCTATATGGTGTGCGGTACTCGTCTGCAAGGCTCACAGTTTACAACTTAAAATAAAATATGCATGAGCAACAAAAATATATCTCAAATTTAACATTCAAAAACGTAATGATGTCGAAAAAATGTCTTGCGTAAGATTTACAACCACAACCACAACCACAACCACAACCACAACCTGCCCACCACAACACGTGGGCACTCACACCTGGGGTCAACATGTCCCCAGAGTCGGTCGGTTTGAAATTCTTTCCTCGTTGAAGTTTTCTGTTGGGTAATTATCCGTCTACCGTATAAAGGTTTACACGAGGGCTATGGTTGGGGTAGCCAGTTAGTCTTATCAATTTATTCTTAACCAACGACATTCCATTTCCCTGAATACTATCCACAACAGTCGACTAATCCACAACTCAGAAGGGGGAAGATGCGACGTCGACGGTCCGTCGTTGCTCCGTAATGGTCCACGACGGACCGAGACGTCGTCGTGGACCATCTTGTGAGTTGTGGTTTGGTCATCGTATCTTGCGCCAGGAATATATATCTATAGATTAATAGATATACATTATATATATATATATATATATATATATATATATATATATATATATATATATATATATATATATATATATATATATATATATATATATATATATATATATATATATAGATTAAGGATATATCTTCCGCCTCAACAGTCGACCAACTGCCTGGTGCCTATATTTACCGCTTGGTGAAACTATAAAGGCGGCGGGTGTAAGGACACGTGCACCCAAACTACGGGCTCACCATAGCCCGTGCTAATTGGAACTTTTTGTTCCAGGTAGCGGATCTTTAACAACAACAACAACCAGGTCTCGTCCTATCCCGAGCATGGCACCCGGGACCAACCAGTTGTGAACCAACTGAGGTAACCACCCCACGCCGTCTCTCTCAGCCAAGAATGAGAGAGAGAGAGGGAGGCTGAGGACGAGCATCTCAGCAGCAGCACTCAGTAAACCTTATTTTGTTCTCAGCGCGTGATACTTCCTTATTCCTTATAGTCAGTCAAATCTCAGCTGTTTCAGACATAATTTCACCAGAATTTCACAAGTTTCCAATCACTTATGATGAGATAGGAATCCATACTGTGTTACACAAATATATATATATATATATATATATATATATATATATATATATATATATATATATATATATATATATATATATATATATATATATATATATATATAACGAAGCAAAATAAATTACTCCTTACGTCCTTAATATTACCAACTTACCTTAAGTGGTCTAACGGTACAGTGGTAGACACAATATCACAGATATTTAAAAGAGTGTGGTACGAGAAGTGGTATAGTGAGGAGCACAGAGGGTGCGTGACCGTCCTCTGCGGCGGGTGGCGGAAGACTGGAGCCGGGCAGCCCCGCCAGCACACACCTTCCCCCTACGCGTGCTCACAGCACACTGCCTGGCTGTCCTCCCTCGTACCAGTCACTGACAACGTTGCCACGATCAGTAGCTAACAACGTTGCCACGATCAGTCGCTGACAACGTTGCCACGATCAGTCGCTGACAACGTTGCCATGATCAGTCGCTGACAACGTTGCCACGATCAGTCGCTGACAACGTTGCCACGATCAGTCGCTGACAACGTTACCACCACCAGTCACTGACAACGATTCGAACCCAGGCAGCGAGGGGTCTCCCAACCAACAGCAACCGTACAATGACTACTACACCATACAAGCTTCGCTATATAAAAAACAGATGTATATTGAGAGCAGGGTAAATTGATAGAACAGAGTAGCAATTGTTGAGACACTACATGATGCAACCAGCAAGGGCGCCGAGTGAGTGAGTGAGAGGGAGATACTGATGCTGGAGTGCAGGGTGACTGGTCTACCGGAAGGAAGACATGGACGGAAGTGAACAAATCCACAAGGGCCGTGACGAGGATTCGAACCTGCGTCCGGGAGCATCCCATGTGTGATGGACGGAAGTGTTATACCAACTAATCCAACAATGTTCTCATACCTTCTCTAATCTAGCGTCTTTCCACACCATAAATGAGCACCGAATTTACCCGAGGTCCGTCACCTATTTAGTGCCCACGACGGGGACAGGAAGCTAGCGGTTTGTCTAAGGTAATGGTGTCGGCTTTCGGTGTCCTCCCCCCCGCCCCCCGTCCTCAATTGTTTCCATGGGGAATTTTTTTCCAACATTTTTTAAGTTACAGTAATGACTTGGGATTTTCGGCTTCGGTGGGTAGGTGTTTCCCTGGGTGTATACTCTTATGGGTGAAAAAGCATCTTGTTTCCCTGTCCTACACCGTTGCTTATATATGTTGCCACTTGGATGTTTTATAGTTACTTCTTTTAAAGTGTCAAATGTAAGTAATTATCAAAAGAAGGCACCAAGCTGGGAAGGCTATGTAGCACTATTAAATGTGCGGGATATTCATAGGGTGCTATATATCACTAAGGATGTCACTACGAGAACAAAAACGCGTAAGGCGAACGATATCAATGGTATCCGATTCATCAAGAATTCTATCAAGGGACAAGTGACCGCGAGGGACGGTCGGGAAGCAAGACATACGCACGTTCTGAAAGTCAGGACATTCAACAAGGATATACATGACCGTAGGAGGGACAATGCAGTTTGGACAATAATGAGCAGAGAGGCGTTCCATTAAGTGCCCGTGAGTTAAGCGAATATGGCCGATACGTAACCTCGCCAGAACCGTTTCCCACCGCCGGTTACGGTGGTAGGAGGAAGGCCATGGGGGGGGGGGACACACTATTCTTAAGAACACGAAGCTTGTTACCAGTAACAGAAGACCAACGACCCTGCCAACGGGCAAGGATTGAGGAATGAATAAGTAGGTAGAAGTCAGAATAGGAGATACCTTTATGGGAGATGGGACAAGTACGGATAATCTCCTTAGCGGCAGCGTCCGCACGCTCATGTAAGGACACACCAATATGGCTGGGATCCCAGCAAAACTCCACTGTCTTAAATCTACTGGAGATAAGAAACAGCCAATGTTGAATTTCGACTACTACAGGATAAACTGGATTAAAGGACTCCAGAGCCATGAGGGCATTACGAGTCAACTACAACAACAAAGGAGGATTGACAGTGTAGCGAATAAACCTTATACTCGCTCCATTATCTCATCATCTTAATGGCGTAACTAATTAGCACTAACTACACAGGCTATAATCCTATGAACAAATCCACAAGAGCCGTGACGAGGATTCGAACCTGCGTCCGGGAGCATCCCAGACACTGCCTTAATCGACTGAGCTACGACAGGGTTAAAAGGGTTGAAACCGAAGTTTACTAAACTTACTGGATCCCGTAGCCATTTTTTTGTTCATTTGTTCATCCCGTTTTTGTTCATTTGATGCATCACGTTAGTGTGATCTGTGTGTAGTGTGTTATAATCCTATCCCTATTTACAGGTAAGAGTTCTTCCATCCTTCTTCCATCTTATTGGAGGGAGCTGAAGTGTAGTCACCATATATAAGCAAGTGATATGAGAATAGCAAGCACGGGAGACACCTCCCGTCACGCAGGGTGCAGTCGCACCTCCACAGATCTCCAGTATCATCTATTGATACTGGTAATGGCTCAAAAGGGCCACCACTTACGGGCTATTCATGCCCGTGCCACTTTTTGGGTGGCTTAATCTTCATCAATCAATCAATCGAATAGCAAGATTCAGCCCCGCTCCTGTGCCAGGTAAGTCCACTACGGGCTCATCATAGCCCGGGCTACTTGCCCCGCTCCTGTGCCAGGTAAGTCCACTACGGGCTCACCATAGCCCGTGCTACTTGGAACTTGTTCCGAGTAGCTGAATCTATAACAACAACAACAGGTAAGGTAATTATCAAAAGAAGGCACCAAACCGGGAAGGCTATGTAGCACCATCAAAGTGCGAAATAATCAGAGGGCGCTAAATATCACCAAGAATGCCAATATGAGAACAAAAACGCATAAGGCGAACGATATCAAAAGTATCCGATTCACCTAGAATTCTATCGAGGGACAGGTGACCGCGAGGGACGGTCGGAAAGCAAGACACACGCTCGTCCTGGAAGTCAGGACATTCAACAAGGATATGCACAACTGTAAGAGGGACAACGCAATTCGGCAACAACAGAATAGCAAACCTCCACAGATCTCCAGTATCATCTATTGATATTGGTGATAGCTCAAAAGGGTACTGTGGAGCTTTTGAGCTCACCACTTACGGGCTATTCATGCCCGTGAACCATTTGGGTGGCTTAATCTTCATCAATCAATCAATCGAATAGCAAACAGTACAATATGTAAGGACCATGCAAGGTACCAAAGACAGTAGCGATCACGGCGACCCTGTAGAGACAGGACGACATTTTCAACTTGCAGATCAGCGGCCGGTCGGGAGCTGAGATCTGCGGCCGGTCGAGACCTGAGATCAGCGGCCGGTCGGGAGCTGATATCAGCGGCCGGTCGAGACCTGAGATCAGCGGCCGGTCGGGACCTGAGATCAGCGGCCGGTCGGGAGCCGAGAGCAGCGGCCGGTCGGGACCTGAGATCAGCGGCCGGTCGAGAATTGAAAGCAGCGGTCGGCAGGGTTGAGATCGAGCCGTCCACCTGCAGCTATTTTAGAGTCGAGAAGCTGGGAAGACGGCCGGCGGGATAAAGCTAAAAATACTCATAAAACTGTGGTCTTGGGTCGAGCCTTCACTTGAGCAGGTAAGCTTGCTTCATTAAACACCTTTTACAGAGATGGCAGCTTTTTAATGAGTAAACTCTTTAGTTGTACTCCATATTGAGACCTTTGAGTGCTTTTCCTGGGAGTTCGTTATCTTAAAATGCGCCCATTTTCACATGTTAATACAGGTAAGTTCTCACATCTACAGATAACTTTGAATGAAACAGTAGATTATATTCACTTGACAGCTAGACATTTTCAGTGTGTTTGTAGGTCTATTACAATGGCTTGCTCTGCATCAGTTAGTGTAATTAAGACTACATATGTACCGAAATATATTTTCATGGTTTACAGACAATTCTTATTGGAAATTTTAAAGAAATATTAATATATTTTATTTGTATAGGGGGGTACCACCTCTGGTGCAATTATAGAGACCCACAGCCTCAGAGAAGGGAACACAGAGCATACAGGGAAAAACTTGCCATTTAACTCTGAATACGTAAGAGTGTTCGCTTCTCCTACCACCCCCCCCCCTTTTTTTATTTGTATTGTATTAATTTAGCAAGCATTAGGAAGGCCTCCCCAGCCCTTGTGCTGCACCAAAGTCTATGAAGGTCAACAGTGTAGGGCAAGGGTTAGCTGGCTAGGGTCACCCAATATCTCCATCTCATAGGATGTTTGGTAAAATAATTATAAAATAGCATACTTAATTCTAAATAATGCCTTACTCGAAATCTTTGCTAGTTACTCTAACTTTATATTGGGTTGCTTTTCAAGTTTGCACTACCTGCTGTTGTAGGACTTGCATACCACTTGTGGCTAGTTGTTCGTCACCAGTTAACTTGCCAAACTAGATTACTGTACCAACAAAATTTCAATGTTATACAACAGTACCTGCCAATGAAGACCTTACCTACTGTAGATACAGCAGGTCATCATAATTGAGACTTCCTTCCACTACCACCCAAATATATACTGTAACAAGAAACTATATATATACAGTAATATGAAATAGTATATAACACAAAATAATATTAAATAATGGCAATAAACTGTTTAGCTGTTGCCATGAAATTTTCTGGCAAAAGACTCACTTTTAGTGGGGTGCCATTAAATACAATGGGTATACAGTACTGTAGTTTTAACCTTAATATTTTTTAGTATTAATTCAGCAGGCATGTGTGCGTGCTTAGTGTCTCCAAAGTTTTGTGTAATTCTAAAAAGGATAAAAATTCAATTTTAAATTCTGTGTAATTCTAAAAATTACATAGACTATATAATTACTTGCAAAAAGTAAGTTAATGTCAGTATGAAGGCATGCTCTACAAATTTGCAATATGTTTGTTATGAACCAAATAATGACAAATACTAGAGATAAAGGCCAATTATGAATTAGTGTTGTAATACCACACATCTGTTGTGGTATTTATCAATTTCTTTGGAATTGGATAACTTTTACTTTAAATCCTTGTTTCAGATGCTTTCACAACATTTGTGAGAGCAGAATTGACAGTGACCACAACTAGGTGTGTGCAATGTGTTGTTACTTTGAGTACAGTGTAACCTTGCAACTCTGCACCTTTTATAACATAAAACCTACAAATTATTATAGATTTGCCTAATGGAACAGTATTTGAAAGTTCTGATGAAGTGCTCAAATGTTAATTTATGTGCAGAAAATCCAGGCTGGCCCTGTGCCATTTTGTACTACCCAATCATTGTTTTCTATTCCCTTTTCTAGTAAATTAGTACAATGTGACTGTTTCCATGGGTAGCCCAGTAATAACCGAAAGGGGCTCATCTCGGCTAAGTGTTGATTTTCTCTGTGCTTGTTACTCTGGGGTCAAGATTCGTCAAGTATTAACATGGCCTCTTATGAAGCCTGTACATCTTTCCTGCAGCCCAACACCTGGTTATGGTAGTACTTATAGTAACAATGAGGTCCATAGTACATATACCGACGTACAATGAAATTAGGAAGTAGAAATCAGCACTATTGAGTTAGACAAACAAGAAAACTTTTTGTACTTGTGTTGCAAAGACAAACAAAACTAACCTAACCTTCCTAGGGCTAATACTATATCTAAGGCTTAATATAGTACGTGTGTGTGCTATACTAGGCCTAGGAACATTTAAGTTTGTGTTTTAGTTAATTTTGTTTAAAGAATTCCTTACTAGTCAGCATAATACTATCTAAAAGCTAAGTATGTACGAATTCGTTACTACTGACGATCGTCAAAATAGGAGAATGGGCTGCTTTCCTCAATCATGGCAGCTTAATTTGCATTTATTAACCAGTTTATGACCACTAAAATGATAGGTGGTTATCCATAACAATAATTACCTAGAGTTGAAGAGGTAAGGGTAAAGAGAAACTTTTCATGAATTTACCAAAATTTACTTGACTGCCATTATCTCTTTAATGGCATCAACGAGGACTGGAAACTGGTGGCTTGAAACAGGTTCCCTCATTTGTCATGATGATGAACAAAAAAAATTATTTGTTGGCTTGCATATGAATTTTGCATTGCCACTAAATACCTTTTTTTTCTAAAAAAAAAAAAAAAAAAAAAAAAAAAAAAAAAAAAAAAAAATGCTGTACAGAGAGAAGTTCATTGCTAAGAGGAAGAATTTTGATGGCAAAAGTCCAGAGAGAAAACTGTTCAGGGGCCTTAAAATATGACAATTTAGATGAAGCAGTTTACATGTGGTTTACTCAGATTATTTTGGACTAGTTTCATGATACAGGTAGTTAACAATTAAAGATTAAACCCCAAATAAAGAGGGATTGAAGTGAGTAAGTGAGTGAAGTACAGACATCATTGCTGCAGGAAAATGTTCATGCACATTATGAAATGTGCATGAACAGTTTCAAATTAGTGGATGGTAAGATATTATCAATGGTGTTAACATCAAATACAGTACTACCTCCAATCATCCAGCTTATGAATTGAGGCACAATTTATGTTAAGAGACTGTACAGAAAGAGTTGCTGAATCAGGTACAGTATTGGTAAATACAAATACAGTATATATTTGTAAACATGCTTGTTTCTTGTATGTTTTGGTACAGCAATTATCACAATAGTTTGTTGGTTTGAATGAGATATAATTGTATAGGAACAAAATGAACCATTGTGTTGGTATGATACATAGTGAAACAAAGGTGTTACAAAGCTGTTACAATAATCAGGTATTGCAAAAATTTGTGTTGTACCAAAATGTAGACTAGTAGTGAAATGACAATGAATGGTAGAAGGGGGCCCAGTAAACTAGGTATAGTGGTGCAATGTAAAATACATGTCGTGGTGAGGAAGGTAGAGCAAGGTATGCCATACATAAAAGAAAAAATTGAGGTAGAAAATAATAAGACTGACCCATTTTTAACTTGAAGACTTGGTTGGTGTTAGTTGTTCCAAATAATTAACTAGACCTAATTATTTTTATTTTTAGATACAGGTAAATGTGTTTACATTTCTTCCAACATTTTGTTTATAGTCATTGTTGGCATTAGTGATATGATCATTATCATAGTGCACGTTAATACAGTAAGTAGTTCAAGCGGTGGAAGTGAAATTATGATTAAAAGTATATTGTACAGAAATTAAGGGTAATTTAGTGCATATTTTTTTATTCAGCTCAATGATGTCAAGTGGATAAAACTAAATTAACCAATATTTGATTTCAGGAGGCATATTTCAAAAGGGATGGCCAATATAGTAGAGTTGCCACAGCAGGTCTCTGCGCAAGCCTATATGATGAACCATATGGTTGATGCAGAAGATGATGAAGATGTCAGACTTCATTTAGCAGCTTTGTGTGGAGACGGTAAAGGTTTAAAGCAGATCACAGCAGACCCTCAGTACAATCAGTGGCTCAACTATCGTATTCGGCCATATATGTCACCGCCATTGAGATTAGCCGTTTCAGGTAAGTTTTTTCTTTGGGGTGGCATTGATAGGTTTATGCAAAATGCATAACCTTGGGAAACAGAAATAACACCAGTTGGAAACCAATACACACTCAACCGATGGCTCTTAACCATTGAACAGGAAAGCTGTTGAGGAATGATAAGTTAATAATTATGAAAAAAGTAATAAGCCACCCTATGGCCATAAATCAATATTCAAGTCACAGATGAGTCAGATTTTCCTAGATATTATTTAGGATGCCTATATGGAAGTAGAACAGCTTAAGTTTATTGAAGGATTCCGATTCACTGAGATGTTACTTGATCTGCTAGGTGATTTAAGGTACCATCTATATATGACTGGGTGCCCAGCTCTACTTTCTTATATCAGCTAAAGAGGAGGTACAGTACAATGTGGAATTTCAATTATGATGGGATCATTATGATGGTTTAAAAAGTATTCAGTAACATTAGAGCCTTTCAAGAGTCAACAACAATAATTAATAAATAACTGCTGACATTAAAATGAGCTTTCTCAGAGCATATAAAATCACAAAGTTCAGCTGTACAATTACAGTACTTGTCTTGGAGAAGGTGGCAAAGAAAATTGCTTCAAGACATTAGGGGAAGGAGAAAAAGACCTTTATTTCATGAATTAAGATTTGACAAAGTTTTGCTCTCAGGATTTTCTACGGAGGAATTGTGTTGTCTAACTTGTGGGGATATATTGTGAATATTCATTGACAATGACTTTGATGAATATGCCATTTCCATTTTAAATGGTTGCAAAATAGCCCATGTAGGGATTAAAATAGTTGGTGACTGAAATGTGATACAGAATACGTCGAGAGACATTGAATGGTTCTCATGAAATACCAAACACTACCGAGTGTGGCAGCATTGTAATGATGGAACACCAGTTTCAATACATAAAATGTAGACTGGGTATGATCAAAACTTGCTTGGGCTTAAATATAATCTAGTGCATAAAATAAAAATGACTTAGGGCTGAAGCTGAGACAAATGAATATGTGGGGTAGCCATAGATTAGATATAACACCAAGGAAGTGTACTCACCTATTTGTACTCACCTATTTGTGCTTGCGGGGGTTGAGCTTTGGCTCTTTGGTCCCGCCTCTCAACTGTCAATCAACTGGTGTACAGATTCTGCAATGTTGCAAGTGAATATATCTGCACTCTAGGCGTTATGCAGGAATTTTTGGTAACGTGAGGACCTTGTTACATTCAGCATGCAAGTAATGTATGTGTGACCTCCAAAATAAGCAGGTGTCCAGAATTACTCTGATAGTTTCACATTATCTCCATATACCAGTTGACTACAATAAAGGGTTAATGGAGTGCTAAACTACGGATATTCGTTTTCTGTAAATGTCATAGTACATGTTTTATTAGTAAAGAGATTTTTAAAAGCGTGTTTGATTCCCGATAATAATACATTGTTAATTACAGTCTGGAAATTCCCCTTGTACTGATATTAGGGTAAGATCATTGCTGCTGTGATGACTGATGTTGATGGCTGTAAAGTCATCAACATATAGCACAGAATGTACTCCTTCAGAAGGAGAAGATAGACCATTAATGACAATTATGAATTGTTCTGCCTTATATTACCAATAAAATAAATTCAGTCAGATTCTTATATATAAAGCACAGCATGAAAGGATGATTTTAAGGAATATTGGCAAGTTGCCTCTCAGGCCAACAGTACGTAATTTAACTAAAACATTATTTTGATGTAGTCACATGCTTTCGTGAGGATGAAGAGAATTACTAATACTGATATAAACTTCCAAGATCATCTGGATATCTATAGTGATGTGACATTTATGGAAGCAAGAGTGTATAAAGAATAGTGAGATACAGTAATATCTTTCAGGTTCTTCTGTTACGTACGAGAGCAGGGAGGAAAGTAATGTACAAAACTGAATTACAGTAGCACTGATTGTACATTTCAATAATTTAACAAAGAATAAACTCCATAAAAGTATAGCATTAACAGATGTTTAGTTACTTGGCCATATTAGCTACTAGCTTACCAGTAAAAGAACCCCCAGAACATTTTCCAGGTATGCTCAAGGTATGTATCAGGCTACATTTGAATTGAAGGCTGGTTAAGCACTGTAATTTCCTTCAGTTGAAGAGAAAATCGTAGGTTTTACATTCATCTATTAGCATGATTGGAATCATATTACTGTTATACCATTGATCAATTCTATGTATGTAAACACCTTAAATAATGTGCATCAGAGAAATTTAGTAGTGTAACAGTTCTATTGTTACGTAAAGTATGGTGACAAATAAACACAGACACTAAGATACTATATATATATTTGGTCGAATATACAGAAGTACACCGGTGATACTTTGGTGTGAGTTGAGCGCACTGAGCGTCGGTACAGTATCTCGCAAGTGTCTGCTCTAGACCACACTTGAAAGTAGACTAGTTAATGTTTGCTATTCTTGCTGCTTATATTGCTCGGGCAACACCTCACCGTGTTGCCCGGGCAACGCCTCACCTCATTCATCTCCAAAGGTTGACAGGAATATTAACAATGCATTTGGAGCGAGTATATTATTGGGATAATCTACTCGCTACAGAACTCCCCCTCCCAGGGGATGAAAGGAAAAATACTTGATCAAGGAACTTAGCTGGTCGGTGAATTGTACGCCCTGCTCGCGTTACATAACCATCAAAGTTAACTTCCTCCTCTTCGCTGATGTCATCTAACTGGGGTCGTAGGGTGGGAGGTCGCACAGGATTGTCCGTCGTCGTAAGATCAGGTTGTGGTGCGGCTGGTAACTGGGGTTGTAGGGTGGGAGGTCGTACAGGATCGTCCGTTGTCGTAGATGGCGGTGCTGCTGGTAACTGTGGTCGAAAAAGTGAACTGCGTAGTCGGCAGATGTGTCTCTGGATTTAGCAGTGTCGCAGACGTTGAGACGAAGCCTGGAGCAGAGCAGAGAGCTGAGTGAGGCCGGAGTCATGGAGCTCTATGTGGGAGAGCGTGGCGGCTCGATTGAGAATTGTGAGTGTCTGAACTCGGGAAGCGAGAGCGTGGCGGCTCGATGCGGTCGTAGTCTGCTGTCTGCTCTGTGTCGAAGCTGTAGCGTCTTGGGTTGATTAGGACTGTACACGCCGAGTACTACATTGTTGACTGTGGAAATTGTAGTCTGGTACCAAAAGATGTAGGCAGTGTGTGGACAACGAGGTAATCACTGCTAGAGCTGAATTGTCCTGGAGGCGACGAAGAGTCGGCAGGACAGGCTGTAGATCACACATTATGTAGTTACTGATGAAGCTGCCAGATGAGTGAGTAGTGATCGTGGAGCAGCAAGCCGTAGTAGATGAAAATGCAGAGACGATCGCGATGAAAATCATAGCTGTGGCAAGGGTGTTGGCAACGTTCCATGACAGGTGGCTGCGGTCCACAGCAAGCAGCAGCAGTGGAGGTCCAGTGAGAGTCCATGTTGTAGTCCATCGTGGCTGGGTATCGTCGAAACTCTCTGGGGTCACCAATGTAACAGTTCTGTACAGTATCTCGCAAGTGTCTGCTCTAGACCACACTTGAAAGTAGACTAGTTAATGTTTGCTATTCTTGCTGCTTATATTGCTCGGGCAACACCTCACCGTGTTGCCCGGGCAACGCCTCACCTCATTCATCTCCAAAGGTTGACAGGAATATTAACAATGCATTTGGAGCGAGTATATTATTGGGATAATCTACTCGCTACAGAACTCCCCCTCCCAGGGGATGAAAGGAAAAATACTTGATCAAGGAACTTAGCTGGTCGGTGAATTGTACGCCCTGCTCGCGTTACATAACCATCAAAGTTAACTTCCTCCTCTTCGCTGATGTCATCTAACTGGGGTCGTAGGGTGGGAGGTCGCACAGGATTGTCCGTCGTCGTAAGATCAGGTTGTGGTGCGGCTGGTAACTGGGGTTGTAGGGTGGGAGGTCGTACAGGATCGTCCGTTGTCGTAGATGGCGGTGCTGCTGGTAACTGTGGTCGAAAAAGTGAACTGCGTAGTCGGCAGATGTGTCTCTGGATTTAGCAGTGTCGCAGACGTTGAGACGAAGCCTGGAGCAGAGCAAAGAGCTGAGTGAGGCCGGAGTCGTGGAGCTCTATGTGGGAGAGCGTGGCGGCTCGATTGAGAATTGTGAGTGTCTGAACTCGGGAAGCGAGAGCGTGGCGGCTCGATGCGGTCGTAGTCTGCTGTCTGCTCTGTGTCGAAGCTGTAGCGTCTTGGGTTGATTAGGACTGTACACGCCGAGTACTACATTGTTGACTGTGGAAATTGTAGTCTGGTACCAAAAGATGTAGGCAGTGTGTGGACAACGAGGTAATCACTGCTAGAGCTGAATTGTCCTGGAGGCGACGAAGAGTCGGCAGGACAGGCTGTAGATCACACATTATGTAGTTACTGATGAAGCTGCCAGATGAGTGAGTAGTGATCGTGGAGCAGCAAGCCGTAGTAGATGAAAATGCAGAGACGATCGCGATGAAAATCATAGCTGTGGCAAGGGTGTTGGCAACGTTCCATGACAGGTGGCTGCGGTCCACAGCAAGCAGCAGCAGTGGAGGTCCAGTGAGAGTCCATGTTGTAGTCCATCGTGGCTGGGTATCGTCGAAACTCTCTGGGGTCACCAATGTAACAGTTCTGTACAGTATCTCGCAAGTGTCTGCTCTAGACCACACTTGAAAGTAGACTAGTTAATGTTTGCTATTCTTGCTGCTTATATTGCTCGGGCAACACCTCACCGTGTTGCCCGGGCAACGCCTCACCTCATTCATCTCCAAAGGTTGACAGGAATATTAACAATGCATTTGGAGCGAGTATATTATTGGGATAATCTACTCGCTACAGTAGTAGAGCAGAATTGTCAATTTCTCAAGGTACAGTCTCTATACACATACACTGTCACTTATACATTTCTTAATCCTATACACTTCCCAAATGTCTCAATGTTTACAGGAGGAAACCCTGACTGTGTTGAAGTACTTGTGTTAGCAGGTGCAGACATAGAGCTGGAAGATGTGAAAGGACAAACTCCTCTCTTTGTTGCAACATCTCAAAGAAAGTTAGAAATAATGAAGGTATGTTTACTGTAAATATTATGCATTTTCATGTATGTAAAGACTGTGCATATATGTCACACTTTGTCTACACAACTGTACAAATGACACTTGCGTTGTACATATTCACAGGCGTAATGGGTCACTTTGTTTATGTTAGAATAACATATCCAAGAGAATTTCACAACATACTCTTAATTTTAACTATGTCTCAGAAACATTATGCCCACATGTCTGGTTTTCTGTTTTCTCAATAAAAATAGGTGTCCTACAGCAGTATACTTTGGTGTCTCCTATTCCTTATGAGTATTCCATGAATAACTTCAATAAAGACTCCCAACTGTTGCACCTATTATATGTGTAAATGAAGTCTTATTTTTCAAATACTAGCCCCTCACACTCTAAATAGTTCAGTAAATAATGAGCTACAAAAATATCACCATACTATATAGATGATCATAAATAAGCTCACTTTAACCCTAATGGAAAACCCTACAGTATTACCAGTTATTTAAAAACAGATCAATCAACCAAATAGACATAAGAATAATTATCCTAAAATTTATAGTAAACAAAAAATCTAGATCTGCTTATTAAATAAATTTTAGTAATGTATTTTCATACACCATATATAACAAAAAATATATAAAAGTTTCTGTAAACTATCAGAGACCTAATAGTATGTTGCTTTCCCCTCTGCACTCCTCACCCTATATTCCTCATTTACCTCTACATACCTCATTACCCTGAGGTATGTACATTACCCATACCTCATTAGGAGCCGGTCGGCCGAGCGGACAGCACATTGGACTTGTGATCCTGTGATCCCGGGCGCCGGCAAGAAACAATGGGCAGAGTTTCTTTCACCTTATGCCCCTGTTACCTAGCAGTAAAATAGGTACCTGGGTGTTAGTCAGCTGTCACGGGCTGCTTCCTGGGGGTGAAAGCCTGGTCGAGGACCGGGCCGCGGGGACACTAAAAAGCCCCGAAATCATCTCGAGATAACCTCAAGATAACCCCCTCACCTCAAACTCACAATAGGTCTTTGAAAATCATTTGTCATCCGAATGGTGACAAATTCTGTCTCCAGGTCACCTATAGTACCATGACTGTAGTAAATCTATAAACATGTCAAACATATAATCAGTACTCTACATACATTTTTGTATGTCCTTTACAGTAACAAAATCCTATACAATACTGCCATGAAAAAACAGACTTAAACCCAGACTTTGAGAGTCCCAGTAGTCAGGGGTGCAGTGCCAATTTTATAGGTGCCAGAGCTCTGGTGGGCCTGACAAAAGCCTGCCATTTCCTATCCTGTTTCTATATACAGTGGTACCTCGGTTTATGAGTTTAATATGTTCCTGGAGACAGCTCGTATTCCGAAAACTCATAATCCGAAGCTAATTTCCCCATAAGAAATAATGGGAAATGAATTAATCCGTTCCTGACTACCCAAAAACCTCACTTCAAACTAAATTTTATACCTAATTCATCTAAATCTACACTACAAAACTATGTTTAAGTTATTACTTACCCTTGCTGATGACTGCTGATGGCGTATAGAAGATGGTGAGGAGGGGGGAGGAGGAGAGGTGTTACTGTTTGGAAGGGGAGTCCCCTTTATCAGGCAGTGAGGACCTCTCTGGTGTGCATTCTCTTGCACGTTTTGCCTGCATACCACTAGGTCCTGGTTGTGGCTCACTGCTCGATTTTCTCAACAAATCTGTCCATGGAAAATTGTTTTTCCCTTCTTCGCAAGATGTCTCTGTAGTGAGACATCACATTGTCATTTAAAAGATTAATGCAACGGCCTACTACAGTTTTCTCTGGGTGAGTCATTTCAATAAAAGTTTGCATTTCTTCCCACATCTGACACCACCACTTCTTCTTTTCTATAAATCCCCCCATAAATACTGTATATATGAACTGTTCAAGACTGAACTTTGTAGAAAAATTCAATTTTCCCGATGTACTGTCATTAGTTTTATGTCTTAAAATACATCACAACACTGACTACACGAGTTCAAATATATTGTAAACTAAAGACATGATAATATTGCAGAGGTAAAAATGTCAAATACAGTACATAAGTATACTCACTCAAGGGTTCAGGTGGTCATCCATAAATGATCTTGAAATTATATCTGGGTGAGTATTGTGGTGATTGTGGGAGGAGGAAGTTGAAGCTTGAGGCCAAGATGTTGAGGCTGTGTATGTAGTTGAGATACCATGGCGATTTTCAAAGTGCCTTTGTCATCCATCATTATGCTTTATAGGGCTTGAAAAATTAAAATTTGTTATGGAAATAACCAGAACTTTTCTGGATCAATTACTTTGTCACTGGTATTTTTGTTTCATCACACATATGATTTTATCACTGCCAGTGTCATTAACTCTTATTATAACTTTAACCTGACTGCTTTCCTCTTCCATATTGATGTAACACTCAATTTGAACATAATAAGCAAAGATCTTATCTTGTGATTTCAATATATCAAAATGAATGACTGAATATTTTTGGACTTTGCATTTTGTCACACAATCATTCTAAGGATACCATTTCTACTTTTGTTATAAGCTTTATTTTCTGCAATGAAGTCATTGCAACATGTTTCATCTTTGATTTTCTGCTAGTTGAAAGCTTGACACACAATACAGTATCTCCATTTTGGGAAACTGTGGTGGAAGGATGTTATAAGTCTCTGAAATAAAATGGTTTGGGCAGTGAGAGCATCAATTACTGTAGGCACACCACAAAAATGACAAACTGGGTTGTAGTGGCACTGCTCTATTTCTTGTATACATCAATGATTTGCCAAATGTTTCTAACATTGTTAAACCTATACTATTCGCTGACAATACTACCTTCATCTATTCTGACCCCAACCCCCTCACACTAAATATTATTGTAAATAAAGAATACAAAAAAAGTCCACTCATGGATGTCAACCAACAAACTCACACTAAACATAGAAAGGACCCACTACATTTTATTTGGTAGTAAATCATCAAATCAAATCCAACTTCAGATAAACATTGTTAACATTAGCAATAAAATTGAGGGAAAGTTCCTTTGCCTGTACACAGACAAGAGACTGAACTTCAGCACCCCACATACAACACACAGCCAAAAAAGTCTCAAAAACGATCAATATACTCTCTAAAATCAGATACATTATGTTCCCCACTCTGATCTCCTCTCATTATACTATGCGCTAATCTATCCCTATCTTACATACGGTAACTGTGCATAGGGTTCAACCACTGCAAATTACCTCAAGCCCATCATCACTCAGCACAAATCTGCTATCAGAACTATAACAAACTCTGTCTTCAGACAACACACAGCCCCTCTGTTTAGTCCCTTAATTTACATGCTAAACATACACTCACTCCAAACATCCTCATGTACTATTTACATGTACAAAACCTTGTTCCTAAATGCTAATCTTGTTCTGAAACTTTACCTTGATAGGTGTAATAGAACCCATGAGCAACACACAAGAAATAAATGTATCTTTGATATTCCCAGTCAAACTAAATCTGTGCAAACAGTTCATGCAAATAAAGGGACCCAGTCTCTGGAACTCACTCCCTAATGAATTAAAAAATTCTCTGACCTATGTCTTATTCAAAAGTAAAACCAAAAAGTAATGAACCTAATTTCATCCACATAGTTTCCTACCTTGTTCTTCAAGCTCACACTGTATCTTGTACTACCCACTTCGCCAATATTAGTACTGAAGACATATACAGTCGCCAGTGTAATCACCTCTTGTCAATTAATATTGTAGTTATATGTTGATATAAAACTTTGCTATAATGTACCTTTTCATCTTACCTGATATGTTAGATTAAGGACCTGCCTTAAACATTATGCGTGTTAGTGGCTTTGCAAGAATGTAAAAATGCTGTACCAATCTTATGTAATCTCACAAACTCATTGTACCTTCTTGTAAATAAAAATTATTTATTATTATTATTATTATTATTATTATTATTATTATTATTATTATTATATTATTATTATTACTGCTGTTGGCTGCCTGATAAACTAGGCCTAACTTCTTAATAAATAAACTTTTTGAACAATAGCAATTTGAAAAGTGTGATAAACTCTGTATACCTTGCACAACTGTCCTAATTCACATTCTCTCATTTCAACGTCAGGCATCAATATCAAAATTGCACATACAGTACTTAGTGCCTATTACATCTTTGCACACTAGATTTTTTTCTTCAATTTCAATTAACCCTGTAGCATTATCATATTTACTCTTAATATATAAAGATATCTTAGAGGACACTATATATGGGAAGAGGTTTCTGTTATTTATCTTGATTGCCTCTCTCACAATCAGCTAAATATCTGCATAAGGAAATATTTGTAATAACCATGGACTGATTTGTGAGCTTTTGAATAATTGCACTTCCATAGCTTTTAAGGTTTTTCTGTTACTATCATTTAGTGTTCATTAATGTGAATATTTTGTATCTTTTACAAATATAGATTCTGCTGGAAGCCGGTGCAAATCCAGAAGGTAGTCGAAAAAATCGCTGTTCTCCATTGCTAATTGCAGTCAGAGATGGGTTTTCAGCAGGTGTTAAGGTAAGCAATATTTTTATGATTTATAAAATGCATTAGTACTGGCATTATTATTATTATTATTATAGTTTTCTTCTCAAGAGTGATAACATACATGTGCAGTAAGTACATATGTACCATATTCCTAAATTATATACACTGCAGTCATCATTACCCCTATTTCTCTTTTTTATAATGAATTTCAAACTTTTATTAGCCACAACTGACCCATGTTGTAATTATAATGAGTTTCAGTTTTGCCTGAAACACTGAGAATACTCCTGGCTCTACAATGTTACTTATGTATCCCACTGTTGGGAACAGAGAGCCTGTTAGTTTCATTGAGGTCCTCCAGGCCATCACATGACCTTACCCAGAATACAACCCACAACAGTTGGCTAACTCCTGGGTGCCTATATACTGCTAGGTGAAAAGTCAGTAGGTGTAAGGAAACATGCTCGAATGTCTTAACCTGTCTGGAAAGCAAACCTGAAACCAATGTGAATACTGTACTGTACTGTCAGTAAATATCTGTATAAGTTCTAGTCAACACCCAATATGCTATACTGTATTATATATGCTTTACAATAGCAAAATATAAATAAAAAATTCATGTTGCTGAATTGTCCAGTTTTATGAGAAACTTAAAAAGGGTTTTTTGGGGTTTGTAATTGTTAGAATTGGTACTAGATAATTTTTTCTTGAATTTCGAGTCTTGCTAAAAATGTTTGGTAATACATTATACAGTATTAGATGAACATAAGATGTAATAAATTTAAGCAAAACGAACTAAATTTAGGCTAAACCAACTTATTTGCTTCAGAAAAAAAGAACCCAGTACACAGTCATCCAAAATTAGACGATGTACACAAACTGTAGGTGAAACACATCAGTAATAAACCCATTGTCCACAAATGATATTATGTACAGTACTCAAAGACACTATTTACCTGAATTTACCTGAGAGCCACTAATACTAGGCGGCCTCAACGGGGACAGGAAGGCTTGTCAAAGGTCCCCCCCATTTGTTATTGCTTTAACATACAAAAATACATTAATCTGTTTTACTAAAAAAAAATCAGGTTTTATATTATTGGAATGCTCCAAATGGTATGCTGAAAACTGGAGTACAAGAAAAACAATATTTAAGTAGCAGATGAATTAATACCACCTAGAGTTTCATTTAACTGATCATTGTCTATAAGATACTATTTTCCTGATATTGAGAACGTCATTTACAGCATTTTATAAAATTTATATTTACAATATATTTACAGTGCTACTATACTTTTTTTATATAATTTTTCAGCTCCTCCTACAATATGGAGCTGATCCAGAGCCTTTTGATCAGGTGTGCACGTGTGTGCCTGGCTGGCCACTGCAGCATGCTGTCGTGTATGCTCATTTTTCCTGTTATTTTGAGCTGGTAAAAGGAGGGGCTATAGCAAATCTTACTTCACTCCCATATCCAGTAAATCCAAAAACAGTGGCACGTTTGTCAATTCCACATGCCATTCTGAAGTATGCAAAGTAAGTAACTGTTTTAGTACTTATATTATTATACAGTTTATATTATATTACTATAAGAAAAAAAAAGGATTTTGTAAAGTTTATTTTGAGAATATTTAGATGTATAGCAAGGCCAAAAATCATCATGGGGATCTGAAAGTCACCCAGGCATGCTGTTCCTTTATTAATTCTGGTAACCTCAACCAGCCTATGATCATCCCATCCCCTAGACCATTCCCTCTGCCAATATGGCGATGCTAACCCCAAGTGTGCGGCCTCCATCTTCGAACAGACATTCTCTCTTATAGTATAGCTATACCCAGTATTTAACTTACACAAACATATTATCCAGTATAATTTGTTCACTTCCAAACCATTATTTGCCAAAATCTTTTCTGAATTTGAACTAATCCACTTTGTATCCATTATTTTGTGTTCTATTTTGTATTGATATATTTAGTGCCCTATTAATATTTTCCTTTTTTTATACCCATTCATCCATTTATATATTTCAATCATATCTCACCTTACTCTTCCTAGCAAATGTAAATTAAGCTTCCTTATTCTCTCTTCATATGGAAGGTTTCTAATTCCGGGGATTAACTTTGTCATCATCCTCTGCACAACACTCATATGCAGTGAGTGGTCAAGAGGTGGAATAAACAAGTTTATTTACACCATCCTCCTACCTACCTATCACAAACAATACCTAGCTGCCCCATCCTACCTACATTATTGCCTACTTCACCTCACTCATACCCCTTCTCTCCACCATCACTTCCACACCAAGTTCGGTAAAGATCACTGAACTTTCCCTTCACCTGTGAACCATGGATTACACTGTGTTCACAAATATTTTACAAATGTAAAGACAGATTTTAGTTTGATATGTATAATTGTACTACTGGAAACCGTGCTTATGTTACAGGTCTTTCCACTGTCAGGATGTTAAGTATTTTACAGGTTATTCAGTTGTAAATTGTGAAGTATGGTATATGTTACATGACTGAAAATTGTGAACAACAGTGAGAACTATAAATTTTATACCCGGTACAATATTTGTTTGACATCATACTCTTCTTTGTGTAGGGAGTATCCAGAGTTTGTAGAGTTGCATTATGAGAGTGGCGGTGACTTACGCCAGCTCAACACCAATGGAATAACCTGTATAGAAGAATTTGTTGAAGTTTCACCTGCAAGGGATCAATTAGTTGCATTATCAGGTGAGGTATTAGTAAAACTAATTACTTAATATACATGAGCTATATTCAGAATTACACACAGATGAGCACATGCTTTCCGGACACCTCAGGCCCGAGACCGGACAAATATCCTGCTGTGTATAGATAATTGTCATCCTAAAAATCTAGAGGGAAAATTTAACTGTACTATGTACTCACCAATATGAAAAAGTACAGATAAATGTATGAAGCTGAAAATTATTATGGTTGGTGGTAAGTTATGGTGTTGAGTTGACTGAAGTGGAGATTGATGGCAATGAGGTGCCCTCAGATAATGAAGTGCCTCTACCACTCCCACACTGCATTATCAATACTGTACCTGCACTTTACATCTTAGCTCTACTCACTGCCTTTCTATTACAGATTGCTTTATCACTTTTACTTCTACAAAAATAGTCAAAAGACAATAGATTAATAATGTCTAAAAGTGTAGTCTAGCTTATGTGATATTCAGCATGCACAACACTTCTCAAGTTCCCACTCTCAAACTTCTTAATTAGTTAGATTTTCTTCTCAAATATCAGCACTGACCAATTATTCTTATTTTTCTCACTTATAGAAGCTTTCACTGATAAAATGCCTTCATATGGAGCGTCATATAAAATGCCTTCATATACTGTCGCTTCTTATTACTGTATTCACCTGCTCACTCTCCTGAGCTTTCTTGGTCTCTGAATCATGTTCTAAATTTTCATTAGTCTTCCCAGTTTTCTGTTGCCCATTTTATAATGGGACTATTATTTTTGTTGGATCTCACTTCTGGCCTTAGGTTGGAGAGGTTCATGTTCTCTTTCAGAAGCAAGGGGGTGCTTTAGGTTCTGGTGGGTGTTTTCTTTGCTTGCAGCTTTCTCCTACTTAAGAATGAGATGCTGATTTCAGGGTGGACCATTAATTGTATCTTGGGTTGTTTAAGTGGAGGAGCATCATTTGATGAGCCCAGTTTCAGTAGTTCGCTGTTATTTGTGTGCCTTTCGGGATGCTTCGCTTGTTTGTTGACCTGGTATCCTTGGTTCCTAGGTCAAAGGCTTATTTGTTTCAGGTTGCCCACAGTGTCATTAAGGTCAGACAGCCTGCCGTCTACCCTAGAGCCCATGATGTTCATAAGTTTGTGGTTCTGTTTACTGTTTAATCTAATAAGTTTTGAGGTAATATTCGGGCTCGAGGGGGTTTTGGTGCACTAATGGATTTTGATGGCATGATATCTTGTCAATGTGCCTGATCCATGGCTCACTTAGGTGAGCATGGAAGGGACCTGATTGTTTTTTGTAGGGACCTGACAGCCGAGTGGGCAGCGCTTCGGATTCGTAGTCCTGAGGTTCCAGGGTTCGATCCCCAGTGGAGGCGGAAACAAATGGGTACTTTCTTTCACCCTGATGCCCCTGTTATCTAGCAGTAAATAGGTACCTGGGAGTTAGACAGCTACTATGGGCTGCTTCCTGGGGGTGTGTAGCAAAAAGGAGGCCTAGTCGAGGACCGGGCCGCTAAGCTCCGAAATCATCTCAAGATAACCTCAAGATAGGTGGCACTGGATAGGTTACCTGGTACTGACTGCTGTTTTCCTCTGCCTCTGGGGAGCCCTGTTTGGTTTGTTCTCCATGGTGAGATGGCACCAGAGAGCCACCGAAGGGGGGCCCCTCCCAGCACTGAATCTTCTCTTTTTGGTGGGGCCCCCTTGCTGGCTCCCTGTCCTCACCCTTCCCTTTTCAGGGGCTTTGATTGCTGTTTGGGTGACTTGTGTCATATTGTTTGACCCCGGGCAAACCGTGAGTTGCTAGGGCAGACACCTGGCAGAGGGGCAATGTAACTAGCAGGGGTAACTGTTCAAGTTGTCACAATTGTTAATTTTTTTTTTTTTTTTTTTTTTTTTTAACTTTGGTGTGCTCGACTTTTTTTATGGTTTTCTCTAGATTTGGGTGATTTAGTGTCCCCTTCTCTCTCTGCATCTCTTTAGTTTATCCTATGGTTTTGTCCTCTGGTTTGCAGTTGGTTTTCTGTGACTCGCAAGGGTCTGATGGCCATCGTTGGCCTGATAGCAAGTGGAGAGCCTTCCAGGCAGCTAACACCAAGTAGCCACTGAGAGGCCCACCAGAAAGAGGCACAACATTACATTCAACACCAGAATTTTTTAAGTTAATTTTTTGCACTAGAAATGGAATAAAAAATACGAATATAAAATATTTGAATTTTAGTGCTTTTTAATCCAAGATGGGAACAAGTCAAAATTACGTTGTCACAGCATACGGGTTAATGGTAATAACTAGTCATGTACAGTATAGTACTTGGGAATTTGTCGAGGAAATATCTTTTATAGATTTAAATTTTAACGCTTCACATTTTTTTCAATTTACAGTCATAAAAACACAGTTGGCTTGAGATATCCTATTCTGTATTATGAAAATTGAGGCAAGACATAATTTGGTCTCACCTACCATAAGACTGATTAGTTCAACAATACTTAAAGCAGCTGTTCTCAACTGTTGGCTCATTCACTGTGTGTGTCAAACCCAGACAGTGAAAGAGTTGTCTGCTCTGGTTAATATGATATATAGCTCACTACCACCATGTATTAGTGAGGTGATGATGCATTACTTTACAATCCATTTCTTGCTCCCATCATAAAATAGGATTTTACAATTTTAGTTTTGCTTTACATATTTTATTTATAAATACTTTATACCTTATGCTCTCGTTTTTTTTCAGGGTTGCCTTTGAGCCTCAAGTCGTTGTGTCGAGTGGCTATCCGAAAATTTCTTGGGCGGAAAAGTCTGTTTAAGCTTTCATTGCTTGAGGTTCCGTCTTCTTTAATTACATTCTTAAACTTTGAAGAGTTTACTCATTATTCACGAAAATCCAAAGAAAATATTCACATTAAAATCCATACCAAAGAAGAGTAAATTTACACAAAGAATGGCAGAGAAATTTGAAAATGTTAGAAGATAATTTAGTGAATTCCAGTAAATTTAGTCTTTATAACAATGAAAGAGAAATATTCCAATATACTGTACATGAATGATATTTTACACTACACATTAGCTTCCATGCTCTTTTTTTAATTTCATGATCACCTAACAAGTTGAATCAGTTAAAGGAAATCATGCATGATGCGCAACTTGGGTACTTTATTGACACTGAACTATTAAGTGAACCAAAGAGGCATCCATCAGTCATAGGAGACTATGGAGTTGCACTCTGGATATTGGTCTGGTGTGGCCTCTCCAGGGCGCAAAGCCAGGGTAGGTTGATACAGGGGAGACTATTAAGAGAAACTCTTAATATTCTGGTATTTACTAAGTACTGTATACTTTTTAAAATAATGGTAATTTGAATTGAAAAGTCCAATTATACTGAATATTAAATATACAGAATTGGTATTTTAATGTTTCACGTATAGTTTTTATTCAAGTTTAGGATACATTTTTATATATTTATATATACAGTATATATAAAGAGTAGAATAGTGTACGACCTCTAAATGGAAGGGATTCGTATGATAAATGGAGGGGCTAGAAGTGTTAACAATACCGAAGCTGGAAGATAGACGGAAAAAGAGACAATATGATTACTACAAACAAAATAAGTGACAGGAATTGACACAATTGACATTGATGAATTTTTGAAACTTGGAAAAATAAGTACCAACCAACACTGGTACTAAAAACCAATAATGGTACTAAAAACCAACAATGGTACTAAAAAATAACATCTTTAAGTTCTCTTTTTGCAGACAGTTGTATGCTATTACAACAATTCAAGTGAGAAGTTGGTGGCTGTCAAAACCATCAGTACTGTAGTTTCAAAGCATCATCTGACAGTTTATAAGGCAGACGAGAGGGACACCACGAGCATAGCTTTCATTATGAAACTATACTTAGGTAATTACATCCACTTTGGGAGGGAATCCCAAGGAGCTGAAAAGATGTCCTCAAAGCTCTACAGACTGAGGTCAAGAACTAGTGACATAGGTATAGATATTTGAGAGTATGATGTATCATTAACAAGACAGTATGGTAATTTAATTAGGAAATGGGGTAAAAGGGACAAAATTAGCAGAGCAGGCAACTCATTCTATGAATGACGGTATCCTTCAAATGGTAACCTGGTAAAGAAGTGTTCAAGTTGCAGGAGGATGCAGAGCTTAAAACAAAACAATATTAGTGATTCTGTACGCAGTTTATAACATGTTTGTTGATAAAGGTAAATTAAAGGGGAAAGCAGTAAGCAAGCTTGTTTGAAAGTAAGAATTACATGCAAGCAATAAATGTTAACCACCACCAATTTCATGCTTATTGAGTTTTATTCCATCTGTCATCCTTCAGCACTACACACACATATGATGTGTGTAGTAGTAGTAGTAGTAGTAAGGGGACCTGACGGCTGAGTGGACAGCGCTCGGGATTCGTAGTCCTAAGGGTCCGGGTTCAATCCCTGGTGGAGGCAGAAACAAATGGGCAGAGTTTCTTTCACCCTGATGCTCCTGTTCACCTAGCAGTAAATAAATACTGTACCTGGGAGTTAGACAGCTGCTATGGGCTGCTTCCTGGGAGGGGGTGTAACAAAAACGAAGCCCGGTCGAGGACCGGGCCGCGGGGATGCTAAGACCCGAAATCATCAAGATAACCTCAAGAAGATAGTCCACAGTTGAGTAGACACCATTGGCAGCAACAATAAAAAAAAATCTCTTTACCCTTAGAATAGAAGTACATCAGTTACTTCATATTTCTTAACCAATTCTTTGAAACATTTGTATGAAACTTCATTTTTGTCTTTTAATATGATAATATGTTTAGATATGATACTAATATGTATGACACATTATTAGTATCATGGCGTGGTTCTTGTGAGTGCATGAGGGGTAGTATATGCCATACGCTTCATCAGACATAGCCAAAGAGAAGTGCTAATCTCATACATGTGGTAATAATTTAATGTGTGGGGATACATATTTAATTATAGATATTTAATTTAATGTGTGGGGGTACATTAAGTGAACGTGTAACTCAGCAGTATTACCAGAAAACTGATGAATGATAACATTTCATCACCATTCACAACAATGTTGCCAGTGATGCCACAACATGTCTCAGAATGTGGCAACACATTATATTATTATAAATTACTATGCCAAAATAATTACTGTACAAATCAATCGCAAATTCTTTGGATAATATAATGAACATGAATAATGTTGTGTGTTTACATCCTACGGTGTTAGAGTCTTCTGGACCACCCTCTTCATGTATGCCTTTTCTAGTCCATATTATTTTATAATTATTAATGCCATTAAAAACAATTTACTTGATGCAGACATTAAAATTTTGCTTAAATGGTTATGCTTTAATGTTAATTTAGTTTCACCTTCTCAAAGTTCACTTTATTGCTTATCTCTATAGATTTTGATCATCAGCATAACTTACATGCTTCTAATCAGCCTATCAGATATATTTGCAATTTAATTCTAATATGGATAACAAATCTCCAACATTTAAGGAATTAAGATTTAATGTGTACAGTGTCTATGAAATGTGTAGGAAGCATTGTACACCTAGTTGTATGACATTGACATGGAAGAGTGTTGAAGCTATGTGGTGCTGTGGTATGTGGTGTTATTAGGAGGATATTGAAAACTGGATGCCATACCAGTGATGGTAATTTTCAAGAAACTTACTCATCTTCTTTCGAATATTGCTCAGTCCTCATGTCCCCTTTCAAGGCAGGTAAGACAGCAGAGCAAATAATATGCAGAAATTCTTTGCTGTCCATATGGAACTGGTGAAACCTGTACTATACAGTACAATTAAATAGCAGTAATTGAGATACAGTAGGAAATTTAAATAAATCCAATGATAAGTTGTTGGAGTGCCAAAGCCACAGCTGAAGAACACAGAATAGTAGAGGTATGTGTGAATACACTAGTGTATTCTACAATACAGTAGTGTTAGTCCTATCATCTGTTCAACTTATGAAGCCACTTAAACTGGCCTTGAAGTTCCCAATGCTCATGGTTAATGTCATTCTTTCAGCTACAGTACATGCAGTAGCTATGTCCCACCAACAGGCTGTAGAAACCACTGGTAAACAATATCAGCCAAATCCTCATACCTAGAAGATTTCAGCATTTTTGTGCCACCACCACCACTAGTTCCCTCTTTTTTTACTCAAATTCCATGATCTGCTTCTTTCCCCCTGCCAACAAATATATGAAATATCACTGGAAAAAGCAATAGAAGCCATCAATATAGATTTTGATACGTTTGTATGTGGATCTGTGGGCTACAGACAAACTGCCTCATAGGATGGTATTTAAATAAAATAATCTGTTCCTACACAGTGCACCCTCTAAAACCTAAATCATGTCATTTTGAACCCAATCTGCATTCATGTGAAATCTGGTTTTCTAAATAAGTGGCTCTTTTTTTGGCTCTCATCAAATTTTCTAGATTTTTCATATAGTAAATTATATAGATGTCATCTTATTAAGACAACTATTATATAAACAATTTTGTGTGCATATAAATAATAAATATGCACCCCAAAACAATGCAAACCAAAGTCTGCAAGTACAAATACAAGTTTGTTTCACTTACCTTTTAGTAGTACAGTACTGGCTATACAGTGGACCTTCCAAACCCCAGATTATGTCATTCCGGACCCAATCTGGATTTCAGAACATGGTATTTTCCATTTCTTGGCTATTTATCACAAATATTTTTAGATTTTCTTACAATAATTCATATAATACATGCCTACATATTTTGAAGCACAATACTGTATATACATAATGAATTTGTAAGTATATAAAAAACATGTACAGTAAACAAAAAATACGGAAATAAAAAAAACTAATTCACTTACCTTTTAGCAGCACAGACAGGTCTTGGTAACCCAGAGGCAGCAAAGTAGTGTTAGTCCTACCATCTGTTCAACTTCTGTAGCCACTTGAACTGGCCTTGAAGTTCCCAATGCTCATGGTTTATGTCATTCTTTCAGCTACATGCAGTAGCTATATCCCACCAACAGGCTGTAGAAACCACTGGTAAACAGTATCAGCCAAATCTTCATTACCTAGAAAATCTCAGTATATTTGTACCACCACTTCTCTCTTTTTTTTTTTTTACTCAGACTCCATGATCTGCTTCTTTTGTTTTTTTTAATGTCGTAAACTATTAAATCCTTCAGCCACTTGCATCCTCACCCACGATTTCACTTTGGTAATAACTGTGCCTTCTTATCCATGCCTCGTGTACCAATACTACTTTTACTGGATGACATAGCTGCAACTTGCATATAATGATACAGTACATTCAAAGAAAAGCTAGTGAAAATGCTGGAGTAATATGAGGTCAGACCATGCTTATGCATAGGAACAACACATGGCTGTCCCCCCCCCCCTTCTTGCAGTAGATCTGGACGTCACAGACAAAATGACAAAACGTTTGTGCAATTTACAGAAAAGTGCATACAATTAAATTAACTAATTAAAACTACCTTTATCATTGTCGATAACTTCAACTTCAATTATCTCTGAAACCAGAGTTTCAACTTTGAGAGGCTTCTAAAATTCCAGTTTTTGACCAATTCTCACTATTTTGACACATTGAGTGCTCAGCTGTCTGACCACACAATGGTGCTGGTTCAATTGGTGATAGTTCATATTTTTTATTCGAAATTTAAAATGTGAAGTTTCCAATATTCATTTTAAATTTAATTTTGATTCTCTTGTTTTTCAAGTTGCACTGTGATCATTTAGACAAAGTTTTAGCATTTGCCTAGTTGATTATGCAAAAAAATAATTGGAAAGTGTTTATGCAAGTTTTAAAACTTATGTTAAATTATTTTTTGTCTAATCATATACAGTATGTATGTATTGCATGGTCTAAGGGTTAGGGGGAATGTGTAGTTACAGCCACAATTGCATGGACTGTTGAAATTCCCATCATACAAAGTGTATAAACATCGTTAGAAAATGCCATTGCTGTTTTAGATATTACAGTACCTTTTTCTAACACCTAAATGTGTAAAATTCTATAGAAATCAAAAATAAAATGCTATGATCCTAGGCTACCATATTTCTACATTTATAAGTTGATTGTATACTATGTAATCACCAACAGGATAATAAATTTTGAAATTTAAAATTCCATACCTTTTAGAGAGGTGGGAGACAAAAACACAAGACAAATACGAGGGTTGACTAAAACGATTAACAGTCATATAATGATATAAAATGATGAACACAAGGAAATTAAAGTATGCACATTACTGTACAGCACTGTGTACTCTTGGTCAGACTAATTTTGGACACCCCCACCTGGCCTATCCAACATTCTGTTGCATTGAGTGCAAATATACAATATGTAAGAAAACATTGCACTAATTCTTAAATTTTAAAGATTGTCCATGGCTGGTGAATGAAAAAGTTGCCACGTTCTGAATGCTGTGTTAAAAAAAATGTACGAATCAATTGATTTTTAGCCCCATTTTAGTGCAAGAAAAGTATGTGGCAGAAGCAGTGTGGTGCAGCCAGGGTGGTAATACTGTAAGGTTTTCCTGTTGCACCCAGCCATCCTCCTAATGTTTCACAAATCTAGGAAAAGCTTTAAAAATAAATTGATTTCCATGGGTCTTTCTCAACCCTTTCTCCTGTCGCTTGGGGGATCCCTGTCAAGTGCTCTGTCCTGTGCAGGTTATGTTAGGGGATTTCTTCTAGTCTGTAGGGCTGCTCTTACCAGGTGGTACTTCAAGTATTTGCCCCTTTTCCAGGCGATCATTCTGCAAAAAAAGGGCCACGTAGAGGTGCTCTTCATAGATTGTTTGCAGCCAATCCCAGTTTCGTCAGGTTTTGTTGTAAGGAGCCTGCTAGGCCTTCCATAAACAGCTCTGTAGGATCCATCTGCCTGGTTTCGTTGCTGTAGTCGCCTCTTGTAACACCTGTGTTCTTGTGCGGAAGACTAGTTTATGCCCTGCTTGTTGTAGAACAGGTTCTGGGTAGCCCCATCTCTGAACTTCTGCCATAGGTCTGGGAGTTGTAGGTTCAAGGTTTGACACTCACTGTTGATGAGTTTTAATCTCAGGGACTCCCCTCAGAAACTAGATTTCTCAAACAAAAATTATGAATAATTGTTAGAAAATATGTGCTGTACTTTGTTGACAAAGTCAATGTTTATAAAGCACAATAGTAAAAGGGTTAAGCCAGTTTCTTAAGCATTCCCATATAGTGGATATAAATAACAGAATTTATTAAAAGCTTTAATGCATTCGGGTAGAAACCGAAACATAGCATAGTACAAATCACAATTACACTACAGTATCCTAAAATAGCATATGTTACAGAAAGGTAAATTGACTATTTACTTACATCATAAAGCTCTCTACAAATATTTTTCAAAATAAAAACTATAAAAGGTAATTATGTAACATCTTTGGTCAAAATGGAAGAAAATAATAAAAGTAAAATATTATTGCATTGTAATTCATGATCAAATATTAGTTATCTCCAATTGAGATTATCAGTATTTAAATGATATACATAAGGAGGAAATAGCTTAAGATTACAGCTTAAAAATAGTGACTATCCAAGATAATGACTACTATTTTATCCAGTTACAGCAATTTGTTTTACAGAGAAAATACAAAACATGGCACAATACTAGTACTGTAATAATAATCATATTACTCTTGTCTTTAGATTAATTTAGTTCCTAATATTATTGTTTGAAAATAGATTCAATACCAAAATGAAATGGAAACCTTTTTCAATTAGAAATAATTATCAAAGGAGATAAATTTCTGCAAATAAAATTATAAATAAGTTACAGTATATAAATTTTATGAGTTACAGTTTTTACTCACTAATTAGAATTAATTGGGGCAGAGTCACATTTATGTTAAATGGATATTTGGTTACCTGAAGTTTTAACTATTCAATACATATTACAAAAACAAAGATATAATGCAATAGAGAGAACACAAATTTCCACGAACATTAATAAAATAATTGGAAAAGTACATTCATATAAAATAATTAAAACAAAATAAATGGAGCATTTATCACTTACACTGGATGAATAGAACAGTTGCTTCATCACACTCAGATGACCATACAGGAGGCTACCAGTAGCTGCACTTACTGGCTCTCATGTGTTTATTGTCAAAGGTTTGAAATTCTTGTGATCTAACTTCTGAAAGTCTTTGTGGGTTGAAGTGAATGTTCTCCAGGGCAATCCCCCCCACCCCCCTTCCTAATGCCAGTGTTAAAATGCAGAAAAGTTTAAAGAGGTTTCCTGTGGTGCCGTTGTGAAATGTTGACCCTCTCGACTCTTAATCGACACAGAAGAACCTTATCTTAGGGAGCAACCATGTGAGAGATCAAGTCTGTAATATATACCTTATATTTCTGCCATAAGACAAATTGTTATAATATTTTTAAATAACAATTACTTTTATTTCATTATGCATTTTTAATGTTTTACATTTACTTTGGTACTTTTGAATACATAGGCTAGTGGCACTGGCTATGTTAAACCAGTCATCTGCTAAACTTTAAAACAATCTAAATGTCATTCCAGTAATTTTTACAAATAATCAAAATCAAATATTGCTCATGCTTTCCCAAGATTCCAGACACAGTACAAACACTGGCCTTCCATTAGATTGCATCCAATATACTCAGTAATAGTTTAGTAATTCAGTACTGTTAAAGGAACCCTTACCAGTTGCTAAAAACAGCAAAGACCTCTCTTAAATGTAGAGAGATGCTAAACTTTTACTGAATTATTAAAATTAAAACAAATACTGTATACAAATTAATGTACTGTACTGTAATTACTAAACCATAATGCTCTTGTAGGAGGCAAAATTAAAGAAACTGAAAGAATAATTAAAACTTCTCAATACGTGCAGGTGTAATAATAAGCCAACCATAACCAATAGTCGTTATATTATACTAAAGCAAAGATGCACCCAGATACACTGACATTATTTAATACTCGATGACTCATCATATCCTCACCACGACCATCAGTCACCTCGATATGTATTAAAATATTAAAGCTGTTGTGTTTTTATTGTACGTGCATATGTACTCCAACGCGTGCACATGTGTGGTATCTAATAGCCAGCACCATATTTCTTGGCCTAGTATACAAGGCCCAATTTGCCTAATAAGCATAGCGATTTTCATTACTTTCAAGTATTTCATTCCAAATTGGTTTATTCTAATTAATATTATTATATTATAACATGAATATGAAACATGTCCTGACCTAGTTAGGTTTGGTAAGGTTTGGTCAAATTTCAACATTAATTTTAACTCAAATTAACAAAAAGTTCAAATTATATAATGTACTGGAAAGCCTTTTCCTTCCATAAGAAAAAACTGAAAATATCGTATTTCTGGATAATTCGGCTTCTTAGGCAACTTGGCGTTTTAAGTACAACATATGTATGTCATATCTAATAGTCAGAACTGCGCTACTTGGCCTAGCATGTAAGACCCGATTTGCTTAACAAGCAGTGATTTTCGTTATTAATCAATACAGTAAACTGGAGAAGGTGCAAGTGCATGCTACAAAATGGTTTCCGTAACTGAAAAACAAGAGTCGTTACGAGAGGCTAGAGGTGTTAAATATGGCAAAACTTTAAGATAGAAGAAAAAGAGGAAATACGATCACCATAAAATAATAACAGGAACCGACCAAAATGACAAAGAAGAATTCCTGAAACTGGCAACATCCTCCTTGTGAGTATAAGAAATATTGTGAGAACAACCTTGGACATCTTCAAGATAAAAACTAGACAGTTTTCTTCAAGAAGTGCCGGACCAATTGGGCTGTGGTGGATATGTGGGCCTGCGGGCTGCTCCAAGCAACAGCCTGTTGGATGAAGCTCTCACAAGTCAAGCTTGGCTTCAGGCCGGGCTTGAGGAGTAGAACTCCTAGAACCCCATCAAGCAGAGTGGTAGATAGTTGGAACAAGCTAAGTGAGAAGGTGGTTGAAGCCAAAACCGCCAGTAGTTTCAAAGCATTATATGACAGAGTACTGGGAAGACAGGAACACCACTAGCGCAGTTCTCATCCTGTAACTACACTTAGGCAATTACACAAATATATATAACTAAAGTTCAACAAGTCCACTTTTTAATGACTCGTACCAAATTTAAACAAAATACAGTGTAAAGACAAATCTTTTTTTTTATTTTTGTATAAACACAAAAGTATACAGTGGAACCTCAGTTTTTGAATTTTTAAGTTCTCGAGCTCAATTTCTTTGAAAAAATCAACTTTGTACTCGAGGTGTGCCTCGGTGCGCCAGTTTGTCGATACACGTATGGGCCGACTGAGAGCGTAGCGTGCTTCAGTTTACCAGTGTCCTCAGCATAGTGACGACCATGCTAGAATTCCTTGTGAAGAATTTCATTGTTTTTCAGCTTTTTTGCTTTCTGAACATAAAAGTTCTTATTATATATCATGCCATGGGTTACAAGAAAGTCAGTGGTAAAGTTCAACCTAAGAAAATAGTTGTGAGGATGGCGATAGAGGAAAAACAAGAGATCATTCATAGTGAGACAATATGATGTCTCACTACAGACAAGTATTAAAACGTAGCAAAAAACAACTATCTATAGACAGATAAGACAAGCAAGCAGTGAGCCTCATCCAGGTCCTAGTGGTATGCCTGCAAAACGTAAGAGAGAGTAACCCAGAAAAGTCATCACTGCTGTTATAATGGAAGGGGACTTCCCTTCCAAACACTAACACATCTCCTCCTCCCCCCACTTTCCTCACTGTCTTCCATACGCCAACAAGAGTCCTCAATAAAGGCAAGATATATTTGAACATACTGTAGTACAAAATTTAAGTAATAGAATGAATAAAATGTATTTTTAAGTTAATATTTTTTGGGGTGTGAAACGGATTAATTCAATTTACATTATTTCTTATGGAAAATTGATTTCAGTTTTCGAACCGTCTCTGGGAACAGATTAAATTCGCAAATGGAGGTACCACTGTATTTAGAAAAAATTATTTACATTTCTACTTCTTTATAGAAATTTATAAGTTGGTCATTTAACATTGCACATTAGGAAGAATGATACTGGAATGAATTACCCATAATTATTTAAAGGTAAAACGTATTTGTTCTTACTTGAAAGATGATAATTTTAACACAAAATTAAAAAATAAGGCAGTGATTCGGAAGAAAATATAAATCCACCATCAGTCTATGGGGATTATACCTAATTCATATAAGTTTGACAATATTGTACAACGAAGCCTTTCATAATGTGACTCTACAATGACGTAATGATGTTTTCCGTTACAAAATAATGTGATGCAAAGAGCCTCACCTTCTGAGACGGAAACCCTTGTTGAGATTCATGAACAGTTTACCATTTGTCAAAATTTGGAGTCATGAGTAGCATACTTCATAGCCAAAAGCACACTACAGTATTTGAGTAATAAAAGAAAGGAAACTGTGCTACAGAAAAATATAATCATTAACACACAAGTTAAAGTATGACTACAATAAGGAAATAAAATATATAAATTTGTGTAAAATAAACTACTTAGGCTTCAAAATTTTAAAACAACATATTGTACAGTATTTTGAAATTCATTTGGTCCATTGTGTCAGTCGTTTATAATAAATCTAAATATAAAAGCGTAATAAAATATTCGTACAAACTCTTGAATAAATTAACAATACACATTCATTCAAACTACTAAATAAATTAACAATAAAATTTTTACATTTTTTATGGAATGAGAAAACCAATGATTTCTATTAAACATTGCGGAACTTATCATCTTAAATTACAATGCAATGGTAAGTTTGATCTACACTATAATATTCATCATTTACTTTGAGAATGAAGTTACTAGATGCAACACAATTGCAATTACAGTGTGATCTGCATCTGTAATGAACCGATTAATTAAATTGATGTATATGTCAGATCTTGAGTAACTCTTCTGTAGATGCATCTTTCTTGATGACAAGAGGTTGGTCTTGGCAACTTCCATTCCTAGTCACTGGAAAAAATTTAAGTCCATTTTTTTGATTCTAGTAAAGAAAATGCAGTATAGACAAAATACAGTAGTTTAATAAGTGGATTAGAAGAACAAAACAAAAATTTGTTAGCCAATTAGTGAAAATGACACTTTTTATTTAGATTTAAAACGTTGTTGCCTGCACTTTAATTAGTGGCAAATAGTTAGTTTTCCTAGAACTCACTAAGCTCAACAGGTCATCTTGTGTTTACTTGTAAATATATTATTAGCTGAAGCTTGATATATGACTTACACAACAGTAGATTTCAAGAATCTTGTCTTCCTTATTAATTATTCCTTACTAAATGCATAAAAGTAACAGTACAATGCTCCATTTACTGTTGAATTTGAATTAAATTTGTAACCAAAATTACAAGGAAATATTAAGTATTTACCACTTTTCTTTTATTGAAGGTAATACAATTACAAAATGTATAAGCAGAAAAATGAAAGGCAAACACCAATTCTGAAGACATAACATTTTAAGGATGCTAATTATGAAACTGGCAGTGTATATAGCAAGTGTTTTACAGCCAAAAGTATTATCAATTTCATTAGTTTTAGTAAACTGCATAAAAAAGCATTTTATATGGATATTATTTTCAATTAACTATCCAGTAAAACCTCAATCCTCCGGGTTTTGAGTTTCTGAAATTCAACTTTCGGTGCACAGTACTATAGGGCAGTAGTAATACAAGCAAAAATGGTACACATGAATTATGTCGGAGAGGTGCCACTTCGTGCAAAAACTAAATATTTTAAGATGACTAGAACTTCTCATAAGTTGCTACTGGCAAAGAAATGCACAGATAATATGGTGTATTTGTATTAGAGAAAATTTTGTCATGATTACAAAGTTTAATCAAGTTGATTATGAAGGATTAAGGTAGACTGTGTGTGTGATGATTGGCAAAGTAAAGCACAGAGTGCACATTGTCCTAAGGAGATGACATGACTTCAGTGACAAGTAACCTACACGAATTACACTATGAAACAATTTTTGGCTTGGGCAGTAAGTGTTATTTTCTAATTGCATATGCCTCCAAAGTATAGAAATTGGCTATTATTTCCCCTCAAACTTTGCTTAGTCCTTTGTCTCAGACAGCTTAGGGAAGACATCTTGAAGGTTGCTTGAGGGGTTGCCGACTCCTTATCTAAGGCTGACACACATTGTCACGGCTATAGATACGATGATAAGAAGATACCCATAGAAGGGGCCAAGAAAATGTAACCCAGTTATTAGGAAATATATCCATGTCTTTTTTAGCCACAGTAAATTGTAAACACTGGGTGCACACTAAGACGGCTGGCACTTGACACACGATACTATAAAAGCAACATAACAAACCAATGGCCCTGCACAGAATTAAGTAATTAATTATCAAAAGAAGGCACCAAACCGGGAAGGCTGCACAGAATTAAACATTCCAGGGATGGCCAACACCACTTATCCTGAAGAAAGGTAGCAGTGGATCCCAGTCATGCACCAGACTTGTGGATAAGCTGCTTGGTTGGCCGAAACCCCAGACCCCTTGGGCCACCATCTGGTGATGTGGGGGCATATTATGATGGGAATTTCACACAGTATTGAATGGTTGCATTATTTTCACCAGTTAAAAATTTGTCCAAGCAGTTGGTTGTTTTCAAGTGCTTTGGCTTTTTAGTGTGTATTGTCTTGGTGCCTGTGGTGATCTCTGATCTCTTGGTTCCTCTTTACATCTTTGAGCAAGCCAGATTCTGGTCCCGGTCTCAGATAGGTGTTTGTACGTCTACCTTGAGGTTATCTTGAGGTGATTTCGGGGCTTAACAACTCCGCGGCCTGGTCATCGACCAGGCCGCGATCATATGATCATACTTCATAGGATCAATTCTATATTATGACTGCCGAGTTCCTTGTCCGAAACTCGGGAAGGAATCACACTACAGGTACTTATAACAACGACTCTGTTGTTGGTGTGATCCTCCAGGAAGTAAAATACTAACAATGCTAATTGTTTGCTAGTATTTTTTTTTAATTATTAAAATATTTCTGCTTTAATTATAAAGCTTTAAAATTTTACTTATGAAAAATTTATGCAACTAGAAGGGAAGCCAATGTCAATAAGAGCTATAAATTGCTACATTACTTTCAAATAATTATTGCCTATTTCCTTGATAATTGTCAACTTGTTTCTTCTTTACTGTGTTGTAAGTAATTTGTAATGTATCGAAGATACCTGTACATTCAAAATTATTGTGATAAATGCAGGAGAGGAGACGACAATATCTGCACCATACAAAACACCATCATTGTACCAAGTAACCTGTGAGCATCATACACCTCTCGGCAACTAACCTGGCAAACACTTTTCCCCTCAACGTGACTCTGAACAATGAGTTACAGTTAGTATATGAAGCTTTGTTCATATACGAAGTTACTCAATTATCCTGTCAATACCACATATTGTCAATTATGAAGTACTGTACAAGTACCAATTCAAAACAGCTGTACCGCTTGCTTGAGTGAATGTTGCTACATTAATTTGCAGGCTGCTCCAAGTAACAGCTTGTTGGACCAAGTTATCCAGTCAAACTTGGTTCTAGGCCAGGCTTGAGAAGTAGGAGAAATCCCAGAACCCCCTCCAGGTATATGTAACATTCCGTTATAAAATGATAAATTTGTTACAATGAACTTCCTCAACTCTGAATGGTGTAATTAAGTCGAATGGCGTAAACAAAAAAATGAATACTGTAAATCCAAAAGTTTGCTGAAATGCATGTTCTTAATTCAGAATTCCTGTTATTTCTTTGCTACCCATTTCTTGTCAGTTGTAGCCAGTTCTTTTCAGTATGCTTGTGCCAATGCATCTATAACTTTGCTATGCTTTTCTTTAAATTATAACTTCACTCAATGTAAACCGTTTACAATACAATCTGTCCATGTATCAATTGTATATGTTTTAAAGCCATTTTCCCTCTGGTAACACTCCAGCTTTAAAGGGATGACTACATGCAGATTTTCTCAGCCTTTCATTACTAACCAACACATTCAACATACTAGTCTAGCCATTAATTGCAAAATTAAAGCCAACACCATTTGTCGCTTGCAGTGAGAAACCAGAAAGTGTGAAAAGAATGAGAAAAGCTTTTAGCAAACACACACACATATATATATATGTGGAAAAACATGCAATGTAAAAAGGGAAAAAAGAAAGATGAAGACTGGATGAATAATGTTTATGAAAGAACAGTAGTGCTTCTATGAATAATGATTGTCGGGTTATAATTTTAATCTCAAATTTCAGGAAACTGATTATGCAATACAAATAAGAAATTCACTTCACTTTCAATTGAGGGTTATTTGTCACTTTAATTTTAATTAGAGAGCCCCTGCAACTCCTTGTATTTTATATGTAAGTTGCATAAATATTACAACAGCATTACTTAATCAGAAATTATAAGTTACAGTACAGTACTGTACTTCGGTCAGGAGATAAAAAGGGATCTTTAGAGCATTCAAAATTCAGGTAACTGACATAAGTTATTTCAGTAAGTCCATTCACTGTCAGCACTTCTATTCAGCTTTACCATCAAGAAATATCCAGAATTTTGAGGTTTTACTGAATATATTTTTATATCAAAGTTAATTTTATGTTCATAAATCATTTAGTAAACTGTATATTGCAATTAATATTTCTTTATTTTGCAGAATTTCATAACAATAAGAAAAATGTATAAACAAAGATAGTAAGTAAGTATTCCCATGCTAAGCTACTTACTGTGCTGTGCAACCCTTACTAAAGTGCGATTACTAAACGCTGGCATCCCTAGCACTCCGTCCCAGAGGCTAACCCTGGGTCAGAGTCTGCCGAGCCTCCAGACACCAGAGTTTCCCCCGAGCTCGTGCTCCCAGCAGAGTGACGCCAAGATGTCACTCTAGGGTTAGAGTGTTAAATCAGAGTACTATGAATTCTTAGTTAAGTTCTTATCTAGAAGATATACAAGAGGCACTTGATTAATTAAAAGCCATAAACAGTACTGGACCAAATATAGAGAATAAATTGATTTTTGTGAAACAATGTTGAAAATAACTTTCAAAACCCACAGTGGAGACAAACTAGAATTTCCGTGCATGAAAATACTCTTTTATAATGATCATCTCATAGGTGCTCAAACAGTTAATCAAATGACTCTTGTGAATATGTTCTCAATGTGGCCACAGGTTATATGCATCTGTTCACTGTTGTTCAATTGTGGAATTTGTGGTTTCTGAAAATGGATTAGTTCACTAGAAAATAAAACTGACTGATAAAAGAACAATTACTGTACTGTATAATGAAAGACAATATGGGGAAAAAAGCTATAATTTAGAAGACAGTATGTACTGTATTATTACATGTAATTAGTTTTATTGTCAACACAGCAAATATAATTAATATATTTAGAGGTACAGTATGCACATTTTGACTTCGCCCAAGTGGTGTCAAAAAGAGATAAACATACAAGACAAGAAGACACGTAAACACACGCATGCACCGCCCATCCAAGCCATTCATCACAAAGAAGGTAAACAACAACATATTAACAAAAATATTTTAGTTTTGTTTTGCAAGACCTGAAACAAAAATTCAGGCAATTATTGCAAAATAATGAAGAAGCAAAAAGTTTCCAACAGTAATAATAACAGAATTTTAAACATACAGACCAACCTCTTATTACCAGTATCTAAGGTTTCCATCTCTGCCTACCAAAACAGATTTACAACAATACAATGAATTGTATAATTGAGAGAATGTGTGTGTTAGTTTATGTGTACTATATATATATGTACAACTGCCTATATGCAGTTACAACAGCTACATCTGTGTTGTCCCTTCTTTAGGTATTGATAAAATATTTTTAAAGTTAGGTGGTATTGGAACATGTCATCTCAGATGCCTATTTCAACCAATTACCCGTATTTAAAAAGTTCCCAATATCATGGATTCCCACTCCACTAAAACCTTGTTTAATAGAAAATCTGATGTAATAGGAAAATTCTGAACTGGATAATTAAGATAAATCCAGATATATGATTTTGGTTACTGACTGTAATATGAAAACATTTTATTTGAACCTTATAATTTAGCTGTTCCTTCAAGTGAGTTTCCACAATGTCCTTGGACACGGGTCATATTATCAGGCAGAAACGACACGGCACAACACTGCACACAACTGTCAAACATATCTGCAGGGTCATAATGCGCTGATGGAGTCACCAAAGAAATCAATCAATCCAGCAAGGAAATGTCTATCAGAGGTCAATCCATAAGAACAGAAAATCCTTCCAATCTCTCACTTAAGAACCTAAACAAGGAGGCTTTTAAGGCCACACTCACTACCTATGTGAGATCATTATTCGAGTATGCAGCTCCAGCATGGAACCCACAACTTGTGAAGCATAAACAGAAACTTTGGTACGTTCAGAGGTTTGCAACTAGATTAATACCAGAACTAAGAGGCCTCAGTTACAAGAACAAGTTGAGAGAACTCAACCTCACAACCTTAGAGAAGAAACAAAGAGGGATATGTTTACAACATACAAGATATTGAAGGGAAAAGGTAAAGTGGAAAAAGGAGGTGTATTTATATATATAAAAAAAAAAAAAAAAGGTAGGGCAAAGGGACATGAATAGAAGCTGGACGTGCAATCGAGTCAAGCAATGTAAGGAAGTCCTCATTCCCTGTACGGCTGGTAAGCCAGTGGAATATGTTGTTGAATCCAGTTCCATTCACAACTTAAAAACAAACATGATAAAAACATTAATATTAAGAGGGGGTAATTAGCATGTGAGGTATCAACTGCTAGAAGGTGGGGCATAAAGAGCTAACTCTCACTTCCCTGTAGTCACTGATAGGTACACTTGTGCTTAGTGGTCCAGACCCTGCTGGATGGGGTTCTGGGAGTTCTTCTACTCCCCAAGCCTGGCCCTGGGCCAGGCTTGACTTGTGAGAGCTTGATCCAACAAGCTGTTGCTTGGAGCGGCCCGCAGGCCACACATCCACAATAGCCCTGTTGGTCTGGCACTTTTTGATGAAAACTATCTAGCTTTCTCTTGAAGATGTCCACGTTAGTTCTGGCAAAAATTCTTGCATCGCAAGTGACCCACTAACCACCAGATGGCAGCAGCTCTCACGCCCCAAGATCCACTGACCAGAGCCACTCCATATACTTCCCGACAGTAAAGTATAAGCTCTGCACACAGATGGGAAATAGACATAAAAGGAAGGATGAGAGCAGCAAAATGACAACTAAGAGAGGAACTTTTGACATCAACTCAAAAGTTTCATTTCTAAGCACTTACATTCAGCTGCTCTCTCAAGGAGAAAAACACATTTATGTATATTTATGTCTGGTCAATGTATAAATGGACAATAAGAGACTAAATAAACACACCTTGCATTACCATGGAGCTTGAAGGAGGTAGCCAAAATACAGTTGCAAAGAACTGTCGGGTGCAAGCACTAGTGTGGTCACTAGGACCAAGAAGACCCAGCAGGAGGAGAGATGGCTGAGTCACACAACAACAACTACTGTTAAAGCCTATGAATTTCAGTAGATATCTACTGTAGTAGCAAAGGCAAGGTCAGTATGCTAGAGGAACCAATTGTGAATCTCCTATAGAGCACATGGCAGAAAAAGCATTACTGTCCCTTGTAATAAGTCTGCAGCTGACTGAGCAGCAACAACTATTTTAGGAGTTTTGAGATGCAAGCCTTATTATAAAGAATAGTCTTTTGATAAATAGGACATCCGAGATAATGTAGCACGAGGCCAGTAGATAAAACAAAAGTGTATACAAATTGACTAGTGTGTCTGATGTACCCAAGAGTGCCAGAACAGAACCTGAACAACAATAGGCTCTGTAAAACGAAGCCTCAATCTATGCAACGAGCTCGAATTAATTTGGAGAGACACAAACGAGAATTCCTTACCAAACAAAATATATTCCTGGTGTCAAAGCAAGGCTTGAGCCACATTCTTTGCCAAGTTGTAAGTTATACACAAATGACAGTTTTGAGGGTTAAGTCAGCAAAGAAGGGCAAGACCCGAAACCTTTCTAGCACAAAGATGTCGAGAAAATCCAGTGCCCAGGCAGGCTCCAACTAAGAATGAGGGTAGTGATTAAAATATGCCTTACTCAGCTGCATAACAGGAGGGAGGGTGCAGACACTCCCTCCTAAGCCCCAAAATAAGGGGCTGCTGAATAACGTGTGCAATCTATTACAATCATATTCAGCATGACACACCACCTTTTTAACAACCAAGCAAGAACACCATATTGGTATTTACGGAAAGAGAAGAAAATTTACAGAGAGCCAGGTAACACTACAGCATATTCCTAGCCATTTTATAGTGGCTTCTAGAGGATGATCTAAGGGATGGGAATTGCCAGTTCTGCCACCTGAATCCGGTTACTGGAAAATTATCTCTAGAAGCTCTACTTGTGAAGATCAAGGAGATCCTGGAATGACTTAAAATAATGAAACTGCTTGAGGAGAAAAGTGGGAAGAGGGACCCGGTTGGGCTGTGTGGTCACCAGGACCAGAAATCGAAGATGGTCAAGTAGCAGAACATCATCATGATGAAAATAATAATATGTTTCAGGACATCCATGTAGTTTTCTGAGCACATGGAAAGGCTTAGTCCCTTTGAATACCTTGGTTTATGGTTTTCAAATCCTAAGCAAAATGCATGTGCGTGTATCTGCTGCAATGACACAGCACAGCAGTGACAACTCTCTGTTCTGCTTGTGCCTGGAAATACACTCTCCTTCACCTCATGAGCATGCAATTGCAAACCTGGTGACAATACAAGTTTGACTCATCAGCATTATAAATTTAAGTAACCCATTCCAGTTAGATCCTAACTTAACTCAAGGTTTCACATCCATTCCACACTATTGGTTACTATACATTGCTGCTTCAAACCATGTACTCAAAAAAACCATGAATTAATAATGTTCCACAATATGAAATATTTTGACAAAACAGACCATAACTATGTATTAGAAATGTTATAATATGCAACTGTCTAACACAGACACGCTGTTCTTTCCAATATACACTCAAAAGGTTTGGTTTTAACCTGTAGACATTAATAATTGTGCATTTAGAGGTAAAAGCAAATTTTGTAAGTATTTTAGAGAGAATACAAGAGAGAATTTTAAGTGGTTGATAATGGAATTAGTGGTGACTAACAACTAACTACTAGGGGAGCAAAGTAAACATTGAGCACAGCACTCACAAGCACAATGATAAAACCAACATGCAGAACAGTATGTGTGTGCACGTACCCTACAGGCACCCGCAACCTGGGCGTTGAGGAGGCTGAGGTGCTGTGTAACAAGTTAGTAATGAGCTCTTAGTCAAGTCAAAGAATCATGCTTTACATATTAAAATTAAATTACCTGAATAAAATTTTATTAAAAAAAGATTACACTGTGTAACAAATTTATATATATTTTTGGGTACTACGTGTTATTATCTGATGGCTCATGCCTCCAAAGTACAGTGTGGAAAAACGGCTATTATTCCCCTTCAATTTTGCTCTGACCTTTGCCCCGAACAGCTTACGGAAGACATCTTGAAGGTATCTGAAGATGGCCAAATTTTACAACAATGTATCACAGCTCTAGATAAGGAGTCGACAGCCTTCAAGTACCTTCCAGACATCTTCTCTAAGCTGTCCGAGACAAAGGTCAAAGCAAAGTTTATGGGGGAAATAATAACTATTTTCTGTACTTTGGAGGCATAAGCAGTCATGAAAATAACACTTACTACCCAGGAACAAAAATTGTCATATAATGATATTTTAGTCCTGAATTTCCTGATACGTCCATAATGAAATTGTCCTGAACATGCAACAGTATTTCAAAACTTGTTTAAGCATTACTATGCTATGTTGCACTGCTATATTTTGATTTATACAGTATCTGTACCACTGCTACTCATGCCTTTCATCACAGCAAAATGATTGTAAATATGTCCGTACCTTATTACCAACCTTCACTCATTTATTGATCCATAAATCCTTGCACTTATTAATATGCATGCATGCATACATACTACTGTATATATATATATATACAGGATATACATTTATTTTTCAATGAGATTATTCCAAGTGATATACAATTGACAAACTCATAAGCAACCAAAAGGACCTGAACACTTGAATGTGTGACTTCCCAAAGAACAGGAACACATCACCTCTCAGCCATAGCACGTTACAAACAATCAGGATGTCTGTAATCTCAACTATTTGGTTATGGCTCTGACCCCCAATATATACCATTCGATAACAAGAGCTTTTGAGGTTGACTTAGACGACACCTTTGATATTGTCTATGAGGGGATACTTTTCAACTCCACTGTTCATTACTTTATGTAAGTAGAGAAACACAGAGTTAAAAGTAGAGCAGCAGACTTTAGACACACCGTGTAGAGATGCTTGTAAGAACTTTCTCAAAGCAGATAGGTAGAGGACTAGTGCCTCTATAAGGATAAAACAAAAGGAGGGATGGAGTCCAGGCAGTGAAAGGTCATTCAGGTGAGGGATTAAACAAGTAATAATTCAGATTTTTAAAGTATAAATTTAGCCAATGGGGGGTAGCAATGATTAATTTTCACCGATGCTGTTCATTGGTGTTGTAATGATTGAGGGCTACAGATTCTATACAGAAATTTGTGCTCAGTTCAACTAATATACTTTAAGTGAAAATATTTATGAGAATTAAGAACAGAAGTTAAAAATGAATAGCCCTAAGATCTCCTGTCGAAGATAGGATTTAACTCAACTTAAGAATAACTTCTATCAAATGGACTTGGGGTTTAGAGTCACATGTTATCTTACAGGTATGATGAGCTCTTATGGCTGGTATGTGGTGCAGTGTAAGAAATGCAATCCTTGACAGTGAAACACCTAAGTGACAGTTTTTATATACAATATGGCACATATCTCAACTCAAAATTAAAAATGCACAACACTCACAGTTCCTTTCAATTGTAGTCAAATTTATTCAGCCTAAAATTTTTTGTCATCAAGTGGTTTTAAGTTAAATATTCATGACAGCCTCAATAACCCTGACATCTTACTCCCGTGCTTGAGCTCCCATAATAGAGGCAACCACAGCAAAGTTTCTCCACAAGACTCCCTACCACTCCTTACTCTTCGGAGCCGGTCGGCCGAGCAGACAGCACGCTGGACTTGTGATCCTGTGGTCCCGGGTTCGATCCCGGGTGCAGGCGAGAAACATTGGGCAGAGTTTCTTTCACCCTATGCCCCTGTTACCTAACAGTAAAATAGGTACCTGGGTGTTATACAGCTGTCACAGGCTGCTTCCTGGGGGTGGAGGCCTGATCGAGGACCGGGCCGCGGGGGCACTAAAGCCCCGAAATCATCTCAAGATAACCACCACACAAATCTCTCTCTTTCAACCTCTCTTACAACTCTCCCCCACTGTTTTTCAGATAGTTACACTCTTCCCTTCCATGATACTGGTTGTCTATCTCTACCTATATTACACCCTTATACATCCTTCTTGTTAAATGATTCTCAGCCATACACAAGCAGATCACACTAACATTATATATCTATAAGAAAATCATAGATATATCATGCCATGGGTTAAGGCATGTGCGTGGGGGTTACCCAGGACGCTGGTTCGATCCCAGTCCTGCTCCAATGATTCTCTCATTCTCAGGCCTTCTACCAACATAACCATACCACATTAGAGTACTGTGCTTCATCCACTTCACAAGTTCACATTATTTCCCCAAACTCTCATCAAAGAACATGGCATAATCTGCAGGTAACAATGTCAGTATGCAACAGTTTATCCAAATTATCATCGTCTTCCACTCCTGTTTTAGGTGTTCTTGATATTACCTCCCTAACCAATTCACATACAGGATATTCATTAGAGAGCCAGGGAGATGTTACACAATCCTGTCTTAAGTCCACCCTAATACTAAAAACATCTTCTTTTCTCTACTCTCTCAGTCTCTGCTATTCATATAAAAGGATTTTACCAATGGTAATAAATTCTCTCCCACTCCATAATCTTTAAACCCTCCCACAATGACTCCCAAATAATCCTATTATATGCCTTTTCTAAATCCATAAGGGCAGCATACAACCTAGAAAAAACTTTTTGACAGTCATGGTAAAAATCTGATCTGCACAGCCTTTCTCTTTAGTAAACCTACGGTACATCTTTGTTCCTTCCCTATCCTACTTTCTGTTATTTCTCTGCACACTTAATTGGAATTCTTGAATACATTCTCCTGGGATGCTAAGTAAACTAATCACCCAGTAATCCACACCCTTCTCTACTATCTTCTACCTTACATATGCCAAGAAAGATATTGTGAAAACTCTAAAAATTATCTGGAATCAAAACTTATTAATGCATAATCATTGTACATGCAAGACTATCTTATCATTCACAAAGGACCTCAAACAACTCCTGCAATGCAGTACCATCCTGTCCAAACCTATTTTCTATTTGTATTTACCCTCTGCTATCCTTACTGAACAAATGCCACAGGTATCTTTGCCTGTAAACTTAACACTTTTGCGCTTTGGGTGAGCGAGCACCAGACCACCCCAAGGTGCGCTGGGTATTCCACGGGAGCACACGGTAATACTTGTAAGTGTATAATCTTTTCAACTTTGTCATCTCAATTCTCATCCTCGGTTTTTCATTTTGGCATCAATGTGTTCGCAATAGAACTCCCTACAGGAATATATGCATATTAAGTCCAAAAGCCAGGCGTATCACCTACACCAAACCGAGAAATTAGTCGCGAGTTACCCGTGAGCGCCCAAGAGCAAAAAATGTGTATACTCTTTTCACTTTGGTCACCTCAATTCTCATCCTATGTCTTTCATTTTGGTATCAATGTGTTTGCAATAAAAATTCCCTACAGGAGTACATGCATATGATGTCCAAAACCACAGTGCGCCACACCCACAGTCAAGCCGAACTTTTTTCATTTTTGAAGCACGGATGCGTCATTCCCTCACATTCGTCTAATAAATTTTTTATGCCATACTGTGTCGTGCCTGTGCCAAAGTGTTAACTAATTGTACTGACATTTTGACACACATACATTCACAACTCCCAAATTTTCCCAAGCAAATTACATTACAAATAAATATTTTGTTCATGAAGATTCTTCCTCTCAGTATCTGATATGACTTCTCTCTTGATAAACAAATGCTAGGATCAGAAAAGTTAAATGTTAGAAGATTTGTACCTTCCAGATTAACACTTTGCGTGGCCCAGTGTGTGTGTAGCCCCAAAGTTGGCCTAGCGTTACCAGTGAGCGGGCACCCACACTAAAATGAGCATACTCTTTTCCAATGTTCTGACCTCACTTTTCATGCTACGTTCTTCATTTTGGTATCAAATTGTTCGCAATAGAACTCTCTAAAGGTTTATATGCATATACAGTATGGTAAAAATCTCCGGCATGTCCCCTGCAGCAAACCCAAAAATTGGCCGAGCGTTACCCATGAGTGCGCATTCATTTTGGCATCGAATTGTTTGCAATAGAATTATCTACAGGAATATATTAATATAAGGTCACAAAAAAAGGTGCGCTACCCACAGCAAACCAGAGAATCTGCCGAGCATTACCTGAGAGCGAGCACCCATCCACACACCCACAACGCCCACACTAAAATGTGTGTACTCTTTTCACTTTTCTCACCTCACATTTCATACTACGTCGTTCATTTTGGTATCAAAGTGTCCCAATCGAAAGGAGCGCATTTCAAAACTAGTCCCGTAATAATCATAATAATAAATGGAACTTTAACAAATATTTACATTTTGGATGCAACATGCGTCCCCGCTGGACGTCCGTAGAGTTATTTATGGACGCAATTTCCATCCCCGCCCGTCTAAATTGTTAAGATGCAGGATTTTATATACTGAACAGTGATACGCAGCATAATGCTTCTTTTAGTATGATTAATCAAAAACTTCAATAATGCAGCCCTTTTTGCCTAAGTTACCAGTATTAGTTTTCCATGATATATGTATATAAATCCAGTATATATCATCTTCAACATCAACATACTTCATACAAATAATATAAACAATATACAGAACAGATAACATAGTCCAAACTACTGAAGGAAACTGGAATTCATTTAAATTTCAAATTTCTATGTATTATGTACAGTATTTACAGAAGTAACCATGCATAAACTACATCTATGTGCAGCTCATGTTTTCAGACGTTCTTTGTAATACAGTATATTCAAACACTAATAGCAAATATACAGTATACAGTATAGTGTACCATGTTCCAGAGCAAAACTTTGTTCTCTCCCATGCTGGTACACAAACTGTTATCAAGTTCTTTGGAGTCTTTAAGGGAAGGAAGTGCGTGCTGTATCATTGTATTATCTTCCTTCAAGACTAAGATCAGCAAGCGAGCACTTTGACAGAGACTGAAAGTTAATAATCAGTTGTGCTTTATACTTGATGATTTTTATTTCTATAGAAGAAAAATGCATTGAAAGTTAAAAAAAATCCTATGTATTCATACATTAGAATACTTTATGACCATAATTTAATTTTTTATATATACATACAGTAAACAGTGAATTTACATATGAGGTAAGATACATGTACATGGCTTAGCATCATTGGCAACCATACAAATATTGCTCTGTATTCCTCTTGGTACATCATTTATAGACAAACTTTTCTGGGGCTAGTACCAAGACTTGAAGGACTCTGGTAGTAACATTTCTTAAGCCAGATTCATTGCCTCTTATCACTGCTCTCATCTTTGCTAAGAAATTGTTCATCCACAATAGAAATCTAACATGCCTCTTGTGTGTTCTAGCTTCCATAACAGCATCTGGCATAAGACTGAATAAAATGTCTTTTAAAGATCCTAATAAGTGCTCTCTGCCTAACTGTCTCTTTCTTGTAAGATCTCTGTGGTCATACCATAAAACTGAGTACATTTATTACACAGGACTTTCCAGTTCAAAAACCTCACTGCCTCTCCACTACTATACAATTCCTTTCAAGATATTCTCCCTAATTGGTTTGCATTACTTTCTCCAGTGTTTGGTTTCTCCAGTGATATTTGCTCAATAGTTTAGTGTGTCTTCTGTCACCATTTTTACAAACTGGGACTACATTTACTTTCTTCATACATCTACAAGGTTTACTGATTGAAAAGATGTCTGTAAAATAATCTATAGTTGGTGGATTAGTTTGGTACCCAAGGAAAACTTCATCTGGCCTGAATGGTTTTGCTTCTGCCTAGTTCCTCGAGTTTTGTTTTATTGTTTTTTTTTCCACGATCTTTAGATACATCTTGGTACTCTAGGTCATGGCTCTGAAGTCTCTAATGCGTGTGGTGTTACAAAAATCTGGTTTTGTACAGACAAACTGTTCCTTTAGGGTTTTGCACATTCTAAATAAACAGTTTCAAAGTGAGGTTGTTTAAAACATGGTTGTCGAGGCATTGCACAAACTATGGCATGCATATACATTACATGTATTTCTTCACCATCAATTTCAACATTTATCCTGTAAGTGTATACAGTACATTACAGTAAAGAATTATACATTGAAATAGATACCTGATACCTGGCATTTATGGTATGGCATTTATGAAATTTATGCATTTATGATATGGCATTTATGAAATTTGTTGATGCCTTACCTTGAAGATCTAGTAGGGTGATTTACTGTTATCATTGGAGCCAATCCCTCAGTAAAGCGGCTATAATTTCGCTCTAACTCACGATGGTACTCACGCATGTCTGGACCGATCAAAGTTTTGTTTCTGCGTAATGCATCGTAGCATCTAAAAAAAAAAAAAGGGAAATTTTAAAATTGCAAACAAAAGATACAACAAAAAACTTATTAAATACATATTAGATGTGTATGTAAATGCTGTATACTCTATAAATATACCCTGTACACACATATGTACAATACAGAATTACAGTATCTAAAAACAATTAGATCAAATGGGGCATATATTCCAGAGTATTATATGGATATGTGGAGTAACTAAATTATTTTTGGGGGAGGGGGGGGGAGCAGTTTGCAATTTATATCCTCCCAAACTCACATATGGGCAATAGGCCTTTAGAAGATTCCTCAGTTCTTAAAGATACATACAATTTACAGATACACTCTTTCAATCGTTGATACATACATAATAAATTCATACATTGATACATATTCATTCATTCATTCCATTGATTCATAAATACATACATATGATTCTCTAGACATCCAAGGTCAGTACTGAGTGTGTGTGGCTCAGGCAGTGTGTGTGATGCTGACAGCAAGCTCTGGCATCGACAGATGGGGCTGGGCAGCTACGTGGTCAACTTGTACAGTACACAAAACTAGCTACATTTTACATCTAAATGAATCATTTGGCAATTTTTTTTTTAAGTCAACTGTACCTCCAAGTGTGTTTATGTACACAAGTTTATTATGTAAGTACCTGAGTGTAGTTACAGGATAAGAGCTATGCTTGTGGTGTCCCATCTTCCCAGTACTCTTTGTCATATAAGGTTTTGAAACTACGGACGGGTTTGGCCTCCACCACCACCACCTCACTTAGCTTGTTCCAACTGTCCACCACTCTGTTTGCAAACTTTCTAATATTTTTTTCTGCACCTTTGTTTCCTTAGCTTGAATATGTTAGTAACACTCCTCCAGTCAGATACATTGTTTCTGATTACTGTCCTCATCTGTCTGTCAGAAAAATTTTCATCCATGTCAGAAGTCTCCCTGTCACCACTCCAGCATGTTTCAGTTCCCAAAACAACCTCTGTTTTGGATAGTTTGATAGTTTCAAATACCAGGTGGAACTCTTGTCAAAAGCCCTTTTTAAGTCCAGATAGGCACAGTCAACCCAGCCATCTCTCCTGTAGAATCTCTGTGGTTATATCATAAAGACTAAGTAGGTTTGTTACAAAGGATCATCTTGTTCAAAAACCATACTGTCTGTCCATTATTATGTCATTTCTCTCCAGGTGTTCAACCTATTTGGTTTGAACTATTTTTTTCTAGTGTTTTGACTACTATGTTTGTTAATGATACAAGTATCAAGCAGGTCTATAAATTAGGGTCTACTTGGCAACCATTTTTATAGATTGGAACTATGCTTGCCTATTTCCATATATCTGCTAAGATTCCTGTCTGAAATATTAATTGTAGTTAAATGCTCAGCTCAGTTGCACATTCTCGCAGCACTGAAGGTGAAATTCCATCTGGTCCAACTGCTTTATTTCTTTCTAGCCCCTTGAGTAATTTTTCCAATTCATCTTGAGATATCTCTGTGTGTTCTATGGTGTGCCCTGGAATTAGCATTGGCTCTATCATAAAAACCAAGTGGATTTGTTACACAAGATCTTCCAGTTCGAAAACCATACTGTCTCATACATGTTGACACATAACTGTCTCCAGAATGAGGTTTACAAATCGGCCTGTCCAAATGTTCTCTGTTCTTGCTTCGTAGGCCTCCCAGTCTATTGTTTTCAAGTTAATGTCCCCCGGTCATTAGCCGGTCGGCCGAGTGGACAGCATGCTGGACTTGTGATCCTGTTGTCCTGGGTTCGATCCCAGGCGCCGGCTAGAAACAATGGGCAGAGTTTCTTTCATCCTATGCCCCTGTTACCTAGCAGTAAAATAAGTACCTGGGTGTTAGTCAGCTGTCACGGGCTGCTTCCTGGGGGTGGAGGCCTGGTCGAGGACCGGGCCGCGGGGACACTAAAAAGCCCCGAAATCATCTCAAGATAACCTCAAGATAGCCCCAGTATTATTGTGATTTATCTTTATCTGCTCTTAATATAATCTCTCTCATGACCATTATGAGGTCCGCTCGTTTGTCATCCAGTTCCTCCTTTGTCAATGTGTTGCTGATGGGCTGTAGGCATTTACAATTATCAGTTATCATCCCGATTCCAAACCTGCAATGTCATTTTGTCAACTTCTCGAGGGTTGTCGATTATTAACACACTTACCTTTAGGTGTTCTTTCACCAGCAAAACCCTCCTCTCCCCTTCCTAGTCTTCCTGTCACGTTGCCAAACTGAGTAGCCCCTTGGGAATACGACCTCATTTAAAATATTTTCTTCAAGTTTCATCTCTGTTAGTGTGCCAATATCTGGGACCTTAAGCTGAATTATATATTTTGGCTCCAGTATTTTTTCTCTCACTCTATGTTAGTATATAAAATTTTTTAGGAACATGTTCCCTTTCCCTTTGACCTTTACTTCCCTAGTGATTGAACTACTGTGTTAAATATACATCTCAGAGGTTGATAGGTGAGTAACTGTGCTTAATGTACACCAGGGGTCAACAAGTCAACAAAATAAAATGCAAATCATACCCCGTGAAAAGCTCCGTCCCCCAAGGGACTGTGCTTCCTCCAGTACTTTTTCTCCTTATATCAGACATAGCCAAGGACACAAACTATAGTACTGTATCATTCTTTGCAGATGACAATGATAGAATTTTCATGAGAATAGAAAATATAGAGGACACAGTGAACCTCCAATCAGATGTAAATCAGTCTTTCTGTGGTCCCGAGAAAATAACATGATGTTTAATGAGGGATAAGTTCCATTTACTGGATTATGGAAAGATAAAAATATCAAATTAAAAACGACATAAAATGCAGTCAAACCACACTACTGAAAGAAAAAGCAATGTAAAAGATTTAGGAACAATCATATCAGAGGACCTTACTTTTAAAGAACACAACTAAGTAGCTGTCAAACTGCATGAAAGTGACAGGTTGGATAACAAGAATCTTTCAAACAAAAGATGCCACACCAATTATGATACTTTTTAAGACACTAGTGCTCTCCAGAGTGGAATATTACTGCATCTAACAGCTCCATTCAAAGCTGAAGAAATTGATGACCTGGAGAGCATGTAAAGATCTTTTACTACTACAATATCCACTCAATAAAACATCTAAATTACTGGGACCTTTTAAAGGTCTTAAATCTATATTCCCTAGAGCACAGGCTGGAAAGATGCATAATAATTTACTTTGAAAATACTAGGACTGGTTCCAAATCTACATACAGAAATAACACCATAAGAAACCAGAAGGTATAACAGGATATGTAAAATACCCTCATTGAAAAGCAGAGGTGCAATAGGCATGCTGAGAAAGAACTTGATCAATATCAAAGGTCCAAGACTTTTCAACACTCCCTCTACAAATATGGCCATAACCAGCCAACCTCTCACAATTAAACAAAATGGAACCTAACAAACACCTTCAAACAATACCTGATCAACCAGGTTGCAACTCTCACATCAAGTTGTGAGCAGGTGCATCAAACAACTTGGTTGGCAAGACCACCATCCAGGAAGCCTGGTTAAAGACTGGCCGGTGGAGATGTTCATTTTTGGAATCATTGACAGGTATACGATGAGGGATTAGACTATAGGAGAGGCTACAAGATTAAATTATTGTGATATTTAAGTTTCATGTAATGAATGAACATAACTAGTGCAATCAATGTGTAAAATCTTCAGCAATTAACATTAAATTTATTTTATCAACATCTCTAAGAATTAACCTTATTATTTAACAATATAAATTAAAAGCTGTAATACTTTACAGAAATTGTATAAATACTGTATGTCTAAAACTTACTTTTTTGAGAAGTCCTTAAAGCAGAGCCTAAGTTTGTTTTGTAAACGACTAGGTGGCTTCCTACTCTCCAACAGGTCTGACAAGAAGATATGAGCTACCTCCATTGGGCCTTGGTTTACTGTTGTGCCTATGCAGCCCTGAAATAAAGCAAACAAAATTTTAATTTAGACAGTAAATCTTTTCTGCCAATATATCGTATGGTGTGGCACCACTCTGCTCTTCCACCCGAGTGCTTGTGAGTCATAAGAAAAAACTTGGACTGGTTTCAGTAAGGGCCTCCAGACTTCTTATGATTTCAGTAGAAATCCAGTTGTATGACTTGTACAAGTCAGCGGTGGTCCAGGGGTAGAGTACGTGACTTGCCACGCCGGGGTCGTAGGTTCGTGCCACCTCACAGACCTGGTGGATTTTCTCATTGATATATATCATGTTAGTGTGATTTCTGAGAGTTTATGATGAAAAGTGTTAGTGAGATATAGACAGAAACCAGTTAGAAGAAAACGAAAACAAAATTAATAGCAAACCATAAGATAACTTATGGCCTTGTCATATTCCCAATAAAACCTATTGGGAATATCTACACACACACACAACCAATTTCACCACAAGGAAAAGGTTAACACAAAAAACATAACTAACCCCCAAGCATGGAAAGAAGTATTTGTTCAGCACTGAATACCTAACAAGCAGTTGCAGCTTTACAAGGAGATGTGACAAAGCATTAGAAGGATGCTAGTATTAGTGTCAGATTACCACTAGCTAAAAGGCAAAGCCAAAGAGCTCCAACTGGGTCACCATGGAAAATGAACATGTCAAAAGGGCACAAGAAGTAAGCTTTTATAAGCTTATCAACAATTCCTATGGTAAACTCAAGCCTTCTTGCAAAGGGCTTACCTTGAAAAAGAGGAGAAATTTCATTCGGAATGATCAGTCACACGCAACTACTAATACTGGTATTCAGCTTTCTTAAGACAAAGACCTAAAGCAGACAAGACTGTTGGCTTCTTTCATAGCTGCATATGGTTGTGTTTTGAGAGAGTTACAAATGATCTGCTTATTGAATCTTATGAGAAATGATCAACATATGATTCATCAGGTCTAAACCCAAACCACAGGCCACTATACTCTGACATCTTAATTTAGAGATCTTCCTAAATATTAAATGACTTTTGAAAAGTTTACACAATTGTTTGAGGTAATTTATCTAAACTGTCAACTATTTTTAAATCACTTCTGTAGCTTTCACAGTCCTAAATAAAATTATAAATAAAAATGTCATATTTATGGCAGAGGAGAAGAAAGTAAATCATCTTACCTGAAGCACCATCTGTAGTATCTTGTGATCAGGAGGGTCCTGGTAGATAGCAGCAGACAGTTCTTTGGTTTTCTTTTGGATATCTTCAATGGCCACCTCTATAGGAGTTAACACCCACTATTTATGTAAAAAGAGAATGGAATAATTACATCAATAAACCACAATTAAACATACATATATTCAATACAAAATATTTTATTAACTATAAATAAAAATTGTACAGTATTAGTTATAAATACAAATTTTATTAACTAAAAAAAAAATTTGTTTTCTCAATATAGTAGAGCTGCATAACTGAAATACACGAGTTAAGAGATTCATAGAACTTGTAAACAATTTTGCTGGCACCATAAAAAGGCCATTTGTGTCAAACAACTATTCACTTAATTTCACATTTAAGTTTACAGTATCTGCTTAACTTTCCTACAAGAAGTCAAACCAGAAGAGAAGAGAAGAGCTCAGTTACCTAAAAGACCCAAAAATCGAGAGTTGAATGTAATGAAATGCCATTTTTTGGGTGAGCCCCAGAAGCTCCCTGAAGCTATCCCAACTGATATGTGCTATATTAGTTCGGGGGTCATCAGTCATAGGAGTTCCTTTGCCTACCGGGAACCACAGCTAAAACCTGGTCCCCCTCAGAGAGGCACAGGAAGCAATGGCGTAGGAGCACTTTACATTTACAGACTGTTATATTCCGCCATCGACAGGGATGGGCACCCATAAACATAGGCGAACCAAAATAAACAATTACCCGGTAAAATTGCGATCTACAGCCAGAAAGAGCAAAGAAACTCCTCCTGAAAGAAAAGAAACTACCAACCCTGCACTCAACGAGTACTGGCATACTCCCCTACCCCCAGAATGGGGGAGGGGGGCCAGCCACCCACCACCTCAGTTCTCATCCTGATATGCTTGCAGTTGCTCAGTCACCTCTGACCTCTAGTTCATGTTCTATATTTTGCCCTGTGTGGCTGTACCAGCTGTGTGTGGGGTATGGGGGCCAGGTGTTCTTGTACTTGGAGCTGCATGCGCCTAGGACACCCTTCCCAAAGTGCTCCGTAAGTACTACTCTTGGGCGTCTGGGTTATCTTCCCTACGTTCGGGACTTACTCTTCATTAGAGGACTTCATTGTTTGACGTTGCCTTTGCCCTTGGGATGAGTCTGGGGCTTTCTGTTTTGCCCCGGGTATGGGTGTATTATTGGCTGGAGGGGGTGCACTGCAGCTAGAGTAGTCTGCTTACTACCTAAGCGACGGCTGACGCTTCTCTCTGGCTGCTAGTTTGCTTGTGGTGTGGTTTCGGGGGTTTGTTATTTTTTTTTTCATTTTCGGGCATGTTTCCCCATGTGGACGGAGGAGGTCTGTTTAGCTGCTTATTAGGCTCGCCTGGGTTATGGTGGCTCTTCTCCTCCATTGCCCACAAGGTTTCACCACTGCTACTGGTAGTCGGTTTGCCTGCTTACAAGCAGGGAGTCTACCGGCTTGGCTGGCCCCAGTGCCTGGGCTTCCCATAGACTGATGTACCCTGTGGGCCCTGGAAAACCCCCCAAGGGCTCAGTTGATAATGTGGACGTGTCCTAGTCCACTCTCGCCTTGTGTGAATTTGACGGTTGTTCGTCGTCCATGCCTCATGGAGATATCATCCATTCTGCCTCCACCATGCTGCCTGTTGGGTCAGTGACACCTACATGTTGTCTTGCAGGATTTGTTCACCGCTTGTGCTTCAGTTTACCCATTCCACGTCTGCAGATGATAGGATTCAGGCTGCAGCAGCGTTGCAAGCTCGCTTCTCCTTCTTGCAACGCGTCAGGTTAATTTTTTCAGTGTCGAGTAGTTAACAAATGGAATGTATTAAGCTGTCATGTGGTGGAAGCACACTCCATACATAGTTTCAAATGTAGATTTAATAGAGCCCAATAAGTCCAGAATCTGTACACAATTTGATTGACAGTTGAGAGGAAGGACCAAAGAGCCAAAGCTCAATCCCCGCAAGCACAACTAGGCGAGTACAAAACATTCATATATTCAACATGCCCAACTCATCTCAAAATATTATTCTCAATCTCTAGCTGTTAAGTTCTTTTGTAACCCCATATCTCTCCAAGCCATTTACATTTCTTAATTTATTCCTTTAACACCACATCTATTTCTCAAGACTGTTCCTTTTACGGCTCTATTTCTTTATATTTTACACCTGTACAACATCAGTGTCTTGCATCGGTACATAAGGGTCGGTCAGCACTACCACTCCTTAATGCAGCCCTCTTGCTCCATTTATTCCTCTTAAGTACTGCTCATAACTAAAGTTTTACTGCAGTTAACACTTCCTCTTTCCTGAATGACCTTACTTTCAAGATTGCTAATACTGTACTGTAAAAGTAAGGTAATGTCATCCCCGTTTACATACACAACTGAAAAATGTTTTCCAGCACACTTACCGACATTCTATCAACAACCTGAATTCGAGTCTTAACATATGGAAACATATGTTGCGTAGTTAGAATGGTCTTGCGTTTGTATTGTTCGTGAAGCTCTCCATGCGCTCGTCCATCAGGTGTGAAGGGTGTCGAAAAAATAAAACGCTCTGTAAATAAAATAAAAAACAAGGATGTAAAAATTCATACACATGCTCAGTTCAGTTTATTTATTCCATGTGAATATAATAAAGCAACTGATAAATAATAATTGTCTGTCATATTATATTGGTGCTATGGAGACTAGAGGATACTCAATTTAACCCAGAATGTAGACAAGTACATACCAATTAAATTCAAAAGTGTATCACAGAAGCAACTTGAGGAAACAAGTTTAAAGAGAGCCAGATGTAAAGGGTAGAAGTAGTAGCAACTCACTGACCTAAGAAAAGTGCTTTTCAAACACTAAGCTAGTGTTTACAACTGTTCCACTTGCTCCATAAGACAATGCTCACTGGAAGCCAACCTAACTACTGAACAGAAAAGGCAAGGTGGACCTGAACAGCAGATCAATGCAAAAATGAGCCCTGGGGGGTAAGCAGTGGTATTGCAATCGATATCTTTCAATGCCTGAAGGCAGTACAGTATGGGACTTCAAGAAAGAAGACCTGAAGGATTAAACTTTCAAACAGCAAAGGCCATAGAATATGTCTGGGATGGCTATGGCATAGTTAGTATTCTGAGTAACTTGGATATATGGACCTTAAAGCAGGGAACTATGGTGTGAGGATTCAAGAAGAGAATCTGCAATGGCATGTCAAGAACATACGTACCGAAAGACATGCAAACAAAAAATGAAGAGTTGATATGGAAATGCATAACATGATCAATATAAATAAACCATGGATGACAGACCAAAGTGTAACAGGTACAAATTGAATACCCATCTCCAAAGCAAGAGGAAGAGTATCTTGAAGGAAAGCTCTGCCAAGGAAGTAGAGACTAAAATCCAAGAACAGGAGAAAATAGGAACCATTAGCATCCAAACCCAAAGCTTAGCAACAGCCTTATACGTAGAAACCCCCGAGACTGAAAGTGACCTTGCACGCAACAAGAGGAATGCTAACAGCAGTAGAAATGGCCATCATTCCTAATGCCTCAACCCAGGACAGAGTCTCAAGGAACTGTGAAAATAAAACACACACTTATGACCCATTAACTAAAAGAACAAGAGAAATTATCTCTGTAACCCCGGTACATAGAGAACACATAAATAAAAGTGAGTCCACAGCAAAGTAAATACGAGGTACCCAAGGGATAAACACAAGTCACTTAACTAATAGTGATCTCAGTAGCCCGATGAATGGATGGGAATAATCAGAAGAAATACGATATGGGCAGAGAAACCTTGTTGATATGTAGGTGCTGACACTTGGGTGTTATTGGGTAAATGCCAGGTGGGCTAACACAGAGCAGAGCTCCTTGGTGGTCTCTTTACCAATTAACAGTGCTTGGAGCAATTTTCTAATACTGTACAAACAAATGAGCATTCTGGAGATCAGGCCAGGCTAAACAGTTTTCTCCAGTGTCTTCCTTGCCCCAGTATAAGCTGACCAACATGTTTGAAAACATCCTTACTGCATTAAGCTGAAATGTCAGCTTGTCTTGACTGTTCTTAATCTTGTCCTTACAAAGAGCCTTAAGCAGCAATCAAGTTGTAAGGATGAGAAATTAATTACTAAAAATTGCAGAACATGTGATGACAGACCTAATATAAATCACATTACATACAAAATCCATTTCTCAGAGAAAGTAATAGTTCAACATTTTAATTTATAATACTTACTTATATTGTAATTCTTCTCGAAGGATGTGACTCTGTCTCTATATTCATATTCATCAAAGTATGGTTCAACGTAAGTTATCTGAATGCAAGCTTTATCCGAGTTTAACTTTGTTACATCAACAGTGTTGCTGTCTTTGATGATGCATGTATTTTCAGGACCAAATCGATCAGCATAAAAACCCTGGAAAAGGTTGAAATATATTTCAGTAACATAAATATGACAGAATGCAGAATACAACCTGATAGAAGAAACAATTAAGAAAAGATTATGACATTAGCCAGTAGGAGAGAATGGGCAATAATGCAGATGGTAGAGAACACTAGAGAGGTAAGGTTCAAAGACATACTGTATATCACCATTCTGACATACGAGTTGGGGAAATAATGAGCTGTAAGGCAAACAAGAATTAAAAGGTGTGAAGTAAAAAAGAAAATGAATCGAAGAAAAAGATAAACATAATCAAGAATGGGAGAGTGAAGCAATAATAAAAAAAAAGTCTCACGAAGGCATAAAGAAAACAGAAAAAGCCATGAAGACCTTTTTTCTGAGGCTACTATTGCAGAAAAACTTTGAGAGAACGAAGCATTGGCTAATAAAACACTTGTTTTTAAAAGGATCTCGAATACTATTACCATTATAATCCCTTTAAAATTAATTTGTACTCTCATTATTTCCATTCATATACAGTGGTACACATAACCCAACAAATAACTTAGAAAATGCAAAATTGTATTAAATATTTGCTTCATCACTGAGTAGGGCCCAAGGGAGCCCAAAACATTTTCAGTCGCGAATAAACGGCTAGTAGCTATATTCTTATACTCAAACTCAAGTACAGTACAGTATTTTGAATTTTTAGTCAATACGACCAGACATTCTCATGCTACGGAACAGCAGGGACACAAATAATAAATACTGTATAAGGAAACCAAAAAACTATCCCTACCGTGGATACCCACTTCTAAAATTAAACGAGAAATATTTTTACCTCTAGTCTGTGAGAGATCTCGGGCAGCTTTGTTAGCATGGGTTCTTTATAAATGTATTCCTCTCCATCGAGATCTCCAAATTTGGATCCATAGAAACCTACACGAAAATAGGTACCAAACATCCTTCTCCCTTCCAAGGCATCTATCTTGGTAAATGCATCTTGCAATTTTGAATATATATTAATAAGTTTCTTCCAGTCTCTGTTCTTCTCAGCAATTGGAGTTAGAATTTTATACACTTCATTAAGGCACTCAAACACTCCAGCCTGAAATACATAAAGGTATAAAGTTGTTACCAGGATGATTTAAATATCAAACTCAATTACAATAATTTTTGGAAAGATTTACCTAAGTTACCAAAGTGCTAATGCAAAACTGCAATTAATATACATTTTGCTAAATTTTCCAAGAAAACAGCATTTGAAAGAAATTAGCTACACATTACCTTTAGGAAGTATGCATGTATAGTTATATCCATTGCTCAAATCATCCCTTTGGTTTGGCCTTCCTAGCTAAATATCACTACATGTCAAGATCTATTTTTAAGATTAACTAAAAAAAATAACAATAAAGGTTTATAGGCCCAGTATGTCTGAGTTTACTAAAGAAAAATATTTAGGTTTGATTATCTTTTTTTTTTTAAATAAAAGCTTATCCTGCTGATATCTAGAATTTCCAAAAGCTACTTATTCTGCCTTGTTCTAGCAACAGGAAAAGCAAGAGAAACAGTACTCGGAGGGAGAGAGGGGAAGGGGGGGACTCTAGGCATCAAAAAAAATTCTTCCCCAACCAGGAGCCTTAACAAACCTGCTTGGGACCTTTTCATGTGGCTGATAGGATATACACCCTTCAAAACCCAATTTACCGTCACCTCAGGAAGGAGGAGAAGGGCATACAAGGGAGTAGAGAACAAAACGCACAAGGATCCAATCAGACTTGCAGAGCAACTCTAACACTACTTCACTACTTGGAGGATTGGAGCACACATCTAGGACACAAGTTGATGAAATATAGACAAATAGCCCACGCAACTTATGATAGCCAAGTGTAAGTCTTGAAATCAACCATAAGTAGCTGTGATAAATGGGGTACCTGGATGTGGAATTACAAAGAAGTCACCTCAGAAAACAACATGGGATTAAACAAGACCCAACTGAACAATTAAAGTGTAGTGTAGTGTAGGACTCAATTCAGGTAACCAAAGTGATCCCCTGCCAAAACCATATTAAGGAGAGGGAAAAAACGCAGCCCATTTAAGCAACGGCACACATAAAAATTTCTATTTTCCCATGGAGAGTAAGAGATTTCCCACTAGCCATGCAGAAAAGGGAACCTGATACCACAGCCAGGCTGCAAATTAAGAATCAAACAGGTCACAAATGTGAAAATGTGGTCACTTGCTCATCCAAGTTGTTATGCCAGCGAGAGCCAGAATGAAATTGAGGTGGCAGCTCCTGCCTACTTTGTTGACAGTGTAGATGTTAACATCTCACGATAGTCTGGGATAGTGACCAAGCAGCCATCACACAATTATCAGAGCAGTCTTTTGGAGGCAAAGTATTGCTTGGAGGAGGTTTAAATGCAGACAAATTAACTTTCTGGATGTCATAAAGGCCTGGATAGAGAAATCTCCAGTGTCTCCATTCCTTATAAATGGCCTTGTAGAAATATTCTGAAAGGACCCCATGGTAATAACTCAGAATGTATGCATGAAATTGTATTTATACCAATTTCAAGAAAGAATTACTTCAAAATCAAAAGAGATGGTGCTAATTTTAACATGCAGTACTGTACTGTACATACTGTATATAAAACCTTAAAAAAAAAAAAAAAAAAAAAAAAAGAGTCAATCCTATGAAGTGAATGAAAATACAAACAGAAGTTTAAATATTATATAATAGAAGTGTATGTAAGGGTATGTACATAAATAGCATGAATTTATGTTCTTTTGAAAAATTTATCAAATATAAAACTAATGTTAAGAAGTAATACCTTTTTAAAAAGATGGATTATCAAATAAATGTTACCTGGTGTAGTGATGAACTGGCTTGCTCCAGAAGGCCTACAAGTCCATTTTCTGTGAAGTATTTCCCAGTGCAGATCCCTTCCTCATCCGGACTGAGGACATCATCTGACACTGCCAAAGGAATGATCACGGATAAAATATGACAATTTTAAGTCCCACATGAAAGATGAGAGAGGGAGGGAGGGAGAGATGGCGAGGCTGGGAAACATTTGTGTATGAAGAACCATTACATCCTAATACAGTATAAGAGTAAAGCAAGTATGCCGTATATGAATTTCTAAGAGAGCCTGACGAGCATAGGGCCTGTGTAGGAATATATCCGAAAAAAAGTTAATACGCAAATGATTCGGCAACATGAAAGCAAAATTCAGAAAAATACTCTCAGGTTTTGATTTTAAGCCTTTAGATAATTATAACTATACCATATTATATTAAATAATTTGCTTATTTGTTTTCAGGACTAAAACTAAAAAACTTAAAAAGCAAAAACTAAAACTTTAAGTAAAGTACAGAAAACAGATTCACTGTTGAGAAACCATCTTGCCTTGTGATACAAAGGCCAAGAATATAGAAACATACAGAGGTTCATAGCACAGCCAGGAGCATCACTGCTTAACTAATAATAATAAAACAGAAATTCAATTTATAAGATATACAAAAGACCAGATTACAATGGTTACTTAGTAGGTAGAGGATCTGTATTTATATAAAGCCATATTATTTGAAAATAGATAGCAATAAACAGTTTTGTTAATATTGTAATGCTAATTATTTAACTAAAATAAGCTCTCTACCTACACCCGATCTCTTAACTAATTAAATGAAAATTGAGAATGCTCTAAATTGACCATCTAAGCAACTGCTTAAATGTAATATGGGAAGGTCTTCAATCCTTTTAATATTTGCTTCTAATACCAATTCCTATGCATATGGAACAGAAAGAGTTAAGAGATATCCTTAAAATCTTAAGATAAACTGGATCAACCAACTGAATAGTCTATGTCCTAACTTAACACAGGAAAGTCCTTGAGAATCTTAATACAGTATACACATATGCAAAATATATTGTTGTACATAAGAATGTTGAAATATATGAAAATCTAATTAGATCCTCCATAAACTGACCTTTCCTTCTTCTTAACGTGTGGCACAATACAGTCAGTACCTACTTATGTTGAAGGTAATGCAAAGGTTTAAGTTAAATGCAAATACGCAATAGATATTAATAATGACGATATCAAGATTATGATGTTTAATAATAAAAGAAACAAAGCCACTTTTAGGAAACAAATATCTTACCAGCACTTTCTTCCAATACATTAGGTGAAAGTTTGCAGAAAGTTACTGCTCCCGTAGGTAGGTGAGGACAATCCTCTAACATGTAAAGATATTCCGAGACCAAAGCAGCGCTGTGAATGAGGCACATAGCAGCTTCAGCATGTTGACCTCGTTCACTGTGTTTCTGGGCCATGTTGGCCAGCCAAGTTAGTCGAAGGTCTGGAGAGTTCTGATATCCACGTGCTAATGAAGAAGTTTCAAAATTACACTGAGAAATTTGTGATAAAGCATTATAAACTAAAATACCTGTTTTTAGAAGAAAAGTACAGTGATGCAATACATACTCATATATTTTTGTTAAGCTAACTCGCTAAAGACAACGGAAATTTAGTGAGGTATTTGAAAGTCTTCTGAATACTGGAATTTTTTAAGACATTACCACTGCAACATTCTTTTATTGCTAGTCTGTATGTGGGATGGGTATAGGAATGGGTTCATATATGAGAGGTGTAGGTGGTGTGGGGGGAATGAAATATTGAATGATGGAGTGGGTGACCTTCAATAAACTAAGGTGGCATGGACATGCTTGTAGGACGCTTGATAATCGTTTAATGAGAAGGGTTTACAAGTGCAAAGTAATGGGATTATATAGTAGAGGCAAATTACTAGTATCTAGGAAGTGAAGGCTGGAACAATTTATGAAACAAGAAGTGGGTGAAGGGGTTAATGAGTTTGAAAGAGTGCAACATGTGTGTGGTGGCAGTGCCTCCTGGAGAAACTTCTGCTGTAGCCACCACCCTAATGATGAGCACCAAAGAGAGTGTAAGGTATGGTGGATTTAGATAGATATTTATATAAAATTATAAAACCAGTTTTAAGGTAAAAGACCTTTCTTTTCAAGGATGGACAGCCTTAATTTTTACCTACAGCATAAGTGTATGATGGGTTTGAAGAATGGATAGAGTAAGGAAAGAAAAAGACCTGGAAAGATGTGAATTTCAAATAACTGTAAATTCTAAGAATAAGGAGAACATACCTAGATGGTCGAGAAAATCAGTAGGAGCCATGAGGAGGATTCGAACCTATGCTCTGGGTACTCCCAAGCACACTCCTTACACCACTAAATCACTGATTTTCTCATTGATTCACATCATAAATCCCATCATTGATGTGATTTTTTGTGTATCTAGATGGTTTGTACATGTTGAACAAATTAATAATGATATACAGGTGATGAGTGTGTGTATTTAAGTGCATAAGAGGATAGGATAGAAGAACTTGGCGAGTGTGAGGAAGCCGTGGCCAAGTAATGGATATGGAAAATAACCAGGTTAAGCCGTAGCAGTTTGTGAGGAGGGAGTGAATGTGTTTGTACTATAAAAGATAACGCATGAGGAACCCTGTACACCTGGTACTGTGTGATGAAGCAGTGGGATGCTCCTGTTGATACACTGCTTGTGTGTTGGTTTGGTTTACATGTCTCTTCATCCCTTTAAGGAGGGAAACAAAATAATGAAGATGACATTGAATTCACAGCAAGCCTAATATCATACTGACTAGTTCTTCCTTTTAGAAATTTAAGTTGGATCGATCGTCTTCAAATAACTTGATAAATGATCATCACAACCTTTTCTCAGATTTTCATAGTGGTGACAAATAGGAGAGCACACACACAAATTAAAACTTGAAAAATCAATCGATAAGAGCCACGAGAGCATGGGTTTAACTCTTCCATGGGATATCTAAGAACATCAGGTCCATTCCCTCTTCACTTTTTTCTTAATTTTAAGTTCAAATTTTAAATTTACCTAAAAAATAATTACCTGCAAAATTATTTAAATTGATTATCCTCATTGTCAAATAATTTTCATTGGAAACCTACAGAAAATGAACAAAATATGAAGCCATGTACTGGACATATGTTCTACTATAATTCCATTGCTTAGAAAGAACATACAAAAATGTGGTGTAGAGGAGGATGTTCCATTTTATAAGAGACTTTGTAAACATTAAGATAAATCCTTGATTGTTATTTTAAAAAAAGCATAAATAACATGTTTTAAAGGCTTACATAATTTAAATAAATGGCTAATACGAATGTATGTCACTTTCCTCTTCTCCTGAGAACGTGGAATACACTTTTAAAAATGCCATATGGGCATTTCTGATGCCAAGGTCAACAATTGTTATTTTTTCTATATAAAAATATGGATAAAAAATCGTGTTAATTTCCAGCACCTGGATGAAGGGAAGGGAACTATCAGGAGAAAGTAACAAGCCATTACGACTATATTGCACTTGATTGGATCAGGATAAGGATTTGAGATGGGATGAGGGAGAAAGGAAAGGTGCCCAATCACTTGGATTGTCGGGGATTGAATGCCAAACTGAATGAAGTGAGACTGTTGCTCTACCGTCAAGCCCACTTGGATGACCTACTGAGAGTTCCATGATCAATTCAAATTTAAATAAGTACAGTATTGCAAAGGAGGCAAAGTGACACCGAAGACAGACACAAAATGATGCAAGAATGTTTAGAAATTCTTTATATTTCTGATGATTAAAACATATTTGGATTACATTTACACTCTTGAATTTGCTTATGTTGTGAAATAAATGATGTTTTAAATTATTATGCTGTACTGTAGCACAAATTAGAAGATTCAAATTATTAATTTTCGATGCACAACATTCCCTGAAGCTTACCAATTCTGTACATGAGATCGAGCAACATTTCTGGATCCTCTTGATACTCTTTCATCTTCACAGTATCGGACAGGATCATGTGTAAATTGAAGACTAGATCTCGAACCTGTAAAAGGAGTTCCTTATTACCTGGATATATTTACCAGACATTGAAGTTTTTGAAAGCCAAATGATGATTAGTTCACCAAAAATTTAACATTTTAATGGACAATTTGATCATATCTAAATTATTCTCTTATAACTATCAATTCAACCAAATTCCATTATATTCCCCTGAATAACAAAAAATTTTTTTTATAAGACTATGATATAAGGACTGAAGAACAACTAGGAATGGATCAATATACAGTAATGATAAACTGGCATATATCAATTTTACACACGTGATATGATTACTAAAATCTTACACACTAGATATGATTATCAGTTGTATAATTATAACCAAAGCAGATAACTGAAACAAAAAATATATGCCACTATGAAAAATATATATTACCGGCACTGTATGCAAGTATTGTAGGTATGAATGGGCTTTGAGATCAGATATATACATTACTGTATTTGCCATAACCAGAAACCATATAAGAACAGAATAAATATAAGTGATTGGATACTATGAATATAGCGCTATTTCTGTATCGTGTTTATAAAAGAGCAAATAGAAAATTAACTTCAATTATCATTAAAACACAACATTTTGTATGGCACTGACATTCATGTTACAAGAGACAGAGAGAGAGAGAGAGAGAGAGAGAGAGAGAGAGAGAGAGAGAGAGAGAGAGAGAGAGAGAGAGAGAGAGAGAGAGAGAGAGAGGATAACAACTTTAATATGTTATATCCTCTACAAGAACCAAAACTGTTAGTGGCAATGAATCAAGACGGTCAAACTACCTGTTCTGGAAAAGATGTGTCTTGAAGGTCAGCATCCTCCTCAGCATATGTGAGGATGGTCTTGAGAGATCGACGCAAATAGGCTTCATTGAAGGTTTGCGATGTTCCAACCAAGGAACTGAGCGACATTGTCACCTGCATCTTTACTCTTGCAAAGTTCTGTGTGATGATACAAAGAATCCTGATTACGTAACTTGGGACAAGCAAAGCACCACAACCGATATAAGTTTTATATGGATTATAGTGATATAATCAGTTGCTTCATCCTCATTCTTACATCAGGCATTCTGCCATGAAATTGGGCATTAAACAATAAAATGTATCTTTCAAGCATCATCTTTAATTAAACACTTACCTGCTAAAAGAAAATAGAAAAATGAAGGACTTACATTCCCAATTTCAAAGTTATGTCTCATCAAGAGGTACAATGATGCTGCAGCATGGGATCGAATAGTACAGATGCATGAAGAGCAATGTTTCAACAGCTGAAGGCACAGGTCTGCACACTGCTCAGTTTCTTCATCAAAAAGTAAACCTGGAAACTATAAAACAAATATTAATATAAACAAACATGGAACAAACCAATGTGCACGCTTTCCTTTTTCAACTCCATGAACAGATCTCATATTTTTATTGTCGTTACTTAATACTTTGTTAAACTTTAAACAATGCACATTAGGTTCGAAAAGGGATTGAAAGTTTAAAATATACCAAAATTAGATATTGTTTGATTAACCTTAGCAACCAATGCTCGCTGAGTGTTGAACATGTTTGTGAGTGTTGACGTCGACTGGTTAGAGGCGATTGCATGAAGTAACACTCGAAACACCACAGGCAAAAGCCCCTGCAAATGATCTGCCATTGTTACAACCTGAAAAATTAAAAGAAACATTAGTTTAATTATTTTTTTCTGGGACTCCAGAGCTTTGTTTGGTGATGCCACATCTTGTCTCGCTTGCAGCTTCACCGACAATGAGGTGATGAGAGCTAGCCAAGCTCACCCCTCATTTAAGTTAGAAGCCTTCACATAGAATGAAAATCAGAATACAATTTATACCATCGCTAACATCTTATTGGTTAAACTATGGGCTTCCTTGACATCACTGGGAGTGGCTGAGTGGCTAATAGTTATCAAAACTGTTAACATAGTCAGGTCAGCCGTGATCTTCCCATAGAAGGTACTCTCTTGCTCCATCGAAAATGGCAACGAGATCCACCCATGATCATACAGGAGAGATGTATAAACTGCCACCTACTATTATAACCAGACATCATATGTCACGACACACACTACAGTATACGTGAACTGCCAATGCAACACCCTACATGAGGTCTTGTGTACCGGGATAAAGGTGACATACCAATGCTCAGTGCCCAGCACTGCAGCTATGGGGTACAAGTCTAGCCGAGAGATCACCAATCTCTCACACCTGTCAAAAAACATTTAAACTGTTCCCTATGGACTGATGTACAATATGGAGAGACAAGGAAGGATAATTGGGAAAACACTGAACTGAGTAAAGGAATGAGAAGTATGGAGCCATTCCAAGAATCAATTCTAAGACCATTGTTATACCTGATTAGTGTGATGACCTACCCAATGGAATGAGCACATCATTTGTATTAAAAATTTGTAGATTATGCAAAGCTATTGAAAATCTAAAAACTTAAGAAAACTGCAAAGAATTACAGGGAGACCCTGACAAATACCTGGAGTAGGCAGACATGTGGCTGTTAAAAGTTCAACAAGTGTCAAATTGGAAATAAAACATAAGACAAGAAGAAATTTACACTGTAAGGGAAAAGCAACTACAGGATTTGGAAAAAAAAAACTTGGTAGTGGATATAATTCTAGCACTAACTCCAGAAACACACAATCAGCACAATATTAGCAGCACATGGAAAGTAAACATACATTAGAATGCCATTTAAAAACCTAAATAAAGACCCTTTCAAGATGCATATAAGATACATAGCACATGAGGTCAATACTAGAATATATACCACAGACATGGAATCCATGCACCGTGAAGCACATAATTAGGCTGAGGGTAAAGAAACAGTAGTGACCACCCCAACACAGCCTATTGGTATTTTGAGGACATCTAGAGAGGCCAAAGAAGGGCCTCCGCCACAAGCCCCCAAACAGGCTGTGACCGAGTAGCTCTATAAACGCAAATTACAAGTTGCGTCACAATAACCAAAATCTTGTACCTGGGGCTGGACTAAATCTACACCTTGGATAAACCAAAATAAATCAGCATCCAAAAGAAAGATTTGATGTAAGGACTCGGACTAAGGTGAGGCCACAAGAGGATAAAAGGAAGATTTTAATAGCGAATAAGGATTACTTGGAAATTATCTCTAATAATTACTAATACGCCATCTTGAATATATAAATGATAAAAACAGCCAGTTAATAGTTAAATTCAATCTAACATACCTTGTTACATACCTTTCCTTGTAGCTGTTAAATTCAAATGTAACATACCTGGACTATATTTTCCAATGTATCAAGAATAACCATATTAGCTTCAGCAGCCAGATGACCCTCGACTTGAGACTCCTGCTCCAGTTCATGTTGGGGCGAGCGGTCAGTGTCTTGCTGGTGGTGACGCCAAGGAAAGGATTCTTTACGCCACCGCAGTTTTTCTCCAGTTCCAGATGGCGAGGGAGGATTACGTTCTATTGAACAAAATAATTACAGTACTGTTAAACTATATTTAAATGACAATGTATTTTTATTAAACCTCTGGAATTACTTAGTTTTTATTATCTAAAATAAAGTACTAAAATTAGATTAAAATATGAGACAACATATTTATTCAATTAAAAAAAAAGCAATGTAGACATAAAGCAATCCTTGAGGTTTGAATTCAAAAAAATAAAAAAATAAGAACTTTAAAAATACTTCATACAATGCGAATATAATATTATAAACCAAATTATCTTATTAAGAACAAAATACTATGATTACAGAAAGTTGCTTAAATAAGACCACATAGAAACCCAAAACTATCAGGCTGCTGAAGTAGACACCCAAACATGCCTGACAGTTTCTGAACCCTGGTGATTTTAGATCGTATATAATATACAGTACTGCATATACACAAACTAAATTGAGTGCATACACACAAAGAGTGAATTACAAAGTCTCATACATGAAGAAGGTATTTTCTCAAAGCTGGGGTACACCAACATTTAGGATGAAAGGCAAGGAATTTATTGATGAAATTGTAAACAGTTTAAAGCAAATCATTTACAAAGCATGATAAAGAGATTGTTTGAAAATATACATTATTTGTGGGACTGGAAAAGCCACTACTCTGGGTACACATATAATTATGACAGAATTGCATAATGTTTCCATTAATACAGCCAAGGAAGAAGTAATTACAACACTTACAAAATATGTACACACACACACATAACACATGAAGACCAACTAGTAGTGCGTGGCAATGTACAGTGGTGGCTCATTACCTAAAAAGTGGCCAAGAGTTTTGCTGTATTATACATGCAACTCTATTTTCTTTCAGAGAAGAAAAAATAATCCTTTACAAGTATAAAAGGGAAGAAGGATTTTATCCATCAAAGAACTGTACTTGAAAATACAGAGTTCTGGTAATCCAAATAAAATAACATTTAAGAATATTTAAATAAAATAAAAAAGAATCCCAGTTTGAACATAGGATAAGAGTGTCTGTATCCGACCAGTTGCTGATATCTGACCACCAGCGTCTAAACACCAGAGTGTCTGCACCTTTGAACAAAATCAAGCCACAAGAATGCACGGAAACTCATCATCAAATACACCCCAATACTATACCGAAACATTAAAGGTATCTTGTGTGAAACTTGAAATAAATATTAGCAAGCTCAAGTTTTTAATGACTTCCTAGCAAAAGTATTTGAATATTTTTTTATCATCAAATTTGTTAGTCTTTATTTAACGGATTCTCTTTTGCTTAAACTTGAATAAAACAGGGGCAGACACCTATAAAAGTTCATTATAGGTAATAAACGATATGGCTTAATACTGACACCACAAACACCCAGATGCAAGAGTCCGGCCACCAAACAAATTACTGAGCAGTGCTGTACTGCATCTCAAAATCAACATCAACCATCACCAATGTGTCCTGATGCACCATGTTCCAGAAATTATTAGATCTTAACACTCAATGGCTTCCAAAAAGCAAGCAACCAAATAATTGGGTAGCCAACACCTGTCCTGGCAGAGGACATATCTGTTTCTAGCTATGAGGTACCAACTATGTTATTAGAGGAATATATCCAAATGGTATTGAATGAAAGCGGCAATAATATAGCCCATAATATGTACGGAAATTCCCTTACAAATGGATATGAATATTGAGTAGAGTCCCAGCAAATGAAGGAGCTTGCACTCCAAGCACATGCTGCACATCCACCTACTTAAAATTCCAGTTACTATCTCAATAAGCCTTGAATAAATAGACATGATTGTGCTGTTATTTAATAGATATGTCTTTATGCTATTCACAACATCAGTAAGTCTATTCAGATATTTCTCTTCTTAAATGTAACTTAAATACAAATAACAAAAGTTTGGTGGCCGGACAATGGCTCTACCCTACGTAACAATGTGCAACAAATAATCCATATCAATGCATCTATTTCAACATGGGGGGAAAACATCTCCAGTTTCATATACTCAATGCAAACATCATGAAATACTCTTAAGAGGTACAAGTGTCCCCTCTTGCCTCTGCCTCCCCATCCTTTCTTCCTTAACTTTTCTTCCTCCTCCTCTTGCATGTATTGTTGAATAACTGAAAATATTTAAACTTCCCAGAATTAAATAAGAACACTTAAAATTAATTTTAAAACTTAGCCAACATCCTTATATACTGCCCAATTTCAGTAAGAAGCTTCTTTTTTGTTGACAATCTGTAAAAATCTTAAAAAGTCTAGGAACCAAATAGCATTTCACCAAATGGTAATACAGGTATTTGTAAACTCATTAGATGATGTCAAGGTGCCGACTGACTAGAAATTAACAAATTTCACACCATTACTTAAGAAATATTACAGAAAATGTGCAGTAAATTATTGTCCTACTAGTCTGGCATCAGTGTTAAGAAAAATTATGGAAACAATTATTGGACCAAATCATTAAATTTCTACAAGACCAAAACATCACACCTTAATGGAAAACCATCACAAACTCCAAAATAAAGAATCCAGCTAAATTAATTTATTTGAATTTCCTCAAGAAACCACACATATGTAATACTGTACTGTATATCCTGCAACTGAACATTAGCCTAAAATTGGAGAAAATTGTTCAACACACTCAAACATAGGCTGTCCAGAAGCTACACACTGCAAGCAAAGAGAAACTGGCTGAAAAAAACGTAAGATCCCAATAAAACATAACTGAATGAAGGCTGACCTAAAAATGGAAACGAGTCCCAACCAGAGCAGGAGCAGCAAAGGTCGAAGCAAGTATGTTGGCTTGCTGACCAAGAATTTAAACAAGCCTACCATCCCCAAGGCAAAAACTCTGGTCAGCAGGCAAAGTTTAAGCCTGAGAACACAATGAGCCAGTTAATTGGGGAGGTTAAGTCACTCATTCCCATTGGCAAATCTTCTGGAGGATCACCCTGGCAAGTCAGGAGAATGTCCTGACAGCCACAGTTGTGATAATGGTAGGGGTTAAGATAAACCAAAATCCCTTGACATACCATGAACCATGCAAAGGTTTGCCATAAGCACAGCACTGGGACGCAGATTTACTCGATGATACTTGCAAAAGGTAACTTGGTCCTCCACCAAGAACCACCAAAGAGGAGGCCTGGGTACCAACACAAAATCTGAGGTAAACAGAACGAGGCAAGACTTGGGAGTAACCAAAAGGTAGCAAAACCTTATTCACATGTGACTCAGTGAATGTATCCAAGTGTGTACAACTCTCAAACACCAGAGTCCTGAAAATGTACCACAGAGGAAATGTGAATGTAGTGGAAACTTAAATAAAAGAATAACCAAGAACCAAGGCAGAACTGGGAAGACAGTTCAGGGAAGACCAGTCACCCTGGTGACTGGTCTTTTTTTTTTTCTTGCGCACAGCGGTGTTGTCAGCTATTAAAAGGTGCGCCGCCGAGGGTTAGGTTTGCATTTTATACTATTTCATAACTACCCAATATTTACACTATTATAACATGATTAATGCTAGGTAATCACAGATGTGGCCATGTTTGGTGATATCTGAGCCTTTGAATCAGGACTTTATTTACCTTATGAGGAACTGTACCTATCATCAAGAGTTAAGAACATTTGGCTGTCATGTTGATGAGCATGAAAACTAGAAATATGCTATTATTTAGCACGACACTAAATTGAAGTGGGAGAGGAAAACGTGGTACAGGCTGATACTCCAAACTTAAATAGCCGATCAAGAACACTCAACTGTTTACAACTTCAATAAGTAGTATATACATATGTTAGTGATGTTACTTGATAAATTAATACCAACTGAAGCTATATGAAATTAAGCCACTAATTCTTTTAAGTTTAATGATTTGTTAAAATTTTTAAATAAATAAATCATATCCTCTTATGTTTCATCAAGCACTGGTTTGCATTCCTTATCTCTTGATTTTGGCATTATTATGCATGCTAAATCACAGAACAGTACTGTGCTTAGTGCTATGTATATTAATGAATAATGCATTAACTATAAAAGCAAGCAAGGGTAGAGATTTGTGTAAATCATAAAAGAACCACTGTACCGTGTTTTTGGTATTGAATAAGAGATGATAAGCAAAGGTTTCATCTTGCACAGAAAATGAAGTCTGGAGGATTTGCTCATTCAATATCTCCTACAAATATACTGTACAAATATATGTACTATTTGTACTATATACATTCAGTATTTCATAGGTACAATATTACATTTGCCATTTAGATCAACATAAGAAATGTATATACAGTACAATCAAGAACATAATTAAAATTTAACATTGACAATATAACGTAGCTACACAGTAGATTAGCATCCTCTTTAAAAGTATATATACTGTGCCACTAAAGTATTTCTACAAGACCCACATATAAAATATGCATCTGTTGACCTTATTGATGAATATTAGTAAAAAATTCACTTGATGTGCATTATATTTAGATTGGATCTAAATACAAGTTTAACACTTTTTATGATAAAGCAGGAAGTTGCATAAATGGCTATCATACCCAGTCAGCCCCTTCAATATCAAGCACAACACAGCCAATCTAGAATTCATCCAGTGATTGGTATTGTATTATAAAGAATTTCAATACGAGATCGACAGCAGTAGGACCAATCAAAACCAATATGGCAGTCACTTGCTAACAAATCCAAGTAAAACAAATGCTGTTACTTGTTACGTTATACTCTCATCAAACTGACCAGTGTTAAACACCAGAAACAGCTTTACCAAGTGGGTCTTATTTATGTGAACAGGAACTATGTACATCTGCTCTCTTCCCCTTTCTACGGGAGCCGGTTGGCCGAGCGGACAGCACACTGGACTTGTGATCCTGTGATCCCGGGTTCGATCCCAGGCACCGGCGAGAAACAATGGGCAGAGTTTCTTTCACCCTATGCCCCTGTTACCTAGCAGTAAAATAGGTACCTGGGTGTTAGCCAACTGTCACGGGCTGCTTCCTGGGGGTGGAGGCCTGGTCGAGGACCGGGCCGCGGGGACACTAAAGCCCTGAAATTATCTCAAGATAACCTCAAGACAACCCAGAGTGGGTCATGTATCCTGTACTGAGTACAGTTGGCAGACATGTGCACAGGCTGTGATGCACAAATGTGTAAGTGTTGGATTGACCTTTGTGCAGCCCAGTCATCATTCCTACAATGAGTGACTTAGGGAGATAATGGACATCATCCTGTTTATTATCCCTACTGAGAACTTAAAGTTCTTAGTATTTATGGTTGGCTATGGCCAATGTCGGCAACCCGTGTGGCGGTTTGATGTGCAGGCACTGTGCACGCAGTGCTAACAAAAATGAGCGCAAATTTATTGAAAGCCTTGAATATATAATAAAGACCATAGAATACCTGTTTATGCTAATAAAATTCCTTAAGAAACAGGTGATAAGACTACATGACCAGACACTAGCACCGGGTAGCTGAAGACATGGCTTGTGATGTATATCTAGCCACCTATGTACATTATTTTTGGATTGCTATCTCATTAAATACCGTATCTATAGACTTAATAGTAGTATCATTTAAGTGGTATTCTCTAATTTTAAACCCAATTTGAACACAATAACTTACTCAAGTTGTTGTACACAGATGACTTTATGCTAGCAGTCAACAAGGCAAAGGTAATTTATACTACAGCTGTGATTAACAGAAGAGATGAAGGACTCACATGACAGACTTGTACCCAAAAACAATATAAACACCCACAATGCAAAAACAAAACACCTATTCTGTATAGTGAAAAAGCTGCATGCAGGTCATTGAGGTCAGGATATAAAGACGAAAGCAAACTGCCATATCAACAAAATTTACTTTGTTAAAATTTTGGAACTTTGATCTCAAATTCAACTTTTAATATCCATAAGTCTTACTAAAACACCATTAAAAATGAAGGTGTTGCAATCTGAATCATTGTTACTCAGTCAAGTTAGGTACCACTGGGTGTGGTATGTTTCTGGGTGACCATATGGAAATAGTCTTGTCTTTATTTAAGGCAACTTTTGCATTATAGAAGTCAAAGTTGTGTGCCATCCTGGGATGCAAATACTCTGGCCCACGGGGTTCCTCACCAAGAGATGACGTATGTTCATATTTTTCAGTTTGTAGTTATTTATTGCCATTGCAACTATGAACTTTGTATCAAAATGTTCTGAGAAGTGCACAAAATTGGTACTGTATATGAATTAAAGTTTGTGCCTGGCATTGCATTTCAACAGGTCTCATTTATTTATTGTAAGAAAATTTAGTAAAATTATGTCCAAATGACTGATATCACTGCTGAAGAAAACCAACTATTGTTTCTTCAGCTAATTTGCAAAGTGACTAGAAATTTATTTATGAATTTTAGAACATTGTACCCACACATTTCAAAAAGTTGTGTCGTACTGACACACAAACTATGGACAAGAAAGAATAGTTTGCAAAACTTTGAATGACAAAACATTTTGCCAACTTAATTACTATAATATAGCAGATAATGCTAAAATATACCACAAGGTCTTCATAGCATTAACAAGCCAATTTATTGCATGGTTAACGAGACCTTAACAAGCCAGTCAAATGCTACATATATATGATAAGGTGTAGCCTGGTACTCCTATCCTCCCCAAATTAATATCCTTTTCCAGACACATTAATTCACTACTGGTAAAAAGCCTCGGTAAAAAGAGTAGTCCATACGATGCCATGTTGGAAATGAATGGTGTAGCAGACTGAGGACAGATTCATGGAAACTGAACCGATGATTTATGTACAGTTGTCATATTATTATGTAATATTCAAAATTACAGTTGCCCTAATTCATTCTTAAATAAACACCAATTATTGTGGTATGACAATTGCTTATATAAACCAACAACTATCTACTTTGTCAATTAGCAAAAACTGATGCTAATATTTTAATTTCACAAAATTATTTTGCATTCTGTATTAGAAAAATTAGCTGCTTCTGTCGTTTATGAATGCTACCAACTAAATTTATCTTAAACTTGTCTATGATGTGGTAATTGATGCAAAATTGATAAGCGGTTCTATAAAAATTGAGCTAAGTTAGTATTCAATCAAATTGAAAACTACTGTACAGGGCATCAGTTCTACACATATGCATATTTCTATCATATATTATCTACAAAAAGATTAAGACATCTAACCAAACTCGGTATCTATCCTTAATCAGCCCATCCTCCTGTTTTGGTAGTACTTATAGTAACGATGAGGACCATAGTGTATATACCGATGTACAACGAAATTAGAAAGTAGAAATCTGAACTAGCGAGTTGGACAAACTGGAAAACTATTTTTTACTTGTGTTGCTTTGACAAACTAACTGAACCTAACCTTCCTAGGCCCAATACACGATATCTGAGGCCTAGTATAGTACATATATGTGCTATTCTAGGCCTAGGAATATTTAAGTTTTTTTTTAGCTTCATTTATTTTAAAAGAATTCTATACTAGTCAGTACTGTATACTACTATTTGAACGTTAAGTACGTACGAATTCGTGACCACTGACGACCGTCACAATAGGTACTACCTAAACAAGAGGATGGGTTGCCTTAATTGGTCGTATGGAAAAATGCATTCATAACTTTGGGCCAAAACAAAAATTATCAAAATCAAAATGTACATAAAACAATTACATGTATGAAAATAAATATTTAACACAGTGTTAGGAAATGAATATACCACTTGCAAGACTGCAATTTAAAATGGGATTGACATTTCTAAAGCAGGAAATCCTTACAAATATTTTGATTAGGTAATCATGTGCTAACATCATGACACCACTACATGACTATCCACACTAGGCTACCATTTATCTTCCTCCAGACTCCAAGCCAACAAAAAGAGGTTTGTGAGAGGGTGAGGGTTAGCAGTGCGAGCCACGGAGCATGTACAAACCCCCGGTAGAGTGCACAGGCAGCAGACAGCCACATAGTTGTTGGGGTTGAGTGGTTGATTGAACGAGTGCCTCACTGAATGTTCTCTTAAGTGACACAAACCTGCCCCTTGGATGTAGAATTGAGATAATCCAACAACATGAGGGGTGTTGGGGGGAGCGTTACCTCGACGGCGAAGCATCATCTCAGAACGTGCAGAATTTTGACCCATGATGGCCTCCTCCAGACGATTCTTCATCGCCTCTTTGCTCCGAGTAGTGACTGCACCACCACGATGACAAATCTTCTTTCCCTTTAATTCAGAATAAATATGCCAAATTGATAAAAGATAACATGTACAGTACGAATGAATATGTTCACACACACAGCCCCTCCCCAAAAACAGGCAAAAGAAATTTTTAAGACCTTTACTATGTCAATGTGCTCAAATGATAAATTTGAACTTACCTTATACTCAAAGCAAGATACTGCAATATACAGCACATCCAGAAGTTGATGGAGACGATTATGAGGCAATTCAGAAAGTGTGTGTCGAAGTGTGGTCTCGTCAGCATTGCGTAGGACCCAAAGCAAGCAGATGAGCAGGTTTCGAGTCGTTTCTGAGCTTAGAGGACACTTACGAGGTTGTTGCTGTTAGGATAAAAAAAATAAAAGATATACTAATGAACATCATGAAATTAAAACCAAATACTATCTACACAGTTGTTTGGATTAACTCTAAATAAAAATGTTACAATACAAAGTCTGAATACAAAATAAAATTCAAAATGTTTCTGGTACTGTATGTGGTGATTAAAAGAAAATGCAATGTAATCTGATATTACTATATACTAGAAGTTGCATTATGTAATGCTTTATTAATATATTGTTACAATAAAAGTATTAATGACACACACACACTGAAGGATGGAGATGGACACTTACATTTTCCATCTCCTCTTCTGTTGTCTGCATGCAAGTGCAGTGCAATAAAATATTAATGGTGCATAGTGTTTGCTGACATACATAAAGCTGGTTGTATGTGGACAAGAGGCAATCATTTGGCCACACATTCTATGTATGTATTTTTATAATTTATAAATTATATTATGAATGATGTATATGTATATAATGTATTTGTATTATAAATGGGAATTATTATAATTAATTGAAATTACCTTTTCCCTTTCAAGTAATACCTAGCAATTAAATATTTCAAGTTCAGAGTATTGTGCATTATATAATGTGAACAGTTGAATATCTCTTGTATTTAAAGCTAAGCAACAATGTAACATTTGTGGAGAGGAGGGAGGTGATGGGGTAGGAGGGGAGGGGGGGGGGGGTGGGGGAGTTAGGCCACAGCCAAGCACTTGGACAAACCGAACATTTGTTGAAATGTGTATGGTATGTAGAGATAGAATGATGAAGTGCCGTATGCTGTATTAATGGATGTACATATACACATAACAGGCATCCTGCAGTCTCGGGAGACTATGGAGTTGCGCTCTGGTTGCCGAGGCTGGAGTGTCCTCCCCTGGGCACAAAGCTTGGGTAGGTAGATATGGAGAAGAAACTGTTACCCATGAAGCTGGTCCTCCCTCTCCCACGATGCTGAAATTGTCCAATGGAAAGGCAAACGCGAATATGCTTAGTTCCAGCACCATCGCAGGAGCTGCCAGAATGAGGTTAAGTCAACAAAGACTGCTTTAGGAGCTCCAGCTCTTGATTTTTCCTTGAGGTTGACTTCTGAAGCCCATCCCAAAAGATGGGTATGGCCGTGAGGCAGCGGAGGTCTGAGATCAGGGTTTTCCTTCCCCTAGATAAGCAGCCTTCCCAGGCTGTCGAGCCCCATCTACCTGCAGCAGCTGATTGTAAGGTGCCAGAGTCACGAGTTCATGCAAGAGGACGAAGACCTGAAGGGCCGCCCGTGATACTACTCTTGCAGCAGGCTGGTAGCACTGCTGAGAGCCTCCCGGGGGAGGATTGGGAGTCCTCAGGAGGCTACAACACACAACAACACACAACTCAAATATTATAATATAATGGGGAAGTAATCTTATACATATACATATAATTTATACATATACATACATACATACACATGGCATATATATCACACCAACCTCACAAATACAACTCTTCCAAAGTTTGCACATGAGAAAACCAACAGCTGATTTAAAATGCATGAAGGGATCACCCTGGATTGTGGCAATGCAAGACTTTTAAAGCCCAAAAACAAATATTGCAATACACACAGAAATCACAATAGCATGATATATCAATTGAATAAATCCACAAGGGGATCATCCTGGACGTAAGTTCGAACCCACATCAAAGCCCTCGGTGATTTATTAAATATTACAATTACTGTACCAAAACCACGCAAATCACCAAGCAAGCTTATTTAACATATGCTTTCTTTGTAGTTCTTTGTCCCATTACTGTATAGTACTTCTAAATAAACTTACAAATGTCATTTTTTAATTAATTGCAAAAATTAGCACAAATAAAAAACCAGCATTGAATGTAATGAAACGCCATTTTTGGGGCGAGTCCTGGAGGCTTCCTGATATGGCTTCCTTCCATACCAGGCTGATATGTATGTATGTATTAGACCGTGGCATCAGTCAATTTGATTCCAGTTCTAGCCTACCGGGGACCACGAGCCAGAACATGCTTCCCCTCAGAAATGAACGAGGAGCAAGGGCCTATAGAAACCCCCGTATGGTTGAAAGCATTCTATGTCTGCCATCTACCGGGTTAGGCACCAAGAAAGGTAGGCAGTCTCAAAACAAACTCCACCTGGTTAAAACTGTTACTGAAAATTTAACTATCAAGCAGAATTCCACAATCCGAAAACAAGCAAAGGAGCATGACATTATAACTGCCGCCACGCCGCTGTCTGCGCAGCTTCCCCCCTCCTTGGGTGAGGGAAGGAAAAGCGCCAGACCCCTCGCGCCGGCCATCCAACCCCAGTTCAAGGGCTGAATATCAAAACGCAAAAACCACTGAGTGAAGACAGCGAGGACTGCGAGGCCGTCAGAGGAAGGGCGCCAAATATACCGGGAGATGCCTCGACCACACCGGCACGAAAAGGTCAACCTCTGGGTGCCCGGACGCCCGGCAGAACCAACTGAACTAGTCGGCAGAAGACTCAGCGGTTCAGACGGGACAAGTCCAGAATGAACCTTAGATCCGCACAGTCCCGTTTCGGAACTGGAAACAGGCGGGAAACCCACCTGAGGGACGGGGTCGTTACGACCTCACCCAAGCACACCCACTCCAAGATGAATTGACAGCGCAGGAGAAGAGGCCTGCCCCGCGAACCCCGAACTCCCTGAAGGAGGAGGAGGAGCCACCCAATGCCACCACAGGCTGGAGGAAACGACTCGAAATGCCCACAAGCAGGAAAAGCAATAAAAATAATAAAAAATCGTGAGCAATAAAAAATACGCCTCCCCACTACCACACTGTCAACAATCCAAACCACGAAAGGGCAGATGCCTCTTACTCGAACCCGAACAACGTACAGAGCGATCAATGCGCTGACCAGACGCCGTCGGCTCCGAAGCTGGCACCACGATCGGAGGAATCACGATCCCTGGCACGACCCCTTCAGGAACGACCCCCCCCCCCCCAGAGAACCAACAAGTCTGATATAGCGCGACAGCTAGTAGAAGCGTCTTGCAGATACTGCATAAACGCAGAATCCACAAACAGCATGCAATAAGAAGGTGACAAAAATCTAAGAGCCAGGGCCCACGCGGATTCCATAGAATGAGCGAGCACAACTTGCCTGCACGTGAGGCAGGAAGCAAAGTACAGAGACACCGCCTCCTCCAGAACTGGCACATACAACTTCAACAAGGCAGATGACGCCCGAGCCGCCCAGGCAAGCGCACCCGACACAGACCCGGTTCCCAGCGCCTCCACATCCTTCTCCAGCCAGTCTGAAGACAACTCAAGCAGGAAAAAGAAATGCAAAACCGAAGCAAAGTGCCCCCAGGCACGCAAATCCTCAGCCACCAGGGACGCTGAAAGGACAGGAACCTGCACATGGAGCTGCACCTGACCAATATCCTTAGGAAGAATGGGGTGAATAAACACTCATTGCAGGCCTGCAACTTGCCCCCCAGGTAAACCTGAACCACAGTAGAAGTTTCTTGCCACTCAAGCGTGTGGGTCTGACAGAACGAACATCACACCTCCAATGAAAAGAAAGGACAGTCTGCTAACCAGGATGACTCCGGTACCTCGTAACACACCCAAGAAGGAAAAGTAGAACCAAGCTCAAATGAGGAAGTCCATTATCAAGGCAAAATTCAGATCACGCAGGAGGTACGCCGCAATGGCCTCCCGATCCTCCTTAAGCAGGATACTGGAAGCCGAAAACCTCCAGAAGGAAGGAACCGAAGAAGCCAAAGGAACCTGGAACCGAACCCGGGCAGGAGCCAAACCCATATCAAATTCATACAGGGGAGTGGGTTAAGAAAATCCCACTCCCCATTCCGCCGTGGACACGCTAAGCCCCGAAATCATCTCAAGATAACCTCAGGACAACCCGGACAATGATTCTGTTGTTGACCACACCACACACTAGAAGGTGAAGGGACGACAACGTTTCGGTCCATCCTGGACCATTCTCAAGTTGAGTGTGAGTGACTTGAAATGATTGTGACACAATCAACTTGAAAATGGTCCAGGACGGACCGAATCGTCATCGTCCCTTCACCTTCTAGTATGTGGTCTGGTCAACATACTTCAGCCACATTATTGTGACTCATCGTCTGCAATGATTCTGTTCTAGTTTAGCGAACTTTAACCCACAAGTTTAATTACAGACGTCATAATCAGTGGTTCCTGTTAGGCATAAGAACTCCTGTGACTGATGACCCCAAACTAACATAGCACACATCAGTTCAGATAGCTTCAGGGAGTCTCGACGGGGGCTCCCGACAGAAATTCCTCTTACAATAGTGTACAGTATATTTATACAGACGGTAATATTATGGTCACAAAGTATGTCAGTAATGAACTTAAGATTTAATATATTTGACCTTGCAATCCAGTGACATACATCTTGTGACCCAGTAATGGATCGCAACTGACACAGTACTTTAACACTTTCGCTCGGGGATGACGCAGCATTGCGTCATCCGTTTACTGGCGGTAATGCCGGGGATGACGCAGCATTGCGTCATCCACTTTAAAAATTCGCCAAAAATCAGGTTTGTATCCGATTTTTTGGGGACTGGTTTTAAAATGTGCGCCGATGTCTTCCCATTTCCTTTGTTGAGCCTCGTGGCCCTCAGGCGGCTTGGCACACGCCGTGGGCCCATTGTCTTTGCTCCACTGTTGTGACCAATGTCGTCTCCCCTCGCATCTCAAACGTGTGAACATTTCGGCTATTTTCCGTGGCTATATTTCTTACTGCGGCTTTAGAAACTATCTACGCTTACTCCACGATGAATAGTAATCATGAACAAGGCCCTTCCAGGAAGAAAATTGCGAAAGAAAGGCTTGAAAAGGGTGGGAATTGGGAGTGTAGTAGGAAGGCCTCTGAGCGCTCACTCACGGCTAACGCGTGGCCCGTCTTCAACTCGTCGGCGGTTGGAGCGTGACCAGGTGTTTTTTTTTATATGCTAATGTTCCTCTAGAGAATTTTATTACGAACCCATTGAGACCAAAATGAAAGACCTAGGACAAAAATTGAGGTGACCAGAGTGAAAATAGTGAAAACATTTTATCCCGTTTGCGCGCTCCCGGGTAACTCGTTCGCACTTTCTCTGTTTGCTGCGGGTAATTAGCCGGGCTTTTGGAGTTTATATGCATTTAGTGCTGTAGAGAATTTTATTGCGAACACAATGATACCAAATTTATTCTCGTAGAAGGAGAATTGAGGTGACAAAGTTGAAGAGAGTATACACTTTTCGGAATTAACGCGCGCTTCCGTGACACGCTGGGGCCCATATCGCCCTGTCGAGGGGTGGCGCGCGGGGTGAGCGAAAGTGTTAATGAATCCTGCCCTATACCATTCCAGTGTTAAGTTTGTGAAATAAATGACAACATGCAAATTGGATTAAACTTGGCTTACTGAAATGTTATAATAATTTCCTGTTTGTGTGTGTGTGGCTTTATGTTTTCCCCATCTAATCTTAACACATATATATAAAATATACATAAAAGACTAATTTGCTCATCACTTACCTTAAGAAAAGAGAGAGATTTAGCCTTAAACAATTATTTGAATAATATAAATCATGACTTGAGTTGCATCTTGAGGCAGAGTTTATTCCCTAACTAATTACTGTTATCAACATGAATTTTTTCAGTGTCAGAGTAGTTAATAAATGGAATGCACTAGGAAGTGATGTGGTGGAGGCTGACTCCATACACAGTTTCAAATGTAGATATGATAGAGCCAAGTAGGCTCAGGAATCTGTACACCAGTTGATTGACAGTTTTATAAGAATAAAAGCAAGACTTATATTCTTACATGCAAATATCCCTTTTATGGCATTCTATTGCGAACAATTTGATACCATATTGAACGACATAGCACGAAAATTGAGGTCAGAAAGCTAAGAAAAGAGTAAACATTTGTGGCCGGTGGGGAGTTAGCAGGCACCGCTCGGGTGACCTTGAGGTGCACTGCAGGTCGCCCATCTGGGCAACAATAGTGTTAAGTATCCTTAAACAGATGCATGTAGCGATTTACATATTTCATACTCGATATGTTTAATGAAAATACATCTCATTAATAAACAAATACACTTGCTCAAATGCATCCCAAGTCATGAAAATTACAAACTATGTTCATGAAAGAGGATTAGTGTGCAAGTTAATACTTACCCCTTGAATAACCTCATAGTCACTCTCCTTGGTTGCAAACATTGATGAGCCAGCAATAGCAAGCGCAACATTTTGATGAATGTGTGTCGGTCCTCCATCATTCTCGTCACTTAGAGATGACATTAAGTACCGATCTGAAATTAGCAATTCAGAAAATATAAATACTGTATGACTATAAAATCTTAAAAACAGAAATGTACTTTGCAAGAAAGCCAATAATGGCTCCACTTATCTATTAATGTATATAAACCTCAGAAAGTCATTAGCTAATTTATATACATTTACTAATATTTATATACATTTAAACACTAATTTATGCTATATACAGTATCAACATAACTTTCTAAAAACTACTCCCTATCTTCTCTGGCTGCTGTTTTTTTCACCTTCTGAAGTAGGGAACAGGGGAATTCCAATAGTGACGATGCACTACACATCGATCCACAACAGTTTCAAGCCAAACTCAGATTGTTCATTCTACTGTTCAAATCCTTAATTTTCTGAGCTATGTCACCAAACGGAAAAAATCCTTCTGACTCCAGAACACGTCTAAGCTTAAATCATGTTAGGTCGACAATCTGCATCCACAGTGGGAGCTTTTCAACTGCCTATGCCATATCCTGATAATGCTTAGACCTAGAATGCACTACGCTAGTGACATACTGAAGAATAAGCAATCCAGCCTAGAATGACTGCCAAACATCATTTCCAAAAATTCTGAGCCCTTTCTAACACTAATTGGCAACCTGAAGCTTGTGAAATAGTATTCGTTTCTATTACCCCACTAGGATACTACTTCAGACAACAGGACAACTTTACTTAGGAAGGCAACTTTATTGATACTGTTACAAGGTAATTATCATACACTTGGAGCTGGCAAAGGTGTGGAGTTGAGGTAAAGCATCAATGACAATATTGATGAGAGGCAGGTACAGGGCGACCACACGAGCCTTAACGTCAGGTTCGGCATAGCGATCATCTGTGTCGTGGCTTGTAAGCAAGTTCCTGATGGTGTTTACAGCTCTTCCAATAATGGTTGGGTTACTGCAAAAATTGGAGAAAACCACTTGGTGTTATGTGACAAAATATTCAAATAAAACCTTAAAAATCTTAATACCTAGCAACGTGATTTTACACATGAAGGAAATGTTAGCAGCAGTCAATACAAGTACCTACTTGTGAACCAAGCTACCAAATCTATTTGGTTTTATAATGGCAGCACTTGATAAAATGCCTCCCATGAATATGCATCTCTATCAGTACCTACAGGGAAGTGAAATCATATAGTTTTTTAAAGTCCACTACTTGAAGAAAAAATATGATAACTAGAAAATAGATACGCATTGATAATAAGCATATCCACGAGAGGCAGTCTATCAGGTGCTGTTTGAAGGCAGTGAACGAAAAATACAACAAAAGATTTTAATAAAGCACGAATAATGACCGCATAAAATAAGAAACTTTGAATAAGGGTAAGTCAAGTTAAACGTGTCTGCATGCCCAACAGGAAATAGGCAGTCGCTTTAACTAACAATAAGAAGAGACAATTTTAATTATGATTTACTTAATGTCTAAACCCATAAGAACAACTTCTTATCCATACACAACCTGCCTCTCTTCTCTCTTGGACCTCTTCTTCAAAACTGCACTATCTCGAAGGATGATACAATGACTATTTATATAATGTATATTGATTGATTATATAATGGTTATTTTTATACTGATGGATTATACAATGCCTACTTTTATGTTGAGAGATTATACAATGACTAATTTTATATTAACACTTTCGCGCTTTAGATTAGAGATAACTCGTCGCCGTTTTCTCTTATGATTCCGCATAACAGCCGACTTTTCTCGTCCATCGAAAAAATATTTCTATAAATTCCATTTTTTAACCGAAATGGATGGGGATACTTTTGTTTTGTAGGGACTTTATTTGCGAATGTTTTGGTACCAGAATGAATATTATATCACAAACTTCTATGAGTAAAAAAAAAAAATACACAAAGTATGTTTGGGGGTGTGGCGAGCGTGTGGCAGTGGGTTCCCTTTAGCCGTTGATATATCCAACACGTGGGAAATATTTGTATGTGTTATGTATATGTCTGTGTAGGGAATTTTACTGCGATCACTGTCATACAAATTATAAAATGTTTCAACAAGTATAAACATGACAAACATCAAACGAACGAAAACAATGCGTTCGTTTCTGCCGCGAACGCATACTGAGCGACGTGGTTTTATATTTGGCGCTTCTCTTACACATGCTTTGTACAAATGTTATACAGTTCATCTTATAGAAAATTTTATTGCGAACACATTGGTATAAAAAAGAAATACGTACATAGAAAAGTAGGGTCAGGAAACGTATAAACTTTCCAAGAATGATTTCCCTCCTGTGTTTTCGCCAGTGCGCTCGCGGCTAACTACTCTCCACTTCACACACTCTTGCGGGTGGGCAATTACCTATATTAAACATTCATATGCATATGCCCGTGTAGAGAATTTTATTGTGATTCCAATGATACCAAAATTAGCGATGTAGGACAACTGTAGGCTTCGCAACCATTAAGAGAGTGGAAACATTTTGTTGCTGTTTGGCGCTCTCGGCGAGTGATCTGCATAGTTTTTTATTTGGTGTTGATACTCCTTATGCTTGGGCGGCATTTTATAGGTATGCTCTTATAGACAATTTCATTGCGAACACAGTGATACCAAATTTAAATACGTGCGCCTTCAATTATTGTCAGGACAGTCAAAAGAGTGTACACTTTTCGGTCTTACCGCGTAGGCGCGCGAAGTGCCGAAAGCATCTGGGGTATTGTTTTTTTTTGAGCGCCGAGAGCGCGAAAGTGTTAAGATCTTATACTTTTGGCTTTATACACGGTTCTGCAAATTATCTAAATACAGTACTCTCATCTATCCTCAAATCAGACATCACACACTAAGTGAATCTGCAGAGTTCAAGAATTTAGAACTAGAGTACAAACACAATGATCATTGGAAAGCATAAACATCTGCAAGTACTGTAATTACAAGCATTCCTTAATTAGACCATTTTTAGTTTTATAATTTGTCATAAAACAAGTAGTAATTAGCAAGTAAAAACACTGTTGGGTCTACTCAGTGACAGGATGGGTGACCATGGACAACTTTGAACTTGATTTACAGAGACTCTTCCAGCCATGCCAGGGTTTCTGGGCCCCGGACGTTTATGGATGAATATATCCATACTTATTCTTTATTAATCTCTGCAGACTAAATTGTGCTAACACTCTTGTATGAAATTATTGAAATACAAATTTTTTATCAACGGAATTTAAATTACTAAGCCAGTTTATTTTTAAGTCTGGATGTCTGGATATACAGTATTGTATAGATGTCAACACTTAAACAATGCCAAAGATACTTCTGTTCTGAGCAAGATTATAAACATTTGGAATACTTTGCCACAGCAAGCTATATAAGGCTAGAGGAAGTGCAAAAGCTCACCATCCATACTTACTTGATTTCAAGAGCTGCGGCAAAATCTGATAGTACGAGTCCTACTAAGAAATGTTGCTTGCGGAAGGAGCTGGACAACATCATGAATGCACTACGGTTTCCACCAAACACAGTTGAGATGAATGACGATTGGCTAGTTGTTGATCCAATCTAATCAAAGGAAATGTTTAATTAAGAATGTAAAAAAATAAGTCACTGTATACAATACAAATTTTTTCATACCCAAATAATAAGGGACTACCATATTAACCATTTATTTATAACCTCCAAAAAACACACATTCATTACCCCAGACATGAGCATGGAGAAAAAAGTTAATGAAATAGTAAAGAAAATTATAGTGCTTAAATTATAAAAACATTAAAAATATCACTCATCCACTAATATATCATTTACAAATAAAACATATCAGCATGGATAAACAAGCACTATTACACCCCAACAGTCTAACAGCAGCAACTCACTGCACCATAAGACCAAACGGGCCAGACTCATGAAGCAGTTACGCAAGCACTTACGAACCCATACATCTTTTCTCAATCTTTGGAAGCTTTGTTTACAATTATTAAACAGACACTCACCGAAGGACAGGGTGATGACGGAGCCGACATCGCTGAGAGTGGTGTGCAGAAAGGCAGATTCAGAGCTACATAGTGTTCATGACTGCAAATAATTCGCACAAAGTCCAACTGAAAAAGAAGACAGGTATATAATAGGAAGCAGGGAACAACCAAGTAGTATAGGTTAGCAAAGCTTTTTAACTAGTTAGAACTGCCTGCTGGACAGCGACTCATTGGTTTACCAAGAGGATGGTTGCAATATAATTTTTTGTTCTTCTAATGAATAGACAGTTTTAAAGTGAGAATGTTGCTTTTCAACCTGTAACTAAAGTTTTTAATTTTTGAATTGCCGTATTGTAGTAATTACTGCACTGTACTTTATATGCTCCCAGGTCATATAATGCAATTTGTGATATATTCTTTAACATGATACTTTTTTTTTATTGATAATCTACTTATAATTTTTGTGACTCCCATTTTCCTCAGTGTAAGAAACCTGTACAGAATATAAATAAAATATAAGCTAAATATTATTATTGACCAACTACTGCACATATAAAAACAATTGCCTGTATGTACCTTCAGATTGATGAGGGGTGCAGCATCTGGTAGGGAAAGGATCTTATTGCTCATTTGCTTACAATAGTTCTGGGCAAGCATGAACACAAATCCCCGGTCCATCACAGACAGGAGATCACACAAGAAAAATGCTAGACTGCTGTTCACATTCTGTACAAACTGAAAACAACTTTAATTAATATTCCTAAACTTGATTTCAAGAAACTGTCACAAAATGCTTTACAACAAAATATTACTTATTCCTTCATAATATATGCAAGGAAAAAATATTTATAAAATAATAAAGCTGATGACAAAAATGAAATACAGGTACAAAAAATTGTTGGCCAGCAATCCAAGAGTGCCAATGTAACTCCACACTGGCACTTCCCCGCTTGGCATCATTATTCTTAGCTCATGCGCAGCCATTCACTGAATTTCTTCATCAGTTATGGGCAGAAGGAGCTGAATCTTAAGCATAAATTTGATCTAAAATAATAAATTTGATCCAAAACAATAAATTTGTTGAAAACATCACTACAGTAACACTAATTTAAGTACAGTAACACTAATTCAAGACCATGTATGAACTATCCCTTCTCCCTGCCGACTTCATCCACACCCCCCAACTAGGAGGTGGGGCATAAAGAGCTAGCTAGATCTCACTCCTTTATAGTCGCCTATCTCACCAATAGGTGACTACACCCCCTCACACCCACACACTGTATATATAAATATATATATATGATCTACCATAAGGAGATAGAAAGCAATATGAACATGTTTGCTAATGATGCTAAGTTACTAGAGAAAATATGAAACTTAAAATACTGTCATGACCTTCAAGATGACCTGGACAAATTAAGTGAATTGAGCAACACATGGCAGATGGAATTTAATGTGAATAAATGCCTTATTATGGAATACAGAATAGGAGAAAATAGGCTACACACAACCAACAAATTATTTGAAAAGATATTAAAGAACTCTTGACAAAGAGTAGGTGGTTCTGGATAGTAAACTGTCACCAGAGGACCATATCAAGTTCATTGTGTGTGAGGAGCATATGCAATGCTTTCCAACTTTAGAATCACTTTAAATACATGTTGAAATACCGTACTAAAGAAATTGTTCACGATTTTTACAACCAAAACTGGATTATGCAGAGGTTTTATGGTCATAGTATCTCAAGAAGTATATCATTAACCTGGAACAGTGCAGAGATATGCTACTAAATGGCTTCCGGAACTAAAAAACGAGAACTGCGAGAGTGGGTAGAGGTGTTAAATATACCCGAAGATAACTTGTAGAAGGAAAACTGGTGATATGATCACTATGTACAAAATAATAACAGGAATCAACAAAATAGACAATGAGAAGTTTTTGAAAGCTGCCATTTCAAGCCCTTGAGGTGATACATAGATTCAAACTAATGAAAACATGTGCCAAAAACAGATGAATGCTCTCTATTTGCAAAGAGTAATGAACAGTTAGAACAAGTGAAGGTGGTAGATGTCAAAACCATCAGTAGTTTCAAAGTTATATATCACAGAGTACTGGGAATATATGACACCACAAGTATAGCTCTCATCCTGTAACTACACTTAGGTAATTACACAGGGTGGTGACATAGGTGTTGACAAAGAGCATCATTGCTTGCAGCATACTTAACATGTGAGCTGGTGCTCACAATCTGTTCATGAATTCACCTGACATAACCAGTAATCCAGGTGTGACAACGAGTTCATCTGGGTATAAGATCTCATTCCATGACTGCAGTTTGCCATTGTCAGACCTTTGCAGTACATTTAAGCAATATTTACAACAATATAAGGAAGAAAATATGATGCATTTTCTCACAAGTGATGTATAGTGGCTCAACCACTGGAGTTTGCAGTGTGATTCATGATTTTACAGCAAATGACAAAGATTTGGAAAGAGTTCATCAAAATGAATCATCACAAGCAGAGCTCTGCTCCTGCTACTTTAAACAGTTAATGGAACGCATCAGTGACGGATATAGGGAAGGAAGGGAGGGTTACCCAGCTGTAAAGTGAATACCTACTTCTCAAATTCCAGGTTTATGTTAAATTTTTGTACTAATGGAGACCCTTTTTAGCTGTTCTTTGTCTAGATTCTACAAATTAATCTAACTTGTTTGTTATAATTATGGATGGGGACAAAGCCCATTTCCATCACTGGAAGACATGTACAGTTGCAGTTCCATGGCAGGCAATGTTACAAGAAGTTGCATGCCAATACAAATGAAAATCTTTTGTTCTCTTTAAAACCAGTTAGATGCGTCTAACAAATTAACAACACCAAGTTTTGATACCTAATTTCATCTTCTCCTCATTACAATTCATATGAATGCTCCATCACAGTTTACTGCATGACTCAATAAACTAAGAAGTATAAGCTTTATCCCTCAAGCAAATCATAAAATCCTACACACACACTATACGCCTACAATGTGAGAGAACCACGTAAATAAATTTTACATTGGTTGCATTTAAATGTTTACAGAGAGAGAGAAACACTAACTTAGTGTATGTAAGAGTTAAACACTTGTAAGTATCTTTTATAATTGAAAAAAATTAAATTCACTTTGCTACTCAAGACTTAACACAAAAGAAATTTACATGTTTACTTTTATTTTCTGTATTTAAAACTAATACAATTCAAGGAATAAAATTCTTACCCTGGAGTCTCGAACATCTTTGTTATGTAGGGCTATGATGTCATTGGTGATTGATGCAGCGAGATTTTGAATATCATCGGCAAACTGGTGAGAGAATCTCATTTTGCGTAAGGTGTCTTGTCCACTACTTCTGGCAAGATGTTCTGTCATGGACTTGATCATCAGTTCAAAGAAGAACCTGTAAGGAATTTTTTTGTTAAATTCAGTATTTTTAATTACAAAAGAACTTAAAGGGTTTAAATCAAACACAAATGGCTGAAAATACTGAAATACTGCAGACAAACAATGTTGAGAGTAATTATTATTAAAGATAATGTGACATCTTGAAAGTGTTTATAAAATCTAAACGAAGTTCTTCCAGAAGGTATTGACTCATTCCTCTCAATGTTTGTTGATGATGCTAAAATTATGAGAAAGATTAAGACAGAGGAGGACAGCAAGAGGCTACAGGATGGCCTGGACACTGAAGGAATGGTACAACAAATGGCTACTAGAGTAACTCAGGCAAGTGCAAAATGACCAAGATAGGTGTAGGGAAGCAGGAGGCCAAACACAAGGTACCAGGTGGAAGAGGAAATCCTTCAGGAGTCAGGAAGAGAAAAAGATCTAAAGGTTGATATTACAGAAGACCTGTCCCCTGAAGCCCACATCAAAAGGATAACATCACCAGCGAATGCAAGGCTGGCAAACATAAGAACTGCCTTGAGAAACTTGTGTAAGGAATCGTTCAGGACCCTGTATACCACTTATGCTGGTATACAATAATATTCACAAAATATTATTCAACAGGTGTGAAGAACCTCACAATAAGTTCTACTCTAGGCCTCATCCTGATAACAATATACTGCAACATGTTATTAACAAGTAACATTTATTATCTAAATTCTACCTATTGCCAATATTCTGTTGAGATAATTCTCAATAACTGCCTGGAACTATTGCAGTTCTTAATTACTCAATCTCCACAAACTGTTACATAAGAATTTCATCCATCCATTTCAGAACATTAATGGAGTTACTAACTACACAAATATAAAATTAATTAGGCAAATATTCTAAACAGACATGTTCCTTGAAAAATGCACACACACATGCATCTGAGAAATCTGTTGAAATACTGGATGACAAGCTTGTGCAACAGCAAATACTTGCAGGAAGGTATGTTAAATACACAATACTCTAATACAAATGCAGCAGGTGTTTACCAGGAATTTGCTAGAGCCTTCTCTCGTCCGGTGCCATTTGAAACAACCCACTGAAGTGCCACTTCCTCGTGAGTTACCTTCCTCCCTGCTGGCCGTTGGAGGGTTATAAGATTTTCATAGTTGCTACCTGTTTGAAGAGAGCAAAAGTAAATTCCAAACATAAAATAACTTTTTTATAAAGTATTTGCATAGCCATTAAATTATTATGTAATAGGAGAAACCAACCACTGCTGTTGTGCTTAATACTACTTATTTCAAGAGTTAGATAACATTTTAATTAAAAAAATTCTGTATTTAAAACAAACTTATGAACTTGGCCACAAGTGAAAGTCAAGTGACACTTTAGCATTTATATGATGCAGTGCTACATTATCCAAATAAAATTAAGTAGTAGTTTCTAAGCTACCAACGAGGGTGATTTTTCTTGTTTCCAACAGAGGTCAGAAGTTGTCAAGTTCAAATTTCGTTTTTTACTTGCAGATGGCCTGGTCAAACATTATAGAACGAGAAAACCTAGACACCTGGACACATGTCACTGAAAACTCATACATCATATGCTGCTGGGCAACAGCAATCACTTCACACATCAGAGGGGCTTGTTTACACTGATGATTCTGGGACTGTTTACCCCGAGGTTTGGTCTGAAATTGTCTGTTCAATTCTAAAAGTTTTTCAGTGTCCTCTACTCCCAATTCCATGATTCGAGAAGCCAGATTTTCTCAGGCAGATTTTGATGTTCATTTGGTAGATTTACAGAATTCGGCCCAATTTGTGTTGAAAGGTGAATGGCACACATGTTCATTGCTGACCCTTCCACCTCACTAGAGGCACTGGATGTGCAGTCTGAGGCAGTACCAGTAAAAGCTATTTGGGTTCCTTTCGACAATTTCCACCTTGGGTTTGATTCGTCGTGCTGATTGAAGACCGGCATCTCACAAGTTAACAGATTCCAACACAATCATTTCTCCAGTCACATCATAATACATGATACTTGTTGCTCTTTGTAATGTAACAAGGATTTTGTATCTGAACTGGATCCTGTTCTTTTGGAGTTTGGTTTCTCTAATAATACCTAGATGCAGTATCCAGTATTGAGTTTCCTCTTCTTCCTATCTGGCAGGAAATTCATGCTTTTTCCTGGAGAAATGAGAATATGTCAGACTTTGGTCATAATATAGAAAGCAGCTTTCTTTGTCTTTGAGGTTCTCCTGTCTGTAAAATCTCTTTACTTCCTTAACAAATTTATTCATGAACTTGTCTTGCCTTGTGAGGTTCGAATAGTCACGATGTTTGCTCTCTTAGAAACTCTTAGAATCTATCTTATTGATACCAGTAAAAATCAAGGTATGGTCAACAAGAAACTCTCCAACAAATAAGCAAGACTCAAAGATGTATAAAGTTAAACCAGTAAACTAGTTAAACTAGTGTGTGTGATGAACTCACAGAAAGTCATGAGCACTATTATTCAAATTTATCCGAGTTTAGTGGCATCACCATTAACCAAATAAGTTTCTCATTGTATATGTCTCTAAAACTGCACCGCTGATAAGTACCAATAGATAATGATGATGACCTCAAGATGATAATGATAATAAAAGCCAATTTCTCTTAAAAGATTGAAAAATCACATACATTTGGAAACTTTACCTTTTAAATCCAACATTTCTTCATCATCTAGTAACAGACATGCAATAAATTGAGGAAGAAATAGATTTTATGATATTTTAAAACATTACAAATGTCATACAAAGTAAAAGCATGGTTTTAAAACTGGCAAATGTTTGTATAAAGATAACTTATATGTTTAAACATATACAAATGTTATACCAAATTCAACATCATTATGGCTATATTTTAAAATTAAAATGTTAAAATCCAAACCTGTTCTCATTGAATTGGTCCTGTCCAATCCACGGGCAAAGATCCCTCCCACTTCTGCATCTGCATCAATGCCTAGGTCTGGATTGCTGCTGCTCCTGTTGTGTTAAATATTAAATTAATGCCAAATATACTGCATTTCTAATAAGATCACTTAATACATAATTCAGTGACTATTGGATAGCTTTGTCCACAAAGTAGACTTTGTCCACTTATTCACTTGAAAACAATTCAGTGATTATTGGACAACTTTAACTTTGTCCAATAATCACTGAATCAATTCAGTGATTATTGGACAACATAGTACTTTGTTATAAACTATACAACCTTGTCAGTTATGTGACTGTTTCTGTGGCATGCAGACCTACTGTAAGGACACCTGTACAGACCATGCACTTTTCTTGAGTGCGCGCACGTGGTCTGACCACTTGTTACGCACATATTTTCACTGGCCTTTCTGATATATCATTACTGTCTACACTCAGTAATCCAAATCATATGGGGCCTACCCTCCAAACAAGTTAACCAAACACTCAACTTGGCTGAATTTTTGACCAAGAATATCCAAAAATTACCAAATTTAACAACTTTAGTGCCACAACTGCAGCTTTTCCAGTTACTCCTGTTTACTAAGTTACTTTCACTATTCACTTGAAAACAATGCATATAACCTTTTAACCCAAATTCCTATTTGAGTTTAAAAAAGCCAATAACCCAAACACGAAGTCATTCAGATTACTTGAAGATTTGGATTACAGAAATTCTGATTACCGAGCTGTTACAATACAGTACTGTATTTGCAAATTGAAGCCATGTTGCTCATCAAGAGCAGAATGAATACATCATACAAAGGTAAGAGGAACTTTCTGAAGACAGATATAGGGGGCTGCGTTATTTGAGAAATGTGCTCATGGCTGGGAAAGAAAATCGGCTGGCATAGAAGCAAGGCACTGGCCCTAGTACTGTTTCTTGCATAAAAAAAGCAAAGGAAGTAAATCATGACATTTACAAGAGAGAAAAATGCTAATAGTGACAAATACATTGAAACCTTCTAAATGTGAGGATTTGGCTGATGCTGTTTACCAGTGGTTTAAACAGCACCATAGTCTGGGACTGGCTCTTGGTGGTACACAGCTACTCTCTTTAGCGGAAAGAATGCCACTAACCAAGTGCCAAGGATTTCTAGGCCAGTTTAGGGTAACTTCAAAAGTAACAATATGACATAACAGTACAGTACTATAACTGCTTTTTGCTGCCTCTGAGTTACCATGACCAACCTCTGCTACATAAAGCTAAGTAAACAAATGAATGTTTTGCATTTTTATATAAAATTATGTATATATATTCTCACAAAATTCTTTTAAATTACATTTGTATGTCTGGATATACAGAAAAGTGTATTGTATCATTTACTATAAAAAAAAAGTCCAGAAAATATGGAGATACTGAAATTATTTAGAGATCTGGATTCTCATAAAATTCACATCAGGTCTGGAACAATACGATTCACATTTTCAAGGGTGCATTGTAGTTGCTAGTTTTATCTTGTAAAGTTTTTGCTGAAAATGGCAGATTACTGGCAATTATATTTTTTGCATGTATACAGGCACGGCCCCACACATATACATATACTGTACCGCAACATAATGTACAGTATTTTATGTGCATGTACAGGGCATGTAACTCTTTAGTCTTCATTTATGTAAATCTCTTACCTAGAATATTTACGGTGAGTAGGCACAGAGCTCGGGGGATGTGGGTGATGCGAGTGTGTGGGTACTGGGGTAGGAGGACCATCATCAGGATGAGGCAGGGTTGCCTGGTATGCCACATATGACAAAAGAGTGCTGTTCCGCCCATGCTGGTCATTCTTTTCCTCTAAGAGTGCCTAATTAAAATAAGAGAGAACTTTAAGTTATAATATATCAGTCTATAGCTACTCTTATATTACCAACTAACTACTTTACAAGTATGATTTATACTTGTTCTTAAGAATGATTATGCAATTAAAGAACAGGCTCTCTTTTACAATGGCCCACTTAAATTTATATTCATTCTACAATACACTTAAAACTATACATAAATTCAAAGTCAGAATTAAAACAGTACTGAATACTTTTTACACATTATGGAACATTTTTTAAGCTTTATATTACTAGTCTTTTGTAAAATTAGAATTCTTTTAACTACATTCAAATATCTGCAATAATGTGTGTTCCCCAATATATTAAGTTTAGTAATAACATATTGAACAAAAATAAAACATTTGGTATATATGTTGAACTAAATTTAAAACCAGGAAACAAGTTCTAATAACATTTCAGAACAAATATTACAGTGATAACCAGGAATTGTGAAAACGATGTCATGGAACAAACTTAAAGTTAGCACAGGTAACAGATTATTTCACGTGAACAATGACTTCATTCGTACACAGATTCTGTGCAAACTAAGCCAGAGTACTCAACAAGCAGTCTTTTGAACATAATTTCCCACACACTTACTGAAACACGGCCAACAAGGGTACCAATAGTCTCAAAGCAAGCTTGAGCAATGTTCACAAGTTGGCCAGCGAGATTGGGAGGCCAAACCAAGAGCGAGATAAGACGATCCAACAAAACAGGGGTGAAACGGACAAGTGGCTCAGCATGACAGTTCACCAGCTCCCCCATGCTAAAATGGAAAACAATATATCAACGGATCAATACACACAAAAATATATTGTATACCTACTGCAGTTTCTATACCTAACTTCAAGATTCCCCAACATGTATTAAATAATATATGGCTGAGTGTCTGTTTAGGTAATGCAAACCAGCTAGTCACCAAACATTTACTTTGACAAATTTACTTTGGGTTATCAAAATAGCAAATGGATAATTAGTGGATAACTATGCCCTATTGAGCTATTCCACTCAGAAGTTCCTCAAGTCAGTATAATGTCCTGGTCTTAAGAGTGGATCATGATAGTCCGGACAAGATGATATTCTGCACCAGCACAGCAGGGATCTTTTCCAGCATCCCTGGAGGTTAATGTTGTTACTGGTGCTAGGGAGGCATTAGAGAAAACCTCAATCCCAGCAAAAATAACCAAGAGAATGCTCACTGTTTAATAGTTCTCTTAAAATTTTCTCTGACGTATGTTGCAATTCTCTCCCTGAATTTTGTAATTTTAATACTTCCCAGTTTTTTACATTCATCAATGTTACTATGATTGCAAAATCTATTCTGTGAACACAAGTGCACTGTGTATTTGTAACATTTCTAATAGCACTGTTACTTGTGTAATATATCTTACGAGCATTGTCATTAAAACCAATGTCCTTAGTTCAGCTGGCTTCATTCTCGACTCACAATCCAGGATGCTGGGTTTGATTCCCAAGTGGGACAGAAATGATTAAGAATGTTGCCATTCACCTAATGCCTCTATTCAATTTTATTTGCAGTAAACAGGTAAATTTCACATCCTGTATAGCAATTCTCTTGCCCAAAATATTAACAACTATACAGCTGATCTTAGAGAAAGTAAGAGTTGGGGTGCAAAATCCACTTTCAAATATCTTTCAACAAATGTATGATGAAAGACAGTAAAATAGTTTTTCCACAAAATATCCTTGTAAAATAGGGATGCATACTATGCAAGGGTGCATCTTTTATGCTGGCAAATATGATATATATATTCTTGGATTACCAGAGTATTTTTCAATTAGTTTGACTGCTTTTTACTTATAACAGTGTATCAATGAAACATTTCAGTTCGTTTATTTTTCACTTGGCTCAGAAGAAACAAGTATACATATTTTTATTCAAAACAAAGTTCAACATATGATCTTATTTTAAGACTGGCTTTGTAAATAAAAGGCATCTACACCTTATGAATCACTTACAGCAAGGACAGAAATGTATTATTATACTGTACTTACGCTCGCTTGAGCTCCCCTTCCATATTTGCTTCACCAATGCGTGCTGGAATACTACTCTCTTCCACCATCTTGCATAGATTGAAAAATCGGTCAATGTGCTTATCCTGGAACAGATAAGTTACAATAATTAAGAAAAAATACAAAACATATCTCTTCTACAAACTCTGACCAACTCTTTCCTGAACTGCTTATCTCTTTGTTACCTGCAGTATCTGAGCTTCCAAATGAGGTCTAAAGATCATATCATCTACAAATCATACAAGTGTTTATAGGGCATAAATAGTCTGATAAACAAATAATAATTATTTACAGCATCATCATAATATGACACACATTTGTATGAAATTTAAATAATCTTTCATAACTTGTTTAAATAATGAAATGCTCTACTGATATTTGACCACAATTAACAAACCATGCTAGTGTAAATTGTATGTAATTTTTGTGGTATTTTAACTTTACAGAAAACCACATTATTATTTCTATTACCATTCAACATCTTGTCAATTACAGTTTTGTTTTAATGGGTATTACCCTTCATCCACTTAATCATGCAGTAACTATCTATTATGTGTGAACTCTGAATCAATGCCACCCAGAAATTTATGTAAAAACCTTTGCAATAGCTGTTGTGTGTTACACCAGTACAACACATTGTTTTGACTGAATAGACCATTGAATGTCGAGGATCTTACCTTAGGGAGCAGCAGAATGAACTGGCTAAGAAAAAGATATTAAAGAAACAGGAAAGCTTAATATTCCTTCAAGTGACCCATGAATCAAAATCTTGATCTTTACCTGAGCATGGACAGATGAAACCGCATCAACACAGACAGTAAAAAGCCCTTTGTGGTTGTCAACCCATTTTGTGCCTGGCAACTGGATATCTGCAGTTATATACGGATAGTTGCTAGGAGGTCGTTCCATCATCACTGGTAAGCTATGTTCGCCTGTCTGCAGACTACCATCACGGTACACTGGAAGCCACTGTTAAAAAAATAAATTTAGCTAATGGTAATCAATGCCAAACATGTACATTCTTAAAGGTTTTACTGTAAAAAATAATGTGCCGAGTTTATGAAATACTCCTTTCCGAGTTGCCATTCAGTTGCTTCCATAGTCTGGACCCAAGTCTGCCTGTGACTTTGCATTCCCATCAGGCTCTCTTGATTTGTGCCCCACAGTAACAAGTATCTGTAAATGGTCTTGCCACCTCAATGGGGAGTGTAAGGAGGGTATGTAAAGATCAATTCATCACTTCCTACAAGAATTAACTGAAAAATCAAAGGAATACCAGTCAAAGCTCTGAAAACTACCCTACACTAATTAATCAGTGCCCCAGCCACTATCAGATGGCAAACTTCGAGCCCGCACGAGGCGAGCTGGAAATTGGAAGAGACATCCATAGGTCCATCGAGCCCCGACAGGGTTTTCCAGAGCCCATAAACAGACTGCTACTGGAAGTCCAGGCAAGGTGTTGCTAACCGGTTAAGACCTCAAGGGGAAGATCAAAACACTGAAACCCCTGCGATGTGTACAATCACGGGGGCCTAGCAGAGGACCACCAATATTTTATAAGTGGAACTATAGCCACACCAAGCAGACCCCCATCAGGCAAGAAAAACAAAAACAAAAGAAAAACCCCACAAAAGTACAAAGTCCCCAGGGGAAACAGGAACTGGCCGCCACATAGGTAGGCAGGCTGCACAACACCTTGACCAGCACAATACCACTCCCTACCCAAGGCCAATAAAGGGCCACAAAATCCCAGCTGGGTATATGCTGCTTGGCATATACCCCGTCAAAGGCGGGGTATATGCCGAGCAGCAAAAACCCCTACGGAAATGGTTTTCCAAACGCACCAGGGAAGAGAACCCTAACACGCAAGGGCAGTGTTTCTGAGGGCAAACCTTGCGTGTTTGCCCTCAGAAAGGGCAAACCTTTCAGAGGGGGCCAGGTTCTGGCTCGTGGTCCCCGGTAGGCCAAACTCCATAGATTAATGGACCGGTCTAATATATCACACATTAGCCCAATAGTTCCAGGGAGACATACGGGCTCTCCACGAAAAACAAATAGTGCAACTCATCATCATTATAAAATTATCATATCCTATGAATATTCTAATAGAATTTACATGTCATTATGTTGGTAAATAACAGGTACTGCTATTTCAAAATTACAGTAATGTAAAAAAATACATATTTTACAACGACTGTTCTTTCTCTCCTGAATAACTATTATTAACAAATGCTGAAAGCATATTTCTTTCACAATTCTTTAAGCTTTAACTCAAATTTACCTAAATAACACACAAAGCTGGATTATTTGACTACGTAGTACTGAAGACTAAAGCATTATATTACCCCAGTCTATATAAACACCTTTTACTTACAGTGTAGCCAACAGGTGCCTCAATGGTTTTCTCTTCATTTTTCTTCTGGCAGGAAATATGATAAAAGGTAAACAGAATATGATGCTGGTCTCCAAGCACACCTGGTAACTTGATCTTGAACTCATCATAGAAATCTGGTGACTTATTATGGTAGGTGACAGCAGTATGAGCTTCTGTAGTGTATTCAGGACATGAAGATTTGCCAAAGATAACCGACATTGCTGCCTGCTCGTCTTCGCCTGCCATAAACTGAATTTTAACAGCAATGTTTCGTGCAGAGCCTGCATAACAGAAAATAACATCATTCATTTAAATACTTACATGCATATATGCACATAAATACCCATCTCCAGCAAAGCTAGCAGAATGCTATATACATATATATATATATATATATATAGAGTCTTTGCTCTAATGAAGCATTCTTTAGCAAATTTTATTATAAAAAATAAACATAGAATAGCCAAATGTGAGCTTTTTATTGCACCATGTATAATTGTAGATCATTCATGCCAAAAAGCAATTTTAGTGCCGAGTCCAAATACTGCATTGATGAAACGCATGAAAACATTGTAAAAGAATAAATACAACAAATTATTATAACAAGTATTATTGTCAAACAATAATACAAATATACTTTCTCAAACAATAACAACTCGAAGCCTATACACAAAATGACCTAAACACATGTTCTAAAGTCTTACTATGCCTTCAAACACCAGAGAAACTTTGCCTGATCAGGTATATAATTGTATTAATAGTTATTGCATTAGGTTTATGCACAGTATTTGCTATTTTGTATTAAATCACCAATATCAAATGCAAAAAGCTTGTAATTATATCATACCCGGTCTATTGTTAAAGTTGAGATCCTTGGGCGATACAAAGAGGAGGTTCCTGTAGTAATAATGAGGCACGAGGATATCTCTTGGAGAGAACTCCACAACTTCTTTAATGGGTCGACACTTTTCATCTACAGTTGACAACAGTGTACAAGATAAAACTTCATTAAATCATAGATCTATTAAACCAATAATTGTAAATTTCATGCGATATACTTTGAAGATTTTCAGATCTCTATTGACTGTATAATTATCATCATTTCACTTCACTCACTAAGTGTGGTTAGTTCAATAAAACACTACAATAACAGATCAAATATCAACATTAAGAAGTCTATGCAACAACAAATTTTCCTATGCTAACAAAACGTGTTTATTTCAAACCCAAACACTAAAAGTCTAACAAATATCTACCTATATAAAAATTTTAATCTATATCAAAAAAACCATTACAGGTCATTCAGTAATAGTCAATAAGCACTTAGAATAAATAATAATAATAAAAAAAAGCATTGCAAAAGTTATCAGAAATTAAAAGAAATATAATTGACAGAGTAAATGAAGCAGTAAGCATAACAATTAAAATATTGAGGTACAGTAGTATGGTCACGTATGGAGAGAAATAGAGGGGTTGTATGGTCATGTATGGAGAAGAATAGAGGGGGTTGTATGGTTCCATATGGAGAGAAATAGTGAGGCTGTATGGTCATGTATGGAGAGGAATAGAAAGGTTGTATGGTCACATATGGAAAGGAATAGAGGTTGTATTGTCATATATGGAAAGGAATAAAGGAAGGTTGTATGGTCATGTATGGACAGGTATAAAGGAATGCAAAAAGTAAAGTGGAATTAAACAAAATAAGTAGGAGAAAATAAAGCAAGAAAATTGAATAAAGGAGGGCCAGAGGATGTATTCAACTGGGCGCTGACAATACAATTGATGAACTTTTGTACCTTATGCTCTAACAGAGACGGCAACAGTGCACTAGATATATACGTTTCTTTTATTTAAATAAGTTAATAAGTCAAACAATTCAGTCCACTTCCTTTCATCCACTGTGCCTAAGTATACTGTATATACTAAAAATATATGTATATACTGTACATATAAATCAAATTTTAAATTACAGGGGTCTTGGAGTTTTTATGCTATAGATAGTACTACCTGGAACATACCTGGAGAGGGTTTCGGGAGTTGTTCTACTCCCTGAACCTGGCCTGGGGCCAGGCTTAACACTACAGTTGAACCAAACTTAACTGTTTAACTAACATGGTTTTTCGCTGATTAAATGACGAGAATGACAGCTTACGCCAAAGCCACGTGCTGGGACATGAGAACCATCCAGTGTTACCACTACTGAACCAAGCTAATTTTATAAAAAAAAAAAAAAAACAGCGTTGAATGTAATGAAACGCCATTTTCTGGGTGATACCCGGAGGCTCTCCGGAGCTTTACCAGACTGATATGCTAATGTCAGACTTTGGCATCAGTCATGTGTATGGAGTTCTAGGGCCTACTGGGGACTACGGCCAGAACCTGGCCCTCTCAGAGAGGCAAGGGGAGCAATGGCCTATAGAAGCCCCCGTGTGGTTTTAAGCATTCTATGTCTGCCATCGACCAGGTCAAGCATCCAGAAAGGTAAGCATTCCAAAACAAACTCCTATTCTGGTTAAAATTGCTACCAAGAGCCGAACTAGTGGATAGAACTCCCCAACAGAAAACAAGCAAACTAGTATGACGTCACACGTCACCGCGCCGCTGTCTGCACAGTTCCCCCTTTCCCGGGAGGGGGAAGGGGGAGTCCCAGACCTCTCACGCCGGCTATCCACCCATCAGTTCTGAGGCTGGATGTCACAACAAGCAAAAAAATGCCGACCGGGAGGGAGGAAGGGTTGCCTCCAGGTCTCACCCAGAAAATGGCGTTTCATTACATTCAACGCTGGTTTTCTGGGGGAAGCCCCGTCGGCTCCCCGGAGTTAACTACCCACAGAGAAAGGTCAAAGGGACGGAAACGGGAGGCGGACACCACACACCCCTCAATGGAAGCGAGACAACCAGCAGCAAACGCCAACCCAAGGTGATACAGCCCCGAAAGGGGCCCGGGAACAACACGAGACAACGAGCAGCAAGGCCCCTGCACCAACACCAAAATATCCGTGCCTGAATGACAGCAAGGACACACCGCCCAGATGGCAGTAAGAGCAGCGAAACCACGAACACCACGGGCGTGGGGAAAGAACACAGGCAGGCTAGCCGCAATAACACTGCTGACAACCCGAGACACCGTCACCCACGAACAGGGAAGAACGGAACCGAATCAACTCAAAGCTCGCCCTGGACATAGAGGCCGCGGCATGCAAATAACAGCGGAGGGCCGCTGTTATTTGCTGAGGGGGCCAGGTTCTGGCTATGATCCCCGGTAGGCCCTAGAACTCCATACACATGACTGATGCCAAAGTCTGACATTAGCATATCAGCCTGGTAAAGCTCCAGGAAGCCGAAGGGGCTCCCCCCAGAAAGATCCAGTATGCCTCTTTACACTACTCTACAGGTGTGCTTATTATCATAACACTTCCCTGCAATGTATTTACATTATACCCTTATCCGTCTCGTTTATATCTTTCTCATTATATCAGTTATCTGTACTGTAGTTTATTCTGTGACACTTTCCAATGCTCCCCTACATATCTTCAGCTTTTTCATTTAAATTCCATATATTAAAATTTAGCACTCGTCAACTACCTGGAAAGGGTTTTGGGAGTTGTTCTACTCCCCTAGCCCGGCCTGGGGCCAGGCTCGACTACATTATGACAATAGATTAGATGGATATGTCAAAATGTCTTTATGAAATTAAATAATTAATAATTTGATATGAAATCTGAGAGAAAATGATATTGCCAAGGAAAGAACTAATAATAAACATAGTATTGGCAGAAGCAAAATGTAGCATAACAAACTTCCAAGAATAATTTAATGTGCACCTGTGCCAGGAGAGGCAAAGATACAGAGAACAGAATGAAATTATGGACCTGAAAGGTGTTTAGTAATAAGGAGCCTACAGTTATACCATGATCAGGATATGTAGTCAAAATTCTACGATGAAAATGAGCAGACCTAAACCGATAAGATGCCCATCACTCATATATGCATATAAACAACATTTACATCACCACTGAGCTCAAGACTTTTGAAGAATCGAATAAAACGAAGAGCTAAAATGCATAAAAAGTAGTCATTATAATTCTACACTTTTGAAATATTCAGAGAAAAATTCCTCTATACTTCCCTAGCCCAGTTACTGAGAATAATAGTAATGATATCACAACAGACCTCAATCGATGTCTTTCCGATTTCTTACTTAACAATGTACAACGAGAATTAAAATAAAAAGTAATTTTAGCAGAGCTATATTATACATATATCAGTTATTAAATAATATATGTAGTTAAGGATTGCTGCATACACCTTTCTTCTGTTTAAATCATGGCTAAAATATGTATATATTGTATTAAATAGTCATCAAATTTGAAGATAAGCACACAAAGGAACAATTAAACTGTATCCGAGTACTGTATATGAACTGTTCTAAATAAATATATATACTGGTAACTTGTTAACATGAGCAGCATGTACTACTGACGCACCATGCAACAAACACAGGCTCTAGCAGACTCTAAACTCCTCTTCGGGTATTTAGTAAATCAAGTACAGCACTAAAACTTTTTTTTACTGTCAGCAATATTGTATCTCTATTATACTTTATAGATTTCAAATCAATTGATCAAACCATGCAATGATTAGTACTTGAAGAAGTTTTATTTAGGCAATCTACTACTACTTATACTATCATAACAAATATGTCAAATAACACGAGAAGAAAAAAGTATCAAAATTAATCGGAAAGCTTTATTATGCTTCCAATAAAGCAAAGTCATAAGCTACACACTAAAAATCTCTTGCTACTTTATGTGATCTTCAGTCATGTTTCATTTTTAAGATAGCATGGTTATCATCATTATGATGGTCAATATACATACAGAATTCCAGTTGAGAGAATGTCACAGATCAATATCCTGAACAAAACTGTTGTCCCATCTTTATATGCATCACAAATCTTATAAACAAAGAAAAATACTGATCCGTGTGTAAATATGCACACATTATCCATGAAAGTGTTCTTCTTTGGCAACATAATAGATAAGATTTTTTTTTCCACTGATGGACTGACAAAACAATACAGTATTCATCTGAAGGCGCACAACTGGTTGCCACTGCTCGAGGTCACAAGTAACGCTAGTATGAACTTGGCTAATCTCTGTGAATTACAAACTCCTACAAATAAACAACACATGCGGATATCGGATGGTTTAAAAGTCTCAACAGTACACTTGTTACACTTTCCTATAAGAAATGGCAATTTTATCTTGTCCACAAAAATTTTCTGCAGTATTTATAGGTCGTGAAAGTTATTTTTTTATTATATACATTTTTTCATAGTAATATTACCCACCAGAAAGGTAATTAAATGGTGTAGTGCCACTTAGGTTATACAGTAGTATTAAGTAGTCAGTACCATCCCAAGTTCAAAAGGAACTTATCATTTGTTGGAATATTAACTTGAAAGGTACTCCTCGTCTACACTGGCATAGTTATGTAGTTACTTTCTCGATCATGATGAAAATAAAGCATGCTATTCAAGGTAGTATAATGTGAAAATTAAAACTACCAAAAGTGAAACACTCCTTAAGCCACAGAGTTATGAGAGATGAAGAAGCAGGCAATTAAGAGGCATCTAATTCAAACTTCACTTAGAATGTTGATCAACAGGTGACTTACAATCCTTGTCTTCCTCTTCCTCTGTCTCATCTGCTGCAATAGGGTTAAACTCAGATACACACATTCTTTGACAATACTTGAGAATAATTCTTTGTTATCAGAACTCTTAGACTAAAAGATGATTTTGGTGACCAAATATTCTCAAGATGTGACCAAGAACATCTGTGTTAATATGTTACGTTCTACATGAGCAAGTGTAAATGTTAAGAAATATGAAACCTACAATAATGCAACATATTAGTCCAGTATCAGTTCACCTGAATAGCTTTAATTTAAAGATTAAGATGACTATGGTGGCTCTTACACAAGCTAAGAAGTGTGCTTAGTGCCATTAGTAATCCCCAAAACATATTCCACAATTAGGAAATATTCAGCAGTACAAAGAAGTCCAAATAAATACCCTAACCCAATTCATCTAGCTAATGGGACCTCTAGATATGACTTCAATAATTATTACACATTAATTCATTCTTTATCTAAAACAGCTAGAGTGAAAGGTTATACTGTAGATATATTTTACTATGAAAAGAATAAAAACTTGTCTTTATTTTAGTGTGAACATTTTTGGGAAAGGTCAAACCTCCACCCCTATAATGCAGGGGATGAGATCACTGAACCATATAGTGCTATCATCCCACAGGCTGACAAGAGGGAAACACTATTAAAAGCTAGTGGCTCAAAATGGCACTGAATGAAACAAGAAAGTAGATCAGGAATATACTGTATATGCTAGTACTGTAAAACATCCTACCCATTAAACATATTTCTGCTTTCACTTGCAATGAAACTCAGGAAAGGTTACTCGCATAGTACTCTCATAACTCAACAATTATGGAAACGGTATTTTATGTTACGAATTTAACATTCGTTTGCAGGTTACATTAACAGGTTTGCATTTAAAATGGAGGTGACAGGTAAGAATATCCCTAAAACAAATACTGTAGATAATTGCCTATCTTTAAACACTTCACTGATGAAATTAATTAGTGAAATAAAGCAATACAATTTTCAGAGCCGGACATTAGCACTCGAGTGTTTTAAACACCACACACTGTAATATTGCATTATGTGACAATATACCTACAATAAAATTGTCACATCTAGAGGTCACAATTTTAAATATACTATTCTATAAAAATGCAAATAGTTTAAAGCTTAATAAATGAAGATATTAGTAATCATCAAATCTCTTTTAAAGAAATGCATCCACATTCAGTTAGTGTATGACTGAGCAGTATCTCTATAAAGCTTAAACTACTAAGAAGAAGTTAGTCATTTATATACAATTATTTGTATGTGTAAGAAGTCTATAACATTTTAGTTGGAATACCTTACAACATTCGTGTTAATTATTACAATACTCAGTCAAACATTACTTTCCTACATATATATATTTGGAGCTTGATAATTATGGAATTTTCTATTCTAAAATTGTTTTTGTTTATCATCCATGGGCCAAAAGCAACTATTATAAAGTTTAACAGAATATGTCTCCTTTATCCGAATAATACCATACTAGTTGTGTTTTTTATAGAAATATAAGAATCTTTAATTATTAAACTAATACCCAGTTAAACCTCTTTATGTTTGACTATGTATGAATTTTGCAAATACAGATCCAACCTTCCTCTGCTTTATTGAACATTTTACAAGTACAGGAAGAGTTTAGGATAAAAGTGCAGGAACAACCAAAGGTACATTTGAACAATGACTTGCATCCCATCCTAATGTGAACCAGTTTCATCTTCACAAAACCTTATCCCGCTAGTCTCATCTTACTTCCATTTCCTCAGCCAATCCAATCCAAATGTAAAATGCCTTGATGCTACAGGTATTTTATTTAAACGTGAACCAACCTAGCCCAATTACAATTATACTTGATACTATCTGAGCAAGTATTATATATGTATATCTTCAAAATACCACTTCCTAAAGAATTAACAATCCCCAAAACTATCATTATATTCTAATCTTTACTGAACAAGTATTAATATCTTTCCTTGGTCCTAACTCATTCTAATTGTCATCATAAACATTAACTATTTTTAATAATATGGAATATCCAGTTCTTAGGAGAAAAGAATTACTGTAAAAAGAAATATTTGGCTTACCAGGGTAGGGATGAAGCTTAACAAGTTCTGGTGTGAGACAGTACTTGGGCTGGTCACGCACTGGGGATATGTCTAGCTTGAGCAACCCTGGCAAGCACTTTTTCTTCAACTGATTTGATGGACGCTTGAGATCGGCCAGGAACTTGTAGAGATCATCATCCCGTAATTTATCCCCTTCCTGAAAATGTTCAATTACTTCTCAATTAAAATGCTCTTTAGAATTCATTTATACATACAACATTTATCAACAAATTATTTGCATGTCATTTCCCATATTCAAAGGAATGATAAAACATTTTTTGTGTTTAACCCTTAAGGTATTTGCTGTTGAATCTTTGATGAGAATAATGCATTCACCTACAAGGCATCAAAATGAGGAAACTAACAGTGGCAAAGAAAAATAAGCATAAAATTTATCCAGTATCCAAGATGATAATAGCATCACCTGAAATAATGTTTATAGTACAGAATTCACATTAACCCTTCAGCTGTATGTGTCAAACAGGGACAATTGTTCATAGTACAATATTACCATTACATCTCATTTACTATTGTTGTAGCGAGTGCCAATTGTTCAAGTTTTAACAAAAATAAAGTAGTCAGTTTTTCAAGTACAAGTTTCATGGATGGTCCAAGTCCCAAAGTGCCCAGATATATCATGATTTACCATAGGTGTAAACTTATTAGTGTGTAATACACATGAGATTTGGCATCATTCAATTCACATAAGTATCTTACAAGAATGTAAGTCACTGAATTAAGAGAATATCTTTCTGCTCTTTAATAAAAAATAAAAGAAACAATTCAATGATACTTAAAATATATATTTACCTGTTTGAAAAATGATGATACAGTAAGGGTCACAGGCCGAAAGGAGTCCAGGCATGCACCAAACTCCTCCGGAGACCAGCTACGTCTCTTTTCACTGAAGCTTCTCCGCTCTAATGATCCTCTTCTTGTTAGTGAACCAGACCCACTCTTTCTCTTTAGTTCATCATAGCTAGAAGAACTCTGCTTCCGATCTAATGGAATATCATATTCACAAAAAATATAAACTTACACGAACAACCAGTCACAATAATTTGTTTCATGCCTCTACAAAATACAGAAAAAAGGATTACAAATAAAATATGAATTTTTTTTTTATAGAAAGGGATCTTTCCACTACCTACGGATATTTATGAAGGTTATAATTTCTAACTATTGAATGTAGTCTATTGTGTACAAAAAATATCCTTTAATAAAACACATGATGCGGCAAAGGAAAATGCTGGTAGAAACGATTTATAAAAAGGAAGTGAATTCATTTGTACTGTACAGCACATAACAGTTCACAAGGGGGGGGACAGCATTATCCAATTTGATTTAGATTTAAAAGCTTTAGTCATAGGTGATTTATATGAATCATTACAGTTTAGTTGGAATGAACAGGTGTACAGCAGTAAAATGAAACTTGCAGCTTGCAAGTTGGCCATATATAAAATCAAATTAGAATGATCAGAATACAATTTGAAGCATAACAAATTAATTATATCATGAAAGTTACAGAAATTTGAACAGCCCTAGTATTTTACATCTACAGATTCAGAAGCTAGCTTGGAGCAATATCACTCTGAACATACAGTTCAAGTAGCATTGATGCATAACATACACTGCCTTATGAAGCACACAGGTTGCTGTTGTGGATAATTGCTAGTGTGTGTGTGTGTGTGTGTGTATGCATAATTATCTGTAATGAAAAAAGGCTAGAATGAGTCGTGTAATTAATGGACAAGTGTATTTCTGGCATATATATTTTATTTATTTATTTATATACTGTATATACAAGAAGGTACATTGGGTTTATCAGAGTACATAGCATTGATGTTTTTACATTATTGTAAAGCCATTTTACATCTATATCTATAATATATTACTGCAGTATGCTGTTATGCATTATTTTCCAATGCAATGCCTACCACCCAATGAAAGTAGAAAATAAGGTAATAATAATGCAAGTAAATAATGCAAAAATTCCCTTCTTTAGCTGGAAAAGAGCAAGCTATATGACAAATATGTTGTCACTCTACTTAAGGTGAAGTTAAGCAAAAAATTGAAAAGTACTCATCATTAGTGGCTCATTTCCCACTTGAGTGAAGTGGGGAGGCAGGCGATGAATCACAATAACGTGGCTAAAGTATGTTGACCAGACCACACACTATTAGGTGAAGGGACGACGACGTTTCGGTCCGTCCTGGACCATTCTCAAGTCGATTGTGATGAGGAAGTAGAGACAGGTAATAAATAGGCAAGAGAGAGCTGAGGAGCAAAGCAAGGTGTAGTAGAAGGAATAGTAGTAATAATAAGAACTACAGAGGGCCTATTGGCCCATATGAGGCCATGGTATTCCATGGTTAGGTCATTGTGATTCCTCATCACAATCGACTTGAGAATGGTCCAGGACGGACTGAAACGTCGTCGTCCCTTCACCTTCTAGTGTGTTATGGGGGAGACATTTAATCGTTAGTAGGAGACGGGTCCCCAACCCAAGGTTAAAGGACTGTTTGCAACACTAAGTGGTGGATGATGGGCTTGCTCTGTCCTTACAGTATGCAAGGTGTATTTCCTAAACAGTACTGTTTAGCGGGGATGTTGATCCTCGGAATCAACAGTGTTAGTATTGGATGCAAGACGATGAAATAATTAAAGATAATTTGTATACAAAAATTTCACAACTTGAGTAAACTATTTACATGTTTCCTCACACTCCACACTATTAATCCATCCACTTTCCACCAGGGCATAGCTAAATTACATTTTATTTTTTTTTTAATGTCTCAAATTAGGTCTAGCCCTTCTCTGGCATAAGTTTACTCTTTCAATCCTCATAGTTTTATTGATTTTATTAATGTACTTAAATTATTTTGCTTCTTCACTGTATTTAGATAATTCATCTACACTATTTCTACATGTTTTTACTACCAATGCAGAATCATAAGAATGGAATTTTATATACACTGGTGTAACTAACATTTAAAGAACAACAGAAATTGTATGCTGCTGATCGTAATTATACTTTAATAAAAAAGTGAAAATATTAAAAAAATATTTGCAACTGTACCAAGAACACCCAGATATGTGGATAAAGTAAAAGAAATTAATGAAAAATAAATGAGCTCACCAAGACTGTTTGAGCCTGAAGGCTCTCTCTCGGGAGCATTCTCTCGGTCTCCATGAACGCCTGTGAAAATATTCATGAGGTTGATTGCCGTCCAAGCTAAGGGCATACGATACTTTCCAAGTCTTTCACAGCAAGCTACTGCTGCCGATTTCAGCTTCTCTCGGTTCTACATAAAAGAAAATGGAATCTAATCATAATATGTTCCAAATGATTCAATTAATTATGAAATTCAATAAACTTGTACAACCAAGAATACGTTAACTTTTTTTTAATTATGGAACACCTACAAATAATAGAATAACCTAAATAAATTTTGGTTCACAAACTGTGTGTGGTGAAATACTGACCGCATCATCCTTCATGTATGGTCCCACCACATCACTGATATCTCCCTGTAGCACCTTCTCAAGACGAACAACCAGAAACAAATCACTAGACGGGTATGTGATATCAAAAATACATGTGCGACTCAAAGTTGAAATATCCTGGAAAAAGAACATATACATATCACATACACAATTGAAGTGCTGGGAGATATAATTTAGGAACTAAAAAAAAAAAAAAAAAATTTATATTGTATTTAGTGTACATATTCTGTAAATAGATGTGACTCAATTCTCAAAGTTGCTATAATGACATGTTGAAGTCCTGCAAATGTACAAGCAACATCAGAGGAAAAAAGTTTAAAGAAAAATATTATGTATTTTACTACATTTTAGTATTTGTACAAAACTCCTATGTGCCACCTTAAATCAGGATAGTCTTTGATGCACCCTTCTCTCCACAGAAAATACACTGATTCACATCCTTAGTCTCTTAAAACACATTAATCACACTGAAAACAATCAGCTGTACGAGGGTAAAAAGTGTACTAAGAACTCGCAACAAAACATTTGATTGGTTAATTTCGTTAATTTTTAATTTAGGCTTGTAAAGAATTCAACTAAGTTCTCTTGACATTAAGACTTATCTACTACAAAGCAATTTTTTTTTATTTAATATTATGACATTGATTATGAGGATCTGATCAAATATAAGACAGTCTGATCACTCATTATGAGGAAAGTTACATTTTTAATCCTGCACTAAAATTAAATTCTGAACATTGAGCAATCCTTCAATTAATCTACATACAGTATATTCTATTAATATTCATAATTGTTTTTGCACTTGCCTCTAAGTTCCAGGTAAATCTAATATAATCTATCATCTGTTACATAAAACATAACCTGGATTAAATTCATTTGAAATCCAGAGCAAGTATAACATCTGCAGCTCTGAATTTTAGTAAAGTTACCAGACGTCGTCTGGTACATTTCCTGGTGAATTAAGTTCAAATTAGGTACCAACCTGGTATGGAATGTGTGAAGTTAGCATTCTCTTAAGAGGTTCTGGGTTCATGTCAAAGCAAAAATTTTCTGATATTTTCTTTTTATCCCTGAGATCATATAGTGCCATCGTAGCAAATACAGGTTCTATTTCTAGTTCAAGACGAAGATTTATGCACTTGACTTGAATACGATGGCCTGAATGTGGCATGGGTACATCTGGGTAAAGTCGACGTTCTATCATATCCTCATCATCTTGAGGAGGATATAGCACAAACAGCGAGTCCTAAGGAAAAGAAAAAAAGAGAGTACATGATAAAAATACGTCATAAGAATGCCCCTTTCTTTCCTCCTTGCCTGATTTCAGTGCTTCCTTATCAGTGTTTACGGGAGATACATATTTTTGGGTGTTGCCTCCTAGGTTTCTCTACCTGATGCATATATATATTTCTTGTCATTCAACTTCTGTCATATGTGCTCTTGAAGCTGTGGATGTAGGTGCCTTCCATTACTAGTTCCCTCATTCTATTCATTTTCTATTCCAGCTTCCACCAATGTCCTATTGCCTTCAATCTGAGGGTTGTCCTTATCCACCTTATATATTCTCCTCAGTATCTTGTATGTAGTTATCATATTGCCTGTATTTGTTCTCTCCTCTAACATTATTAGGCCGAGTTCCCATAACCTGTCTCAAAGATAAGTCATCGCAATATTGGTACTAAGTCTAGATGCAAACCTTAGTGCTTTAAGCTTTTTCTTGTGCTCCAAAAGATGTGGATACCATGACTATGTGTATATTCCAGTACAGTAAGTGCCTCATACAAGCGGTGTACATAGCCTTACAAGAATCTATGTTTAGATTTTTAAATGATGTTCACGTTCATCAACTTCCAATGAGCTATGATGTACATATGGGCTTTTGATGTTAGTGTTGTAATATTATTTACTCTCATATCCTTTTCTCTTATTGTACTTGCCTACTTTCCTACTGGTCTCCAATCTCCCTTTATTATTTTCATTACTTTACACTTACTAATATCTTACTCCAGCAGCCCCTTATCTGCCCATTCACTAAGTTGCCTAGGTTTTCCTGCAACACTCAACAGTCCTCCTCAGTTCTTTCTCTCATCATTAACTATGCATCAACTGCAAACTGACATATATGAGCTCACTCCCTGTTGTAGGTTATTAACAAATTATTAAAAAGCAATAGCCCTAGGATATCAACAATGGGAGACCCCACTTTCTAATCCTCTCCAGTCTAACAGATTCGCTTTGACTATGACTTCACGTTTCTTGCACATCAGGTACTTTTGTACCCAGTTCAATGTCTTATTCATGATCCCTGCATGTCTTTCCATCTTGTGCATAACATTCGTTAGGAGCTGTAACAAAAGCTCTCTGGACGTTTAGGAAGAAACAGTCTACCCATCCATGGTGGCGATGTAATTCACCACATTTAAGTGAAAGGTAGGTGGTGGTAGTGTGTTGTAATGGAGTATCAAGTTACAGTCACAAGGTAGGAAGGAGAACTGCTATGCATTGTTAGCACACTATTTATGAATATAGAGTATATAAACTGTAATTTAGCCAGAAAGCCAAATATATATTATGATTAGCTAGGTGAATTTCAGCTGCATGATGGTGATTAAAAAAGAGTTTTCCCAGGCTAGCACAACTCATGATACTAACAGGGTGGTGTACTGATAACAAGACACTGTAATAAGTACAGGGATTGTAACTGGCACAGGCTGGCATAATGTGCAAAGGCTCAAGACTCACTTCAAAGAGCAAAAAAGATCTAAGCTGACTGATTATTATTTTAGGTATTTATACTATTACTGAGAGATATCATACAGAAGACTAAAACATAAATAATACTTCCACTGAAGTGTCTACCAAATTATACAAATCAGATGTGTAATTCAGATTGATGGCTGATACCTTTTGTATATTTGTCATTCTTTAACCTAGGCAATTTCCTTATAAATTAAAAATGACTAAACATTGAATTAAATGTATAATTTTACCTGTCTGTTTTCAAGCCTTGCTTGTTGATTATTATTGTCAACTGTATCAAGTGGAATGCGTGAAAGTAGGGATGGGAGAAGAGGGTCAGCCACAGAATTACGCAGATCAAATACAGAGCTTGCCCAACTTCCTCTGGGAGTGTCGGAAAGGTGTGAAGAGTGTCTGCTGCCTCCAACATCATGCTGAAAAGCCCAAGTAAATGAATATCTCGACATGACACACACAGAAATGCTCACAAACATGACAAAAAAATACATCAATACAAAAACTGCACACTGCATATTTCCCACAAACAAGATCATTAACAAATTCTGATCCTCTTGTAATATTTTATCAGCATCAATATGAAAACCAGCACACGTTTCATATCAAGTTCTGCAGTCATAACTGATGACAATATTTGTGACAAAAGGATTATAATGTTTAGCATCAAAAGCATTCTGGTAATGTCAAAATGTACTTTCAAGGTATATATGTAACATATGTAATGTAATTTAGTTGCGAGCATTGTCGAGATTTTTACTCAAACAAAAACAAAATAAAAATAAAAAAAAACACAAATTTCAAAGGGACTATGATGATCAGACTTTAACAGACATCCCTTTAACCAAGGAATAGGTAAACAAAAATGAAATTAATAAATGAAAACAATTATGAAATTTAAATAATTTACCAGAAAATTTGTTCCAGATGAAAGGCATTCTAGAATTAGAAAAATCAACATATGAACTTTCTCTTAATAAAATTACTAAATATTCCTCTCACTTTTCAATAACTAACAGCAAATAATGAAGACCAGTATGTATGTCCGAGAGATCCACGATGCAACAATATAGTCCAAAAAGTGAATGAAACAGAATAATCATAAGAAACTGCAAGGTCAAGGCATGTAATTTGTGCATCACATACCAAAATGTCATGGTTGTGCTGATAATAAATTTAAACAAAGACTAAATTTCAGTGCTAAAATCAAAATTTTACCAATTCAAATTCATGATATATAACTCGTGCGGAGCAAGCACCACCTGTTCCTTAACAAAGAGACATGCAACTTGAGATACTTTACAAACAAAATTTGAATTCTTCGTGTAAGGTTTAAACTGCTAAAATATAATGTAACAATAAAACTTGAAAACTAAGTTCATTACTTTTATGGTGAATGAAATTATGATAGTGACCTATAAGATAATTTTCAAAAGCCCTGTTTTTTATTAGTTTTCATGATTAATTCAGTAGTTTAAATAAAAGTACACTACTTTAAAGCTTCATTTAAAAAAATCTATTTATATTACTTACTCTGTCGGCATCATTAGGTCCACGGTCATCTTCCAGGTCAACCTCAAACTCTGGTTGTGGACAGGATTGCAAATTTGTCAAGTGGTCTGTAGATAATTGACTGCGTCCTGGCACTGATGAGGAATACTGAAGGTACTGACGACTGACATATAACCAATCTCTGGTATAGCAACGTACACAGTCTGCTACATGGGCATCATAACCATCCCTGAGGAAAATTATATTTATTATGAATTGCAACAATAAACCCTTATATGTCTCCTGTAGGGTGAATGAGTAATTATTTTAGAGTACAGTATGTGTAATTACCTCAGTGTAGTTACAGGATGAGAGTTACACTTGTGGTGTCCCGTCTTCCCAGTACTCTGTCCTGCTTGATGGGGTCGATACCTGGTTGATGGGGTTCTGGGAGTTCTTCTACTCCCCAAGCCCGGCCCGGGGCCAGACTTGACTTGTGAGAGTTTGGTCCACCAGGCTGTTGCTTGGAGCGACCCGCAGACCCACATACCCACCACAGCCCGGTTGGTCCGGCACTCCTTGAAGGAAACAATCTAGTTTCCTCTTGAAGATGTCCACGGTTGTTCCTGTAATATTTCTGATGCTCGCTGGTAGGACGTTGAACAACCGTGGACCTCTGATGTTCATAGTGTTCTCTGATTGTGCCCATGGCACCTCTGCTCTTCACTGGTTCTATTCTGCATTTTCTTCCATGTCGTTCACTCCAGTACGTTGTTATTTTACTGTGCAGATTTGGGACCTGTCCCTCCAGTATTTTCCATGTGTATATTATTTGGTATCTCTCTCGTCTCCTTTCTACCAAGTACATTTGGAGAGCTTTGAGACGATCCCAATAATTTAGGTGCTTTATCTCGTCTATGCGTGCCGTATATGTTCTCTGTATTCCCTCTATTTCAGCAATCTCTCCTGCTCTGAAGGGGGAAGTATGATGTGTAGAGACAAGAAACCACAGCTGTGTGCTCTTGCTGATTGTCTAATTCTGGGAATATTGTCAACAGGACTGCTACCCATGGTTGCTGTGCGCACCACCAATGAAGGACCCCGGGTTGCTATGCGCAGCATTAGGGTTAAAGCTTTTTCATATAATTTGTAAGTTGTGTGTTGCCTATTTTCTCCTATTCTACATTCTATAATGTGGCATATATTTACATTAATTAATTCCATTTTCCAAATGTTACTCCATACACTTATTTTGGCAAAGTCCTCTTGTAAGACACGACAGTCATACAAGTCTCTTCTCTAGCTTAGCATCACCATCAAACATATTCATATAATTCTGTATTCCTTCTGGTAGATTATTTATATAGACAATAAACATTACTGGTGCTAGAACTGAACTCTGTGGTACTTTACTAGTAACATTTTGCTAGTCTGATACATTGCCTCTAATTACTACCCTCATTTTTCTGTCAGAAATTTTTTCATCCGTGTCAGAAGTTTCCTTTCACCCTTCCAGTATGTTCCAGCAAAACGACCTTAATGTGATTTCATTATGCATTTGACAAGAAGCATTGTAGGAAGAACTACTGGACCATAAGCCATACTGCATGGGGGGCAATACATGAAACCATGATTGGGCTTCAGTTGGAAGCCTCAGGACCCATAGATGATTCAGTTGAATCCTAGGTGGCATTGCTATTGACCATGTCCTGGTTTAGTGGTCTAGGGCATGTGATTGGGGGTATCAAGAAAGCAGGTTCAAATCCTCCTCATGGCTCGTACTGATTTTCTCATTGATATACAGTATCACATTTATGTGATTTCATTGTGCAAAAGATCAAATATTATAGCAAAGCCAGAATATCAAGTCTTTAGCAAAAAAAAATGTTGAACTATTGCAGTGGCAATTACCAAGGTACCTGAAACTTTTGTGCAAGATTTTTAAGGCATCTCAGATTATGGCAAATTTTAAGTTTAAGTCTGCTCTTACCCTGCTCTTGTTTACATTATTGTAGCACATTGTGCTATCTCTAATCAACTACATACTGTATAATGAAAACAACAAAGCTGGAATAAAGGAATAAATCGGTAAACAAAATGATGGATACCGTGAAGATTAAGATAAAAATTAGACTTTTATCTTGCATACTATAATTTGTTTTGTCAGGGGGACAGGCAGCCTGTGTATGTATATATATTTTAGGCTTATAATGAAGTCCCCCCAAGGGCAAACTACTGACCCTCCCAGGATGCAACACCACAACAGTTACCTAAATCCTGGATACCTATTTATTGCTAGGTGAACAGTGGTATTAGGGAAAAAGACACACCCCCACCCACGTGTGCCCCACCTGCGATTTGAACCTGGGATTCCTGATTGTGAGTCGAGAATGACCCCAACTGTACTACAGACAAACACTGAAGGAACAATAAATGCTCTCTGCCTGCAGTGCAGCTCTCCAAAATACAGTAAAAGATTTACTAACCCTTCATCTGGCACGACTGGATGAAGAGTGCGGATCTGGCGTGGGATTAAAGTGACTACAATGTCATCTGGTGGAAAGTAGAGTATTTTTCTCACTGGGTCACGGTCTGCCTCTAGTTGGTGTTGGTCAAGAAAGTCTTCGTAATCAATAGGGTCAACATTTTCTTGTAATGTATCATGCTGAAAATGAATTGCATTGTATTGTTATATATTTTGTTATGAAAGAATATACTGTATTATAAAGGATCGGGCATAAAGTCAAGATTAAATTTTACCGAAGCAGCTTCTCTTTTATAGACAAAACTTTAGCTCCAAAAAAGTCTAATATCAACTTAGCATTTGTTTACAATGTTGTCATCATCTAATACCAACATGTATCCAGGTGAGCGAGTGTGCAGTCATACATACCGTAGAGAGAGTTGTTACACTAGCAGAGCGAGGAGGATCCTTCCCAGGTGTCACAGAGCTCACAGTCCTCCGCACATCAGCTGCATGCTGCCTGATGGACAAATAATTATTGTTTAAACTCTTGCATTACTCAAGAATAAATTTAAACTTGGTTTTGTAAAATAATAAATACTTTATTTATTAATCTTAAGAAGCTACAATACTGGTCTGCCTAAGGCGATGCCCGAAATGCTGTGCGTATTAGTGGCTTTAGGCATAGTATGTACTAGCTTCTATCTAGAAATCCAACATCCTGTTTGTAACTCATTTTGAATGTACAGTATGTACTTTTACCTGAATAAACTATTATTATTATTATTATTGTTGTTACTATTAGGTAAATGCGCATTATCTGCAATTAGAGGTCACAGCAAGGATAAGGGCCACCCTTTCACTTAAGAGATTTTAGCGTTGTGTTTTGTAGTTCATCTCACCTTGAACTCAACATTATACATAGTACAATATCTCAATTGCTGGAATGAGACTGAATTCAACAGCTCAGTCATTGACAGCTATATTTATACATTGTCGTCATCTTTAAAGTACGTAACCAAGTTTTTTTATTATGCTCTTCTTGTGTGTACTTGCCTTTTATTTTGCATATAGTTTAGTTTAAGGTTTTAATTTGTTGTCACGTTAATTATTGTAATTTAATGAGTATAAAATTCTTATTTACAAAATAATGGTTTAGCTAATCTTGCATTATATATATATTTTTTTAGCCATGATGATGGAGTTACGGCTCTGAGACATGTTAATTTAAATAAAATGAAGTATATACAGTATTTTCCACCAATTATACTTTTCACAATACGAATTTAATTCCCAAGAGGAAAAATCCATTTCTGTAGCAATTGTATATTATATGACGCCACTAACACTTAAGTCAAATACTGGCAAATACTTTGCTCCTGGGGACTTGTTGGCCTTAAATTTGTATACAGCACCTGGTTAATAACGTCCTCCCTTGTGTCCACTAAACAACTCGCAGTCTGGCTGAAACGCTATGCGTGCTAGTGGCTTTTACAAGAATGTAAAGAACTCTTGTATAATAATAAATTTAACCCATCCTCTTAACCACTAATAACTGCAAATCATCGTCAATATTACATAATACTGTATACAGGTATTAATCTTAGCTTTATCTATGTAAATCTAAGCTTCTTAGTTTTGAATAATTCTATATACCTTTCCAAATGATGTGTAGCTAAACTATGTCGCCACATTGGCCTGTAACCAAGTAGCACAGTGCTCATGGGCCGCTACACAATTAAATTAAAAATGTTACCCCAAGACTTAGGCTGGCTGGCTGAGGCAAGACTTGGTTAGGTTAGGTAGGCTGAAAAATTCACAAGACTTAGGCTAGCCGAGGCAAGACTTGGTTAGGTTAGATAGGCTGAAGACTTAACTGTTCAGCCTACTCTGAACACTGGGGTAACATTTTTTTCTTTTTACCCATTAGTTTTAAGCTTTAGTCAGTAGTGTTTTTTCCTGCCCGAAACGCTTTGCGTAATAGTGGCTTTAGGCATTGTATGTACTAGCTCTTATCTATAAAGCCAACAAACTTTGTAAAATCTCTTTATGTATGTACCTTTGCCTAAATAAAAATTATTATTATTATTATTATTATTATACTCTGCTAATTACTCCTGAGAAAGCCCCCTGGACTTGCCCTAAGGCGGGTCAGGTCCGTCTCCAACAATGTGCAGCAAGACACATTAAGCCCCCAGGAAAGACAAAGTTTCACAAGAGACAAACTCTCATAAAAACACCACAGTTAACTCTGTTCAAACGTACTTAAACTTACTGTTAATGAAAACAAGACAAAATTAACACAGCCCAATAACAAAAAACCAAAACAAACAATCGGTCTGAGTGCCAGTTGTAAAATCCTTAACAATGACTAGGAGTCTAAATTAAAAAGATATTCGTTACTATTAAAGCATTCATTTGCTGTGCAATACAATATTTATGTACTTTTTTTTAAGCTTACTTCACAGTATATTGTGATAAAACTTACTTTGACAGTTTCTGGGCGAAGGCCCGCTGGCCCGACGCCATCTTTGTTTGGCCGCCAACCACACGTTCATTAATACATTAAATATCAGTAGATTAATACGGTACATTTAAACATTTATGATTTTATTATTCTATTCTACGTATTATTATATTTTAAAAGAAACAAATAGAGTTTGTTATGTAAATTGAGAGACTTTAAATATAGAAATTTGAATAGCAAATTTATTCGGATGACACAGCGCCTCAGTTCAAATCAGTGAAGATTAATAATAATAATAATAATAATAATAATTTTTATTTAGGTAAAGGTACATACATAAAGAGATTTTACAAAGTTTGTTGGCTTTATAGATAGAGCTAGTACATACAATGCCTAAAGCCACTATTACGCAAAGCGTTTCGGGCAGTTAATTTATTTATTTATTTATATACAAGAAGTTACATTGGGTTTATGAGAGTACATAGCATTAATGCGTTTACTTTCTTGTAAACCCACTTACACGCATAGCGTTTCGGGCAGAATGTTAACAGGTACATTGTAAGAAAATTTGAACAAAACTAGTAGTACATTACATACAGTGATATTTGATGATTATCAACAGGTAAATTGTAGCATAATTTGAGGATTATTCCTAGGTACATAGTAGTAAATTTTGCATTCAACATAATAACCATGATATAAGATGACGGCAGTGAATACAACGGTGAAGTTATATGGCACATGGGTACTAGTTGCTTTAGGTATTGTATGTGCTAGCTCTATCTATAAATCCAACATTATGTTTGGAAATCAACTATGTATGTACTTTCCTTGAATAAAATTTACTTTACTTTAATTTACATATTTTTTGGGGGAGTGGGTAGCATAAGATACAGTGCTAGTTTGAAGCACTAGGTAGGAAACTATGAGGATGAGATCAGCCATTTGTTGGTTTTAGTTTTGAATAAGGCGTAGGTTGGACAGCTTTTTAATTCGTTTGGGAGTGAGTTACATAGACCAGGTCCCTTTATTTGCATGAAGTGTTTACACAGATTTAGTTTGACTCTGGGGATATCAAAGAGATATTTATTTCTGGTGTGGTGATTATGGGTTCAATTACATCTATCAAGGAAGAGTTTCAGATCATGATTTGCATCTAGGAACGGGGTTTTGTACGTGTAAATGGCACAAGAGAATGTGTGGAGTGACTTTATGTTTAGCATCAAAACATTGAGGGTAAACACTGGAAGAAGCTGCCGGGACTTAAGACAGTGCGGTCTGCTGCATGATGCGAGGAGGACGTGTTGCTCCGCATCTTTGTGTTTGCACGTGGCTGCTGCAGCTAGATGTTGTGAATTTGTTCTCGACTGTTGCAGTGATACAGTGCCTTTGTGTATCGAGGAAATGGCTGAGGCGGTCTGCCTAGGTGATGGAAGATCCTGTACTGGGCCTGGAGAGTGTGACAGTGGGGATGGCAGACAGGATGATACTAGGCCGTATCAAGCAGTAGTAAACAGATATAAACGGAGAAATATTCAAAGACAGCGAGACGAAGACAGTGAGGAGGAAATAACAAAGAGACCAAAAAATGAAGACATGCTCAGCAGGACGCGGGAGATGCAGACTAATGGAAGGAAGAGGCTGTTGTTCCCTACAGCATGTCAACTGAATTTCCATCAAAAGCTGGAGTGGACGGTTCGTTTGGCTAAGGAGTTTTTTGAATATGAACCACTATTCAAGGAGGGTCTTCACCGGCCCTATATAACAGTTGGGACAGAGGAGGCCGTGGAACACCTAACGAAGGATGGGTTTGAGAATATTGTGATGGTTACTCCGGAAAAAGGTATGATGTACACCAAGGTCATAGTGTTTAAGTATCCAACTTATTTGGATCCTGATTATCTATTGCTCAACAATGATAGTGTTGTTTGGGCAAAGAGGAACAGTGTTCGTGGTGAAAAACAAAGCCAGGTTGTTGCCTTGGTAAAGGGTGAGGCTCCAGAAAGAATTTTTGTGCAAGGACTAGGCTACAGGAAAGTTGTAAAATACATTGAGGAGCCCATATTATGCATGAAGTGTTCTCGTTGGGGACATATGGCTTGGAAATGCCAGTTTGACTCCAGGTGTCGGTACTGTGGTAAGAAACACGACTCTCGAGAGTGTAGAGTCAAGATTAAAAACGGTGAAAAAATCGTCCCATCTTGTTGCAATTGTCGAGGAAGCCACAATGCTGGTTCCTATCTATGTCGCATGAAGCCTCATCTGAGAGACTCGAGGACGGGTGCTACAAGCAGGATAGATGTATCCTCGAAGGAAGGAAAGATTGTGCAGCAGGAACATGGAGGAAACAGTTGGAAGCCAATGACAGCGCCTATGAACAATGTGTGGGAGAAAGGAACAGAGACAATTAAGGCGAGCCTAGGGAAAGTAGGAAATGCAGCTGAAAAAATTAAACCTTGTGGAAACAAGGTTCAGGTCAATATAGTGAACTCTGAGGTTGGTACTCAAATATTGGAATATCTAAAAAAACTAGAAAAGAGGATTGAGGCATTAGAAAAATTAACTATGGGGGGTAGACGGGGTGAAGATGGTGGTGAAACAGGACGTGAAGTGGAAAGTGAAACAGGACGTGAAATGGAAAGTGAAACAGGACGTGAAATGGAAAGTGAAACAGGACGTGAAATGGAAAGCCAAACAGGACGTGAAATGGAAAGCCAAACAGGACGTGAAATGGAAAGCCAAACAGGACGTGAAATGAAAAGCCAAACAGGACGTGAAATGGAAAGTGAAACAGGACGTGAAATGGAAAGTGAAACAGGACGTGAAATGGAAAGTCAAACAGGACGTGAAATGGAAAGTGAAATAGGACGTGAAGTGGAAAGTGAAACAGGACGTGAAATGTGCGTTGAAGAAAGTAAGGAAGAACATGACGTATTGATGATAGAGGATAGTCAGGAAAATGAACTTTCTAGTAGTGTTAGCGTTCAACCTTCTGTAGTGACAAATGTCGAAACAAAGGTTAAAGTAAAACGGTATAGAGAAATAAGAAAGAAATTAGATATGAATAAGATCACCTTTGATGCTAGTAGCTGTTGTGCAAATGAGGAGAAAGCAGAAATGTTACAGTGTTGGGAGAGTCTGTCTGAGAAAATCTCGTATCTCATGGAATGTGACAGACAGGGCAAAGGTAGTTTTATTAAATCATGGATGAAAGTAGAGTGAGAATATTATCTTGGAGCGTTAATGGGTTAAAATCTAGTGCGGTGGATGTACACTATTATACTCTTAGATAGTACTATATTAACCTGATATGTTACATGGGATTCTTGTATTTGTACTCACTGAATTTGTGCGCCCCTTGAGGGACTTGAAGTATGGGAAGGGGTAGAAATAGCCTAAGCTAATTTTTAATTTTTTTTTTTTTTTTTTTTTTTTTTTTTTTTTTTTTTTTTTTTTTTTTTTTTTTTTTTTTTTAACTTGTCTCAATAAACCTACTTGAACTTGGAAGACCATTATGTATTAAAGTGTCAAATTATGGATAACCATAGAAATAAGGAAATAAGTAGTGTACCACTTCAAATTGTTTGGATGTGTGATAATGATATGATAGACAGAATACTTAGGAACTACAAGAATTTTGCCCCAATGATTGTAACACTTACTATATTAATATGCAATGTTAAATGTTGTATTGTGATTTGTGTATCTGTACTCACTGAATTTGTGCGCCCCTTGAGGGACTTGAAGTAGAGGGGGGTAGAAATAGCCTAAGCTACTCTATCCCTTTGAGATGTATTTTTTTCTTGTCTCAATAAACATACTTGAACTTGAACTTGAACTTGATGTTTAGCATGTTTAGGGATTTAAACAGAGGGGGCTGAGTGTTGTCTGAAAACAGTTTGTTATTCTGAGGGGCTTGCCTCACCCAACGCTGGAGGCCAGACGCTCGGGGCCAGCCTCACCCAACGCTGGAGGCTAGACACTCGGGGCTAGCCTCACCCAAAGCTGGAGGCTAGACACTCGGGGCTAGCCTCACCCAACGCTGGAGGCCAGACGCTCGGGGCCAGCCTCACCCAACGCTGGAGGCTAGACACTCGGGGCTAGCCTCACCCAACGCTGGAGGCTAGACACTCGGGGCTAGCCTCACCCAACGCTGGAGGCTAGACACTCGGGGCTAGCCTCACCCAACGCTGGAGGCTAGACACTCGGGGCTAGCCTTACCCAACGCTGGGGGCCAGACACTCGGGGCTAGCCTTACCCAACGCTGGAGGCCAGACACTCGGGGCTAGCCTCACCCAACGCTGGAGGCCAGACACTCGGGGCTAGCCTTACCCAACGCTGGAGGCCAGACACTCGGGGCTAGCCTCACCCAACGCTGGAGGCCAGACACTCGGGGCTAGCCTTACCCAACGCTGGAGGCCAGACACTCGGGGCTAGCCTTACCCAACGCTGGAGGCCAGACACTCGGGGCTAGCCTCACCCAACGCTGGAGGCCAGACACTCGGGGCTAGCCTTACCCAACGCTGGAGGCCAGACACTCGGGGCTAGCCTCACCCAACGCTGGAGGCCAGACACTCGGGGCTAGCCTTACCCAACGCTGGAGGCCAGACACTCGGGGCAAGCCTTACCCAACGCTTGGGGCCAGACACTCGGGGCTAGCCTCACCCAACGCTGGAGGCCAGACACTCGGGGCTAGCCTTACCCAACGCTGGAGGCCAGACACTCGGGGCTAGCCTCACCCAACGCTGGAGGCCAGACACTCGGGGCTAGCCTCACCCAACGCTGGAGGCCAGACACTCGGGGCTAGCCTTACCCAACGCTTGGGGCCAGACACTCGGGGCTAGCCTCACCCAACGCTGGAGGCCAGATACTCGGGGCTAGCCTTACCCAACGCTGGAGGCCAGACACTCGGGGCTAGCCTTACCCAACGCTGGAGGCCAGACACTCGGGGCTAGCCTTACCCAACGCTGGAGGCCAGACACTCGGGGCTAGCCTTACCCAATGCTGACGGCTAGACGCTTGAGGCGTCCTCACCCAAATTTGCAGAGGAGGGGTGGGGGGGTGGGGGTCTGGTGTTCGCTGATCGGGGTAGGCCTAAGTTAAATGCTATAAGAAATATTAACAATTATAAACACCCCTAGACCATTTTATAGTCAAATTTGAAATATAGCGTGTGAGTAACGTGGACTTGTTACTGAAAAAAAGAATGGAAAATGAAGAGACGTGAAAGACAAGTAATTAAAGCGTCTGAGACTGTTATATTTGTTTTTGAGGGAGGTAGGGAGTGGGGGAGGACGAAGAAATAACTTTGTATTGAAAGAAGAGAGATAGAGATAGGCAAAGATAAAGATAGGGAGAGAGATGGGAGACAGACAGACAGACATACCCGGGCAATGCCGGTAACCCCCTAGTAAATAATTAACCTCTAACAGGAAATTCTAATATTCATCATAATTTTCCTGTGGAAATCATCACACGTAAGCCATTGATCCTAACTATAGAAACCAATAAGGTGTGGAGAGTGTGTATATAGCTACACAAAATATCAGTAACATAAATACTTTGCAGTTTTTCCTTAATTGTGGCGCGGCAAAAATAGGTTGAGGTTACTGATGATATATGTGTAATGACCTGGGGGCGAACAATGCTCTCCAACAATGACGACGTGGCTATATATGCCGAGTTCACCCACCGTCTCTCCATGGCCAGTAATACTCCCGGGGGTGACAGAGTTTGTATTTAAGCATTTAATAAATGATATAAGTAATATATCGGACCGCAGGTATATATAATAGAGGTAAGTGTTGCCGTGGGCGGTGTGTGGGGTGGGTGGTACAGGGCGGCGCGGGTCCCGTAGTCTCGGTGCCACCCGAGTCCCGGCCAGTCTTGTCTGCCTCATCTCCTCCTTCGGGTATGTTCATCCCTCTTGGACTTATATTTATACTTATAATGTTATATATATTTAGATATATAACAATTTGTATTTAAGGTTTTTACTCGGATGAAAATAGAAAAAAAGTTAACATGTAATTATAGGCAATTTAACAGTATTGACGTCTGTAGCCTATACACGAATGTTATAAAATATGCCGATGTTCATAGATGAAGAGCAAATGTTATATAACAAAGAATTCCATGATTACTATCAAGCAGCTTTTGCATTTCATGAAGTTTCGCTTATAGCAACACACTACATGAACATAGCTCGTTTATATTTGATCAGTATTAAATTATTCGACGTTCACAAAGTGCCCTTATAGCAGGTTCTGCAAGTTACTCCTGGCTTGTTGAGTATTCTTTGACCAAGAGTATTCACTGACAGGCAGAATGAATGGTTTATGTCTATCTATTTATGTCAATCAATCTCAGGCCAGGGAAGTGGTCCCGACAATATTTCGTAGATGAGATATGCATAATTAACATCAATTATCCCCACAAACTAAAATGCACCGGTTTTGTTAGGTCAGTTCTCTATAGTTCGGAAAACAATTAGGTTTAGGTATTAAATAAGCTGGTGGAAGAGAAAGCTCTACATCTGCAAACCAAAGTCAGAAGAAATTCGAGCCTCTGTACCTTCCATTGTTACAAAAATATTAAATATATATGTATAGCGGAGGGGCAGAGGCTTTAGGAAACTATTGACTAATTTGAAGTGTTTTCCGTCAACCTTCCTGCTTCATTTATATGTGAGTGAATGGATGTCAAATTTTTAAATATAATAATTGCGAAGAAAAAGCATATTCTACATAAACTTTTAATGATCTAATTTGTATGGCAAAGTGCATGTGAGCGCCTAACACGCCACTTTACGAGCGTGGTGGGCCACTAGTGAGCTCCTAACAGGTAACTATACGAGCATGGTGGGCCACTATAGCGAGCTCCTAACAAGCCACTTTACGAGCGTGGTGGGCCACTATAGCGAGCTCCTAACAAGCCACTTTACGAGCGTGGTGGGCCACTATAGGGAGCTCCTAACACGTAACTTTACGAGCGTGGTGGGCCACTAGCGAGCTCCTAACAGGTAACTATACGAGCATGGTGGGCCACTATAGCGAGCTCCTAACAAGCCACTTTACGAGCGTGGTGGGCCACTATAGCGAGCTCCTAACAAGCCACTTTACGAGCATGGTGGGCCACTATAGCGAGCTCCTAACAAGCCACTTTACGAGCGTGGTGGGCCACTATAGGGAGCTCCTAACACGTAACTTTACGAGCATGGTGGGCCACTAGCGAGCTCCTAACACGCCACTTTACGAGCATCGTGGGCCACTATAACGAGCTCCTAACATTTCAATGAGTGTAATAAATCAATAGCGAGTTTCCAGCATATTTACTTTTACTTCCAGCTAGACCTACTAAGCAGGCCTGTTAATTATGCACTCGCTCACACAAACAGGCTGCTAGAACATGCGTGTTGTAAGGTAACTCTTACATCAAGAGTGCTTCCTTGATGCCACACATTCACAACGTGAGTGGCAGAGGCCCTAAGAGGCTTGTGTGTTATGAAAGAGTTCTGGTTCTGGAAACTCACAGTACCTATGCTACCTTCATCAGTATTTTGTTTACAAATTGTATTATTATTACTACTACTGCAACAGCAACAAAAAATACTACTACTGCAGCTGCTAGTACTGCTATTAATATTACTATTACTACCACTAATACTATTTTTATTTACTGGTACTAATAGTACAATTACTGGCACTAATAGCACAATTACTGGTACTAATACCAGTACTACTGCTACTTCTAATGCACGTAATATTAAAGTAATACCACTAAATTGTCAATAACGCGAATTCTACTTTACAGCACGTCTTTATTTGAACTTTTTTAAGAGAATAATTCCCAACAAAGACAAAAACGCCAGGTCATTAATACTAGAACAATATAATAATATATATACAATTAATTGTTGTCATGCCCATTGTCGTTATTATTATAACAAATGAGCAAACAATTTATATGTTCTATAAATCGTGTTCGTTCACTGCTGTGGTTAACATGCTGTCAAACACTATCACACAGCGAGGCAGTAAGTCACAAGAGATGGAGCGTAGCCACCCACAGCGTTACAAGACGGTGTGGGCGTGGGTGTGGGTGGGCGTCGTGGTGGTGGTGGTGGGCGGGCAGCAGCAGCCGCGGGTGGAGACGCCCTGGGGCACCTTCCTGGGTAAGGAATACATGTCCGCCAGGCAGCAGGACCGGAAGATCTACGCCTTCACTGGGATCCCTTACGCCAAGCCTCCCGTGGGCGATCTGAGGTTCAGGGTGAGTTTTCCCACATGAATATGCGAGTACTGCTTGTCATTTGAATACTTCGGACTGGTGAGTCTTGTTCCATTGGCCCCAGGTGAGTACTCCGGGGTCAGGAGAGTAATAGTTGTTTGGTAAGTGCTTCAGGCCAGATGACTCTTCCAGGGTTTTTGTTAATTTAAGAGTACTGTATTTAATTCAAGGCTAATGTATTTAATTACGGGTACTGTATTTAATTTCTGTCCTCACGATAGGACAGAAGTGTTTGGAACATTTCCGTTTAGTTGATGCATCTATTCACCTTGCAGCAATTTGTTTTGTTTGTGTATCATTCTTCTCCTCGACATTGGGAAATCATCTATATGAAAGAGTTTGGTTAGGTATAAATAAACAAATATCTGTTCTCACATGGGCCAATCGTCCTTCTCCAATTACTCTTATTTTTAACTTATGTTTCAACCCCAGATTATTTCACACACCATTTAGTTCTCATATTCTCTCCTATCACGTTTTAGCCGGATATAGTCGTTTATACAATATCCTTTCAGATAACTATATTGTAAAACACTTTCCATAATCTATCTTCTATGGGCACTATACAAATACTAGAACCAAGTGGCCCTGTCTATATGGGCCACTGACGCATAGAGAGAATTTATAACAAGAAAAACAAATTGCAGAACCAAGGAGAAAACCCCAAGCTAGCGCTCTAGTGACAGGTCAAGCAATCGTCACGTCCCTGTAGCTGTTGTTGTTTTAAATTCAGCTACTCGGAACCAAAAAAAAAAGTTCCAAGTAGCACAGGCTATGGTGAACCCGTAGTGTACTTACCTGGCACAGGAGCGCGGACTGTGTCCCCGTAGCACTGAGAGTTTCTCCCCACCAAGTACAAGACCTCCCCCCATCATAACTTGCAGGCTCCCGTGGACTACGGCGCCCACTCGACGCCCTTCAACGCCACGTCAGCGTCGCCGGCGTGCCTGCAGTGGGACAACCTGCGCGGCCGGGGCGTGGTGGGCCAGGAGGACTGCCTCTACCTCAATGTTTACACCAACACGGTCAGTCGCAGCCCATGCTCTTGCCTCTTATATATATCCTCCCTCCTTCACCAGCATCTCATAATACCCAAACTCTGTATTATGTCATATATAATTATTATTATTACTAATATTATTATTATTATTATTATCATGATGCTAGGTGACGTATGTTTTATGAGAGAGGAACAGTTGTGTGCTATATGTATATATTTGTTTTAACTAAAAGTGCCTTTGTTATACGACAGGTATATCTGCTGCTATATTTGTTATATAGTATTGCATGTGTTATTCTAGAGGTATTATTCGTATATTTTAGATGAATTTGGTATGCTAGTTGTTAATGTGTTAAACCGTGGTATGTTTGTTATGACACAGGTATTTGTTATATTATGCGTATGTTGTCCTACAGACACATATTAGACACCATACAGACACATATTAACACATATATTACATATTAGTACTATCATATTATAGAAACATCTGTCACGCTACAGATACGTGTGTCACACACTAGAGATACATGTGTCACACACTAGAGATACGTGTGTCACACACTAGAGATACATGTGTCACACACTAGAGATACAGGTGTCACACACTAGAGATACAGGTGTCACACACTAGAGATACATGTGTCACTGGATCACCGGGTCCATATAAGACTGGGGATCACTGGTTGTGTCCAGTGTGTGTTTAAGTAATTTGTTCCATGTTTCCCTTCGTGGTTATACGATTTCACATTAATCATAGCTTGTTAATTTCTTTGTGATTTACACACATTTATGTGAATGAGTTTGGGCCAATAGGACTTCTGTAGTTTTCTTAATTCTTATGTTGATGAAGACGGCTGTTACACACGATTCGCAATTGACGACGTTCGAATATTTTTCGAACAGTGCTTCGCTGACGACCTGTGTTCGAATCACAACGTTGTAAATGCTTTGCCCACATACTTCAAATACAAATAATGGCCAACGGACCCTAAACACCTAACATAACCTAAGCTATACCTAACTATACTTAGAACTTTAATATATAATAATATTAACTGATATTTATTTTTAATACACTGTATGTTGAAACTGATGAATGCATCTTGTAGGGGGGAGGGGGACGGCCGCCGCTTTAACTAGCCTAGCCTGAGTCAGCATCAGCTGTGAGTCGTGTGTAAAATGGTTTTCATTCACATACAAAGGGGGACAGGGGTGGTTGGTGGCTGGATTAACGAGCATTTGGCGTTTGTCAAGGACAGGTTAATATAGCCTGAGCGTATATAAAACAAATGTAATGGGGAAGACGGTATATACTGGTATACTTTTCAGATGCCAGCGCCACCAGACTACTACAACACCCAGCCGGTGCTGGTGTTCCTGCACGCCGGCACCTGGATGGCGGGCAGCGGCGGCGACGGCCTCTTCCAGCCCGACTACCTCCTGGAGTCCGACGTCACCGTCGTCACCATCAACCACAGACTCGGACCCTTCGGTGAGTGCTCTACGTTCTCAACTTACAGTCGGGGATTCCAGGGGATCGATCCCCAGTGGTTGGGTCCGTATTATTTCCCCCTGATGCCTCTGTTCATCTAGGAGTGAATAGGTACCCGGGAGTTAGGCAACTATTGTGGGGTACATCCTGGGGAAACTCTATAGTTCTTGTCTGGTAAACGGACTGACTTCCAAGAATTCTGTTCTTTCAGAAGTCAGTTCTGTCCTCTTTATCAGCCATATCCGGGGACCTCTTTGGTGAGTGTTGATTATTATTATTTATAATTTACAATTTAATATTTAGTAAATAGTAAAGACTATGTAGTATTTACAATTTAATATTTTGTAAATAGTAAAGAACTATTTAGCATTTAAATTTTAATATTTTGTAAATAGTAAAGAACTATTTACCATTTCAATTTTAATATTTTGTAAATAGTAAAGAACTATTTACCATTTCAATTTTAATATTTTGTAAATAGTAAAGAACTATTTAGCATTTAAAATTTAATAATTAGTAAATAGTAAAGACTATTTAGTATTTAAAATTTACAATAAAAGCAAAACTCAAAAAAGTTTTATTTTGAATGAGTAAATGCACGTGAAATTTGTTACATGTTGTTAATTAGATATTTCTTAGTTACTATTTTAAACTGGCTGAGAGAAGTACAGCTTTTCATCTGATCTGGGATGTCATTCCACAGTTTAAGACTTATATTTGCATAGCATTTCTGCTTTGGTTATGTCGCACTCTTGGAAGCAGTCACCAGCTACTCAGATAGAGGACTTCCGGTGGATGTAGTAATGTATACATGAACTTTGCTAAAGCTTTTGATAAGGTACCACATGAAAGGCAAGGAAATTACACACACAGGGAAACTGCTAGAATGGATAAAACAATGTTTAAAATGAATAAAACAGAGGGTCGCTAAATGGGTGAACGTGACTGGAGAAATGTGATAGGTGGGGTGCCACAGGGGTCCATTTTGGGGCCAACCCTTTTTGTCATGTACATCAATGACACAGGTGAGAATATTACTAATCACATCATCAGATTTTCAGATGACACAAAAATTTATAGTAAAGTGGGAAGTGAAAATGTTATAGAGGCCTTATGAGGGCATTTACATGAACTCCACAAATGGTCAGTAGATTGGCAAATGCTTTTTAATATCGAAAAACAATGCAAGACCTTGCATGTGGAGTATAACAACCCCGCGTCACAACTACCAAATTAACAACATTATCTTGCAGCAGACTGATGTAAAACAGGACCTTGCAGTCAAAATCCATCACTCACGGATTTTATTGCACAAAACTTTGCACAAGTGGGAGTGGCACTAAGAAAAAAAAAGCTAACCAAACCCTAGGAATAATCAAGCGTAACTTTGATTTTAAGGGAAAAAAATGTTGTTATTCAATTGTATAAATCTCTGGTCCGCCCCCACTTGGATTATTGTATCCAAGCATGGAGACCTCATCTTGCGAAGTATATATAGCTGCTTTGGAGAAAGTTCAACACCGGGCAACAAAGATCATTCCAGAGCTAAGTCAGCTCTCATGCCGGGAACGGTTGAGGACCTGATGACTAACAATGCAAACCAGGAATGACAGGGCGGATCTCATCGAAACTTAAAATACTGAACAATTTGGAGAATGTTGATCTGGACAACTTGTTCAAAAGGTTAGATGTAACACAAACAAGGAGCAATGGTTTCAAGCTCAACAAGCCACAATGTAGGACGGAAAACAAGAGATGCTTTGTCACCACAGGGTTATAAACCCATGGAACCGCCTACCCGCCGAAGCTGTTTGTACATTTGTTCTTTGGTACAATGTATATGTAATGTATAAAATGGAAGCTCACTCTGTGCTCCCAGTGCTCTCAGTAGTCGAGGGTGGTGGCCGATCACATATACACTCTGTTTGATATACTTATATTCTCATATCCCAGCTCTTAGTCTGCCCTAACGTCCCAGCTCTTAGTCTGTCCTAACGTCCCAGCTCTTAGTCTGCTCTAACGTGCCAGCTCTTAGTCTGCCCTAACGTCCCAGCTCTTAGTCTGTCCTAACGTGCCAGCTCTTAGTCTGCCCTAACGTCCCAGCTCTTAGTCTGCCCTAACGTCCCAACTCTTAGTCTGCCCTAACGTCCCAGCTCTTAGTCTGCCCTAACGTCACAGCTCTTAGTCTGCCCTAACGTCACAGCTCTTAGTCTGTCCTAACGTCCCAGCTCTTAGTCTGTCCTAACGTCACAGCTCTTAGTCTGTCCTAACGTCCCAGCTCTTAGTCTGTCCTAACGTCCCAGCTCTTAGCCTTCGCATGCCTTCTAATTAGTGTCATGCAGTCATATTGGCTCAGTGACTTCTGATAATTCGTTGTATTCCATCGCACAAAGGTTTCCTGTCGACGGAGGACAAGGAGAGCCCCGGGAACTACGGCCTCCTGGACCAGGTGCGGGCGCTGGAGTGGGTGAGGGACCACGTGCGCTACTTCGGGGGCATGAACGACACCGTCACCGTCATGGGCTCCGGTGCTGGCGGCATCAGCGCTCACCTCCTCGTCCTCTCTCCCAAGGCCCGCGGCGCCTCCATCTACCCAGACAACTCTGGTGAGGGATTTTTTTTGTTTACAATATCTGCTTATGTCTACCCCGATGTATATTCCTTTGTGCGTGTAAATAATAATAATAATTATTATTATTATATTCAAAAGTGTGTGTGTACAAAGAACATACGAGTAATATACAATTGTGGGGACAAGAATTGGACATACTATTGAAACCACTGTTGCGCAAAGCGTTTCCCGCAAAACATAAACAAATCACACACAGATATCACACTAACGTGATGCATCAAATGAACAAATCCACAAGGGCCGTGACGAGGATTCGAACCTGCGTCCGAACCGATAATGAGTTGATTAAGGCAGTGTCTGGGAAGCTCGCGGACGCAGGTTCGAATCATCGTCACGGCCCTTGTGGATTTGTTCATAAACAAATTAGATAAACATTTTGTTATACAATTGAGAAAACTTAAGAAAAATAACAGATGAATATATTAAAAATATGATTTAAGTTTAATGGGGCCAATGCTTAACAATAAATAAGGATCAAAAGGACATGGGTAAACAATTTTATAAATGAAATAAGACTGTAAATGAGACTTTCCCTGACATAATTTAGTACTTACATATACTAAATTAGGGCTATGGGTAGGGAAAACTCACTTCACTTACCACAGCTCCTGAAATGAACACACACACACACACACACACACACGTGTGTTTGTGTGTGGCTGACTGGACAGCACGCTGGACGCGTGATATGGTCCTATGGTCGCGGGTTCGATTCCCGGTGCCGGCGAGAAGCACCTGGTTTCATGCGGACATTTGAATTGTTGTACATTTAATATGTAGTACAAGAAATCCCTTGTTTGGCAGTCTTATCAAAACATCACCTATGTGATCCGATATACTCGCATTTACTATTTATATTTAATTGACCTGTAGTTAGTGGCACACATTTGATCTGATAGTTTATTAATATATACGATGAAAATAATAAGAAGCCCTGAGCTAAACAGCACAATCCTTTGATCGGCAGCATTAATCCACAAGGCCATCTCCCAGAGCGGGACAGCCTACAGCCCCCACGCCCTGGTCCGGGATGCCCTCACTCAGGCCCTCAAGCTGGGTCTGGCCCTCGGCTGCCCTACGCTCACCTCCGCCCTCCTCCTGCCTTGTCTCAGGGCCATCCCGGCCTCCAAGATCATCGAACAAATGCCGTCCATGTATGTGAGTATTGGTAGAAGGCGCTTATGGGATACAGTATTTAGTATGTAAATTACTGAGACCAATGTTCATTAGTCCGCTTAAGCATATATACGCAACAATATATATTTAGATACATATATACTTGAACTTGGTCATCCACGGTGGCGGCGGCAGAAGTGGGACGAGGAGCCGCTGCCCTTCGGCCCTGTGATCGACGCCTGGCAGGGAGACGAGGCCTTCCTCCCAGACGAGCCCAACCACCTCATCCGTCACAAGCAGTTTCTTCAGGTGCCCTGGTTGGTCGGCACCAATAGGAATGATGGCGCTTTTAGGGTCCAGGGTGAGTGTGTTCGTGACCTGCTCTCCTGGCTGGTGCACTCATTTCTGACTTCAGTGCCCCCGTGCCCCATTTCCCTACATGCCCAGTTCTCTGTACACTTCCCCAACCTTTCTGGCCTTGTACTGTTCCCTGCACCTTCTGCTGAACCAACGTTGGTTACCATAACGTAAAAACCGCGACCTATTAGTTAAGAAGACGGGTTGTTCACAGGAGAGGTCATTACCGGCAAACAAGTCAGAAGACAACTGACTGTCGTCCAGTGAGATCCTAGCATTAGCTTAGCTCTTAGGTCTAATTACCTTAGATCTAAGGTAATGCTCAAGTGGATGAACATGTTGTCCACACGTACTTTTAATGTGATCAAGTTCCCACACCAGCTGAACTGGCCGAGATACATGTAGCCTAGTATTGTAGTCCAGCCGTAACGACGTGTTTTGCGCGACGCGTGTAACTGTGATACACACAATATCTGCTAGTTCCCATTTGCATTTATTATTCTTCTCTCTTCAGATTCATCTGAGAGTTCTCTTCTCAGGCTTACGTTTGATACCTCATGATGGTATTGTTCATTTACTGCAAGTTTATCAAAGAGTAACACGTTATCGTATTTTAGAAGTCATATATGAGACGGGATTAGCATCAAGATGATTCTGATTCCTTTATATTTAGTGTGTGTATATGCAACTTTATACGGCGTCAGAGACCAGAATGCTACATTAAATTTTATATTATTTCCAGCTGGTAAAGAGCATAGAGTTGGTGGTGACTAAACTATCTGTAGCAGTTTCAGTATTCATGAACGCCACCAGGAGAACAAACGGTTTAACAATATAAGGTAGATGATTATTGACTACTATATTGTGCTCCAGTTGGGCTTGTGTATAACAGGCTTCAATTCCAGTCCTCCCAGTAGACAAATTCTGAGAGCCACTATTGTATATAGTCTGTGAGATGATTAATTGTTACCACCGGAGCCGGCTAGTTTATTGTGCACCCCATACTCATCCTGTGAGCAATGAGCCAAAAAAAAAGATTACATTGGGCAAAAAAAATCTTTATCAGACTTCAGAGGAGATTATTATATTCACAATTACATCTATACTGAGCTCCTTATGAGCTCAGTATAGATGTAATTAACTAACATCTCTGTAACTAGCTGAGCTATAATGTCAGATAGTTACAGAGATTGTTCTCTATCAATAGCTATGATGCTTTCTGTTTTTCTGTTTTGTAGATTGATCAGTATGAGTGTTTACCTGTCCCACGGCATCGACAAACAGTTTTTTATTAATTTAATCACATAAAAAGCACATACCAAATAATTTTGCTTGATAGGAAATCTGGAAAAGAAATTCCACTCATTACAAGTAATCGGTCAACACAAAGTTATGTTTAACAAAGTCTACTTTGCATGTGGCAGACATCCTGAAGGACTCCAGCCTGACGATGCAGCTTAACAAGCAATGGGAGAAATACGGTCCTATCCTACTTGACTTGAAGGACACCTCGTGCAAGTATCCTGTAGATATCGCTAATAGAATCCGTAAATACTACATGGGCAAGAAAGCGTTCGGCGAAGAATCCTCCAAGGAGTTCGTAGAGGTGAGCTGTGAAGGGTCGGTGGAGCTGGTATTGGTAACTAGGATATATTATAACGCTAACATTGAAGGAAATAGAGAAATGCACACCACTTCCCAAATTGACTTAATCTATGTAATAAAATAATTTTTGTGTGATACAGATGATGACGGACAGATTTTTCGTGCACCCTACGGACCACGCCACCAGGGACCACTGCTACTACCTTCAGGGCAAGCACTGCTACCGCTACGAGCTCGTCTACTGCGGCCGCAAGTCCTTCCTCGACTTCCTCCACCACCAGAGTCCTCAGGAGGCCGCCAACTCTGCCTTCGGTTAGTCAAACAACATTGTTCCTGCAACTCACACAGACATGCAGGCGATGAGTCACAATAACGTGGCTAAAGTATGTTGACCAGACCACATACTAGAAGGTGAAGGGACGACGACGTTTCGGTCCGTCCTGGACCATTCTCAAGTCGAATCTACTTGAGAATGGTCCAGGACGGACCGAAACGTCGTCGTCACTTCACCTTCTAGCGTGTGGTCTGGTCAACTCACACAAACACGTTGCCCAATTATTACTAGCTGGGCAGGTATGTCTCTGACGGCATTTGTTCTAAACAAGAAACTAACCAGCGTTTGTGAGTGCTCATCGCGCGCTTTCCCACCACCCCATCATCGTTAGAACTTTGAGGATCAAAAATATGCTGTGAAATATTGTACAGTCTAGTTATTTGCACTGGAGACTTGGTGGGAAGCTTCCCTCAAAACAGGCTATATATTAACTGCATGTTTGCCTCCACGGCCAGGCGCAGGACTCTCCAACCCAAGGTTCCAGAACACGCGAGGCGCTCATGGCTGGGGTGTGAGCTTCTTGGACGAGCTTCTCTTCCTCTTCCCTTCCAGCAAGTTGGATCTCATCTATAAGAGAGACTTCGACTCTGACTCTGCCTCCCGGGTGTCTACGCACATGCTCATGCTCTGGGCCAACTTTATCAAGAGCAGGTCGGTCGCTGCACTAGCTCATACATTTGGCCAGGGATCTTTTATTTATTTATATATATACAAGAAGGTACATAGGGGGTTAACAGAGAACATAGAGTTTAAGTTGAAATTACATTCTTGTAAAGCCATTAACACGCAAAACGTTTCGGGCAAGTCCTTAAACTAACCTTAGAGCAAAACCTTAAACTAACAGATAGTTTTAGAGAATTTAGAGTAAAAATTGACAAAAAGTGTTTAACAGGTACTTTACAGCTTTACTTTACAAGTACAAATGATTTTAAGTAGAATAATTACAGTCAAATTGTCAAGAAATTCTTTATTACAACTAAAGTGACACCTTGGGCTCTGCCTTTGTTCAGGGCAGAGTGTCACTCAAATTTGGTGACAGGAACTGATGGTTGTATGTATAATGATTACTTTGTGAGTGTGTGTCAAACACTGAACTAAAGCACACGGCGTTTCAGTGACCCGACGCCTGAGTTGGATGGTTGGCCAGACGACGTGTCTCCGTGGGGCGCGTGGTGGGAGCCCTTCGTCCATGGCTATCATTACTACCTGCAGATCGACCCCGAGATGGAAAGTAAAGATGGCCCACTTAGGAACGAGCAGATGACCTTCTGGAATGATCTCGCGCTCTTTGAGAACCGTGACCGTAATGTCCTAAAGGACGAATTGTGAAAGTCAACAATCAACTAGTTTCTCCGAGATCAGCCGTTCAACCACTTGGGCTGGACGGTAGAGCGACGGTCTCGCTTCATGCAGGTCGGCGTTCAATTCCCGATCATCCAAGTGGTTGTACACTTCCGTTCCCGCATCCCGTTCCATCCCAAAATCCTTATCCTAACCCCTCTTCCAAGTGCTATATAGTCGCAATGACTTGGCGCTCTTCCCCGATAAAACCTTCCGAGATCAGCCTTTCTCGGAGAGGCTGCAGGATCCAAGTAAATTCAGTAGAATTTCTTTTTGCAATTCCTATACCATGTCGTGGGTCAGTCGATTAAGGCAGCGTCTGGGATGCTCTCGGACGTAGGTTCGAATCCTCGTCACGACCCTTGTGGATTTGTTCAATCAACTAGTTTAATGTAGCTATTAAGAGAACTTGGTTATAAAAACATTTTAGCGATTCATTCTATGAAAACACTTCTCACGTCTTCTTAAGTAACGAATACTTTTGAGAAATATTGCAAAAAGTACATTTTATTAGCAAACTTTCCTCGGTACTCGAACAGTTGGTGACACTTCTCCTGCACTCAAAAGTTACTATCTATTTTATTTATTTACATTTAAATATTGTATTTATTTATTTACTCATTTACAAGAAGGTACATTGGGTTTGTGAGAGTACATAACAATGGTGTTATTACATTCTTGCAAAGCCACTAACAGACATAGCGTTTCGGGCAGGTTCTTAATCTAACAGATAAGGTGAAAACTGAAGCAGTGCTGCCGGAGCTCGCCGGAGCGCCTCTCCAGCACATCTGCAAGTGGATGATGGAATGGGGGGAAAGGGAGAGAGGATGAAGGGAAAGGGAGAGAGAGGACAAGGGGAAAGAGAGAGAGGACGAGGGGAAAGGGAGATGAGGGCTTATGGGTGATGGTTGATCGTGGCAGAAAAATATTAGTATTATATCACTAATAAGTTAATAATGTTATGATATTTCTTATTTTTATTTAACGATTCAATAATATTTAAATATTTAAATATTTAAACAGTACACAGGATGATTTGTTGTGGTACTACCCGACGCGCGTGAACGCTTCCTGTCCATGTATGTCAGTCAAATGTTATGAGACAAAGTTGCCAACCTACCGCTTTGGATATGAATATTCAGCAATAATGTTCATGGCTTTAGCAGTAGTTCATTAGACAGGTATTCCTTATTCATACAATACTATATTTTAGTATTAAATACTAGGCAGGTAAAACGTATTAGCTGCCTAGTATTAAATACTAGGCAGGCAAATTGTCTCCATTAATTATAAATAGTTTCTTACCAGTCTTGTGAACAATTTGTAGCACGGTATGTTCACGACTCGTCCATGAAAGGCTCTCAAACTTCTGAGCCTCAAAGTATGTATTAGTTAATTTAGTTCATTTATTATGCACCCCATAACCATCCTGGGGGCGGTAGTGGAAAGGTTACAGAGGCACATAATGGGCTCAGGGACTGAACCCCACAATTCATTTAGCTAAGCAAGTTACAGTCTTGATGAGCTAGTTACAAAACTCAATGCACATCGTCACATCAACAATGGGCTCGAGACCGACCACAAATACAGTTTCTAAATTAAGCAACTGACTTAGGTGGTTAAGCAACTCACTAATATGTGGAGAGCTAGTGTCACAATTGATGTCTTGCACCTCGCCCCCCCCCCATCTAGTGCATAGGTTACAATCACTTAGTTACTACCTACAGTTAGCAAACTGTGAATATTTGGCTAAGATTTCTGGTAGCAGATAATTTTGAATGAAATATTTACACATCTCTGGAGCATTTGTCATAGAATTGTCTCTGAATTCACGTATCTTTTCGCCGCTAAGTGAAATGTGGGGTCCTAAGTGCTAAGAGGGTTACTGCTAATTGAAATGTGTGTCCTTGAAAAAGACTACTGGCCTGATGAAATACCACCTAACTACGGAGAAGATGAAATATTATCTCTCTAAGAGGTGTTAAGCTTTCTTCTTACTCAGCACTAAATGCCTTTAGAGACTATATGGAGGATCATGACGCCGCGTTCCCCCAAGATTTACACCCATTACTGAGCTGTTTACAAGTTATTCCTATTAGTACTGCTCAGTGTGAGAGGGAATTCAGTCACATGAACCTGAAAATAATACTAACAACACGGTCAAGAATTCTCATCAATCGTGTATCCACACTTATGTTAAACTACGTGGACCTCCTCTAGTTCAGTGGAATCCTGAGACTAGAGGTGCTTCACACCCCTGAAAACATCTCTCACCTGACCCTTTGTGGAAACTATTGTGAAATATCTCACTAGTTGTATATTATGAGCACTAAGTGTTTTAACTTCTTAAATTGATGAATTCATGATTGATATTTTTTTATTTGTTTGATAATTATATTTTATGATAATTAGTGAGTTACAAACACTAAATATTTAATCGTGTGTCGTATACTGAAACAGGATAGGAAATGACAGGCTTTTGTCAGGCCAACCAGAGCTCCGGCACCTATAAAATTGGCACTGCACCCCTGGGTAAAATTAATACTAGGGTACATTGTAGCATGTAATCTAACCATCACCTAAACCGGCTCCGGTTCTCACTCTATCCTCCTCTCTTCGCCCCTTCCCACCTTTAGAGGGTAGACATAGCCTAAGCTACACTATCCTTTTGACATGTATCGTACTGTCTCAATAAAATATTTGAACCCTCCCATCTCTCACAGCCCCTACATTGATCTCAAGGTAATTATATAATTGTATACATGACGAATGACTTGCAATTACTGCTTAGATTGTGATTTAGTGCCCAATAACCCACTGCACTATGTAGAGTAATAGCTCTCTAGCCCCGACTGTGGCAGAGAGGAGTGTATAATAAGTAAACTTCTCAACCAATATATGCCAAACCATCCTGCGAGATGGAATATTAGGCCTAAATCCTCATATAGATTAGATATGATATTAATCTATAATAATCTAATATAATCTATAATGATTAATCTATAGATTAGATTAGATATTATATAGATTTGCCCGAAACGCATTGCGTAATAGTGGCTTTAGGCATTGTATGTACTAGCTCTATCTATATATCAATCCATTAATGTAACATCACTTGTATGTATATACCTTACCTGAATAAACATCTGAATCTGAATCTGAATCAGATCAGCAGCACGGTGCCGTGTACAATAGTTAATATATACAAAAATAATCATGAAGCTTGCTCACTATTAAAATAAAAATTCAAATTCAATATTTTTATTCTAAGAGCGTGTTTAAAGAACATAAGAGTAATGTATCTTGAGGTAACCTCAAGATGTACAATTGTGGAGGCAGAAAACAACTGTGGCAGAAAAAAAATGAAGTCACCATTACGCAAAGCGTTTCGGCCAAAATACACTGACATTTTTCCCTCAGTTCAGCTACTGAGAGAGCGAGATGTGCTGTCCTCAGCCCAACCCAAGTTAGAGGGACGAAACAATCAACAATTGAACATTCTCCTAACAACTGTTGGCTATTCTTGTAACACTCAAATTTCTATGAGTATCTCTGACTTCCTATAGGGGAGTAGAAATAGCCTAAGCTACTCTATCCCTTTGAGATGTATTTTCTTGTCTCAGTAAACATACTTGAACTCTGACTTCCTTTGCTCAATGCTACATTTAAATAGCTTGCAGTCAGATTATGACATGCTTATCTCTGAGGCCAGACATAGATATATATATGCATTCCTAATAAGGGTTCAGAATAAAATTGTTGTATATCTCTTCACCAGTCTATCCTCCTGTTTTGGTAGTACTTATAGTAATGATGAGGACCATAGAATATATACCGACGTACAATGAAATTAGAGAGTACAAATCGGCACTATTGAGTTGGACAAACCGGAAAACTATTTTTTACTTATGTTACAAAGACAAACTAAAGTAACCTTTCTAGGCCTAATATACGATATATGTGTGCTATACTAGGCCTAGGAATATTATAATTTTTTTTAGCTTCATTTTTTCCGACTATTAAATAAATAGTAGTTATATTATCTAATTGCTTATAACGGCAATCTTCGTACTATGGTGCACATAGTTACAAGAACTATCTAGAGAAGAGAATGGGTTGCTCTTCACACATTGGACTGCAAAATCATGATGAGGTTGAAACTCTTGCCAAGCTTACAGTAAAAGAAGACAATGTTGAACATGATATTAAGCTCAAATAGAATTCTAAAAAGTGCAATTAGATGAAAACTCGTAGAGGAATCAAAGAGAGCAGATATACACACATCAAAAGTCTCCGTGGTGTAGTGGTAAGACACTCGCCTGGCGTTCCGCGAGCGCTATGTCATGGGTTCGTATCCTGGCCGGGGAGGATTTACTGGGCGCAATTCCTTAACTGTAGCCTCTGTTTAACGCAACAGTAAAATGTGTACTTGGATGAAAAAACGATTCTTCGCGGCAGGGGATCGTATTCCAGGGACCTGCCCGAAACGCTACGCGTACTAGTGGCTGTACAAGAATGTAACAACTCTTGTATATATCTCAAAAAAAAAGGATAACATCAGCGGTGTATGCAAGGCTGGCAAACATAAGAACTGCATTATGCACCCCATACCCATCTTGTGGGCGGTAGTGGAAAGGGTTACAGAGGCATTATGTGCCTCTGTAACCCTTTCCACTACCGCCCACAAGATGGGTATGGGGTGCATAATAAATAATTCAGAAACTTGTGTAAGGAATCATTCAAAACCTTGTATTCCTCATATGTCAGACCAATGCTGGAATATGCGGCTCCAGCTTAGAGTCTACAACAAGTCAAACACATAACGAAGTTAGAAAAGGTTTAGAGGTATGCCACCAGATTAGTCCCAGAACTGAGAGGTATGAACTACGAAAAAAGATTGCTGGAACTGAACCTCACGATACTGGAAGACAGAAGAGTAAGGGAAGACATGATCACTACTTATAAAATTCTCAGAGGAATTGACAGAGTAGACAAAGATAAATTGTTTAGCACGGTTGGGACGTAAACAAGGGGACACAGGTGGAAACTGAGTACCCAAATGAGCCACAGGAACGTTAGAAAGAACTTTCTCAGTGTCAAGAGTAGTTGGCGGAACAACCGTGGACATCTTCAAGAGGAAACTACATAGTTTCCTCCAAGGAGTGCCGGACCAACCAGGCTGTGGTGGGTATGTGGGCCTGCGGGCTGCTCCAAGCAACAGCCTAGTGTACCAAACTCTCACAAGTCAAGCCTGGCCTCGGGCCGAGCTTGGGGAGTAGAACACCCAGAACCCCATCAAACAGGTATCAACCAGTTAACAGATGGAATGCATTAGGCAGTGGTGTGGTGGAGGCTGACTCCATACACAGTTTTAAGTGTAGATATGATAGAGCCCAGTAGGCTCAGGAGTCTGTACGCCAGTTGATTGACTGTCGAGATGCGGAACTAAAGAGTTGAAGCTCAAACCACGTAAGCACAACTAGGTGGGCCAGAATTTGGCTCCAAAATATGGCTCAGGAGCCAGATTTGGGATATTTTGAAAACTACAGGGGGGTTTGGGCAAAATTTGACCTATCGCCGTTTTCAGTAATTGACATATTTTCGGTGTAAAAAGCAGTAATATCAAACTGCAAATATGTGCAGACAGCCAGAATTTGGCTCCAAAATATGGCTCAGAAGTCAGATTTGGGATATTTGCGATATTTTGAAAACTGCAGGGGGGTTTGGGCAAAATTTGACCTATCGCCGTTTTCAGTAATTGGCATATTTTCGGTATAAAAAGTAGTAATTTCAAATTGCAAATATGTGCAGAGAGCCAGAATTTGGCTCCAAAATATGGCTCAGGAGTCAGATTTGGGATATTTGGGATATTTTGAAAACTGCAGGAGGATTTGGGCAAAATGTGACCTATCGCCGCTTTCAGTAATTGGAATATTTTCGTTATAAAAAAGTAGTAATTTCAAACTACAAATATTTGCAGAGAGCCACAATTTGGCTCCAAAATATGGCTCAGGAGTCAGATTTGGGATATTTTGAAAACTACAGGAGGATTTCGGCAAAATTTGACCATCGCCGTTTTCAGTAATTGACATATTTTCGTTATATAAAGTAGTAATTTCAAACTACAAATATTTGCAGAGCCACAATTTGGCTCCAAAATATGGCTCAGGAGTCAGATTTGAGATATTTGGGATATTTTGAAAACTGCAGGGGGGTTTGGGCAAAATGTGACCTATCGCCGTTTTCAGTAATTGGCATATTTTCGGTATAAAAAGTAGTAATTTTAAACTGCAAATATGTGCCGAGAGCCAGAATTTGGCTCCAAAATATGGCTCAGGAGTCAGATTTGGGATATTTGGGATATTTTGAAAACTGCAGGGGGGTTTGGGCAAAATGTGACCCATCGCTGTTTTCAGTAATTGGCATATTTTCGGTATAAAAAGTACTAATTTCAAACTGCAAATATGTGCAGAGAGCCAGA